GACAGATTTATTCATTTTCATAAATAACTTGATAGCTTTACTTTGACATGTTATGGTTAATCAGTGTTGGATTTGAATGTATTTTTATTGTGATAATGTTTGCATTTGTATTTCTTTGTATTTCATTTTCACCATTTGTGTCTCTCTTGTTTAATTAGATTGGTTAGTTTACACAAATGCAATTTAAATTATCGAGTATTTAACAGTGTTTAGTTTTACTTTTCATTAGATAGTCAATTAGGTAATTACGTGAGAAACAGCAATGATTAACTGATGATAATGATGATGGAGGATGGAAACATTTCTGATTTATAAAGAAAGATTATCATAATGAAAGGAGCTGGCAAGGAAAAGGTAAACTGGGAGTGAGATAAGTTGTAATCTTGGTTTTGAGGGATATAAATTGGTGCTAATTTAATATTGGAAACTTGTTTTTTGGATAAAATTTCATTTGCCTGTTAAGCTCATCTTGATAATTAACTCAATTTTATCAAATTAATTTACTCTCTTAGTAACAATTTATCAATTTTAGTTTTTAAAATTGATTTTCAAGTTTCAATATGACTAGAGATAGGAGTAAACACTCCCTTGGAGTCAAAAATTCTTTAATCGTTTCTTTTCGACTCTTCAACTTTAAAGGCTATCAATTCATCTACCTCAACTTTCAAAGAAAACAAATAAGTATTTTCAGGCTCAGATAATCGCTTGATAATGATACAATTACAATCGAATTCCGTAAAGTGGAAATTTCAAATGGTCCATTGTTTGGCTCGTTTCGGTGCCTTGGTAAAGAAAAGGGTAAACCTTATGACCATTATAAAGCAGCTACCAGAAATACTTGGTTTGAACGATTACACACTGATGTACGGCAAAGGATTATTATGTTTTGCCAATGAATTTAATTTTGAACAAACTATCAATGAAGCAAGTATCAAAGAAGATGAAATGGTCTGAAGATGAAACTGTGAGCGATGTGTTTTCTTACTGCCTTGAAGTCTGCATGGCGAGAAGGGACAATCTATACGAACAATCTGGACATTTTTGGATCTGGTATTATTGGCGAAATCGATGAGTTTAAAATAGGAAAATGAAAGTACAATCGTGGCAGAATGGTAGAAGATCTGTAACTGACTCTGAAACTCACACAGATCTTTGGCGTGGCTATTATAATCTTGCTGATTATGAGTATAATCACAAAACTGTGAATCGTAGCGAACATTTCGTTGATTCAGAAACTGGAGCATACACACAAAATATAAAATCAAGTTGGTGATCACTCCGGAAAATATTAGCGAGAGGAGACATAAAAACAACTTGGATCTGCATCTGTGGTAATTCCTTCGCTCATCGGCTCTTCGGAACTGATCCATTCATTTCACTGATGAAAAACATGAGAGTTTTGTAATTAGGAGCGCCATGGTAACAAGATAGTTAGCAACATGTAATATATCATGGAAAATCATTCTAAAAGATGAATGCACGTGTTTTTGCAAATTTTCACGACTGTACATGTGAAACTTCTCAATGCGACATTCGAAAATTTCGACTCTTTTTAAGTTTTGGTGATGTTTTGACTGAAAAATCCTATGAAAAAATAGACTTGGATTCACGAATCAATTTGAATTATATTGATTTCAATTTGGAGCAATTCAATTGTACAAATTGATTTATTTGTTAACTTGATCTGTAACTTTACATGACAATTGTCCAAACACAAGATGAAAAGTCCAAGATTGAACATAAAGTTTTAAATTGCCGCAAGCAGTTCAACAGATTACCATGCATCTTGAATGCAACTTAATTTCGACCTCAATCAACTCTCTGTTATGTACACTTTCAATCAAGATTAATTTGGACAAATTTTCGCCTTAAACATGACAAAATTTTGTTCTGGTAAATTTGAGTGAAAAAAAAGATGTGAATAATGTCCAAGTAAATAACATTAAATGGAGTGAAATGATACTGAATGATGAGCTTTAAAGATGCCAAATGTAAAGTGAAAAAGTCTTGAGGCAATTGAGGTTAAACATTTGAATTCAGTGACAATCCAAGTGAGAAGGGAAAATGTTTTCTGAATCAAATTTTCAAATTGTTTATCATTTTCTTTATTCATTTTACTTTTCATCTTCACCATCATTTTCACCATTATTAACTTGATTATTATTGCAATAGGAAATGGGGCTAAATTTAATAAACATTATTGTTGTGCAAAGTATAAAAAAAGCATAATGATAAAAGTAAATATAAATGTGAATAAGTTTTAATAATACAAATGATATTAAGAAACATGAAGAGACAAATGATGTTAATAGCATTACCAAAGTCTCTTGAGTTTTCATCATGGATATAATTAATGTTTAATTGTATCAACCTTTGAATGATGAGCCAATTAGAAAATTGTTTCAACCGAAAAAAAAGTAAACATGAAAAAAAACTTGAAAAGAAATCCAATGATTCAACGAATTCTGGGGTTAATGAAATTGATAATCACAGGATAAACTCCAAGATGATCAAAATTCTTGGCCAAGTTGTTCAGTAAATGATTTCAAATACAAAAAATTCTGTTGGCTTGAATCGCTTATACAAAAAAGCGAATAAATTAAGTGAAAAAACGAAATATCGTTCGAACAGTAATTGATAGAAATCACGAATTTCAGTCAAGAATATCTGGTGATTATACAAAGAGATTGAATTTTGAGTCGATTTTGCAAATTTGGAAAATTGTGAAAAGTTGGAAATACTGAAACTCGTTAGGAATTGCATTAAAATTTATCTCATTTTTTGGCTTTTACGAAAATCGAATGAGCTTTTAGACATTTCAAATTTCGAAGAATCCTGAGAATCTGAAAAATCTAATCAAGAAGCGACTGAAGATTCTGCTGAATATTGAGAATTGAGAAGATTTGTCAAAATTAAGGTTCGATGTTAAGTCATGAATATCAATTATTGGGTTAAATGGATTACGGCCAATTGATTTGGGAGAATTTGAAATTTTCTCAATTTTCTCAAGTTAATTATAATTGAATGGTTGAACGATCAAATGATAATAATATCATTATCATTATTAGAGTTTATCATGATTGAGAAATGATCAAATGATGCATTTTGATGTATAATAGCGTTTAACCATTTTGCTTATCAAATGAAAAACCATTTTTACTTCTTTTCTGCCTTCAATTTAAACTCATGATGATTATGATGATGAGTTGGCGATAGCGAGACTGGAAATATCAGGAAGAAGATGATGAAAAATGATGTTTTAAGTAATCCACCCAAAAGATTATGAAAATGATAAAATGATGATAATGTAAGAAGCATACTTGGAGTATCAGACGAGTTAGTTAGCAATAAAGTTAATAATATTAAAAGACGATCAACATTGAAACAAGTTTCATGTTTGTGAAGCAAATCGATTGAAAGAGGAAAATTGTTCAATGGGCAAAATTGAAACAAAAATTTTCATGATTCTACTGATTAAAAGATTCCCTGTTTAATTTTAACCAATTTTTCGATTCATCGAGTTATCCCAGTTTTACCAATTATCAATTGTTTATTCAGTTTTCATCATTCCCTGTGTTTTCCACTCATGATAAATGATCATTTCGTGTTGCCAAGTTTATCCTGAAAGATTTAGGTTCATTTTTTGGTTCGCTCTTCTTCCAGCATTCCAATTGTTTACACAAATGTTATCATTATATTCAGGTGTGTTTAGTGTGGGATGAGAATTGAAATTTTTTTTTCATTCTCTTCTTTCAGTTGTGTGTTCATGATCAACTTGATAATCTTTGATTTCGTGCAAAATTACTTTCCATGAATTATCCAAGCTAAAAGCAGAACTGCCTTGTGTTTACAGGGAGTGACATGGATTGTGACATTGACAATCATCTAATGCATATCAATATTGATATCAAAATGGTTAACAAGGTTTTACCTTTTTCAGGTGAAAACTGATTTAAAAACAAAATGTAAATTATTTGGTTTTAAACGTTAATTGTTGGATTGTTTCATTTTATATTTTGGGTTTTTAGTTGAGGCTGGACTTGAGTGGAAAATGGGTTTTGTTTGGTGAATCTCTGGGAATTTTTTGCTTCTATTTCATCAAATTTACGACGATTTTTGACATTTATTTTTATATTATTTACATTTTTGGATTTCGTTTTTTGGAGTAAAATTTAGCCTAAAAATAAAGTTTTATAAATGGAGGTTTTGCCAGTAAATGTTGATGCTTTTTGTGTGACTTTCAACTCAAATAATGAAGTTGATAATAACTCAAAGGGAAGACAATTGTTCATGTTTCACTTGAAATTGAAATTCAATGTTACTTGGTTTGTGTATTTGGTTGTTTGTGTAAAAATAAATTGAATGATAAAATGTATTGTCGGTTGAAGGTAAATCCTTAAATGATCATTACTGTGTTATTATCATTTGATCACAACTTGAAACAACATTCATTCATCATTGACATGAAAGTTTCTTTACATTTTCAGATTTGGATTTCATCTTTTCTTTTTCTGCTTGTTTTTGCTTCATATTACAGCCATTTTAAACATCATTTACTATTATTAAAATGAAATTGTTGAATTATTTTTAAATCAACTTCCAAATGATTTGATTTGTAATAAGAATTGAAAGTCAGGATTAATGAAAAAGAGTTGATCATAACCATTATAAATGGTTTAATCACAATTTGATGTTCATTCACTTTATCCTTTCATTTTAGACCTTTTGCTTCATTTGTCAATTTTTTCTGGTCAAAGTGAAAATCATTTTTATTTTGACCAATTTTTCTCGATTAGAAGCTAAAACTTGAAAAGTCAATCAAAAGAATGGATTGAAACTGTGTTTTCATTTCTTCTTCTTAAAGGTAATGATTTTAAATAAATACATTGACATCATCATTAAAAAGTATTGATTATTATCAATGGTTTAACAATGAAGAGTTATTTCAGCGGCAAGAAAAATCTCAGTTTTATGAAGAGTTGAGTGAATGGGAAAACTTATCAATATAATTCTAGATTGTTCAATTATTATTGATTAATAAATTGATGAAATTTAATGGTTACAATGTTAAATAGAAAGGAAAAATAATAATTTTGATAAAATTTTTCATCTTTTCATGTGAACATTGATTTTCATTTTTGGCGCTTCAACCGCAATGGCTATTTTTTTAGTCACTTGATCGATGAATCACAATGATTTTACAGTTTGCTTTTTCTGTTTACTTGTTTAAATTGTAATTGCTTCAATGGTTTATTTTTATTTCTTATATTCAACATTCAAGAATGAAAAGGTAATTATGATTTATGCCTTAATCTGGTTGAACAACTGAAGACAGAACTGTAATCAAGTTTGTGTCAAAAATTGATTGCTCTGTGATCAATTATTAAACGAGTTTTGTCTTTTGCCAATCTTGTCAGGTTTACTTTTTATTTATTTTTGTGTTTTCATCTCTACTTTTTTTTGATGGATTTAGCTACTTTTATTATCATCGTCCTCGACTATTGGTTAACCTCGATGAACTGCTGTATTTTCTGGCTTCTCAGGACACACCAATTCAATAATTTACTGTTCTTATTAAATCTGATGATGGTGATGAAAAGAAATGGTTTTTGGCTCTTTTGTTTGGTCTCCAGAAAGAGTTGAAAATATGAAAGGTGATTGTTAAAAGCAAAGAGAGAGAGAGAAAAAAAGCAAAGATGATTTCAAGAATTGCAGGTTACGATGAAGATCAAAATTGTTCACTGGCTCACAATTCATTGATGATTTTTCAAATAATAACACAAAGAAATCAGAGGAAAATTGGAAATGGAAAAGTTGATGGAAAGCTAAACATAACCATTCTACACATCTCTTCTAATGGAAATTTGTTTTTGTTTGCTTACCACTGAGCTAATGTTTCTCGTTCAATTATGAAGATGATGGTGACTTTAATTGTTAAAAGAGTTGTTCCTGTTATGACAAGGTATGTATAGGTGATTGGAAATTCAATCAATTGATTAACATTAAAGAGTAATTGAGTTTTCTTCTCTTTTTTCAGGCTTGTTTTATAGTGAGGGAAAAGTGTAGTTTTTCAAGAAAAATGGCTTAATAATGTTAATCATCTAAAGTTTTCCTGGATGGTTGCAACTAACAGGGTAGAGACAAAAAGGTGAGCATGATTGTATAGTTGTGGAAAAGAGTTGAATACTGGCCGAGAAATGATAATATTTGATTTGATGAAATTGAAAGTTACTGCAATAAAATGAGAAAAAATATTTTCTATTTGACTTCTAATGTAGATATTGGAATACTTTCCCAGGAAAATGAATATCATCTATGATAATGAATACACTTTGGCTGTGAAACTTTATTGGAAACTGTAAACCCATAATTGAAAGGATCGAGAATAGAGATGGAAATGAGTGATAATATTTGTTCCTACCTTGAGAAGTTGATAAAAGTTGAAGATAACTGCTCAATAATGCAAGCGACATGATCAAAATTATGAGATGGAGCAGGTAAATGTTTGGTTCCAGATAACAATTCATTGAATCCGAAAATGGGTAAACATTGTTAACTTGACTGAAAAAAATCCAACCCAAGACAGAAACACAATCACAATTGCAGTATAAAACAACGGAATCAACTATCAACAAAAAATTGTATCCAGTTGGTAAAGAGGACAAGTTGAAATTACACTAAACCAGTCCATAACAGTGAACAAATCGTGTTATATCAAAGGTGAAACATTATTAACATGCTTAAGCCAGTTGAACTGAAATTACGAGTTGAATATTGGTGAAGAGTAAAGACAGAAGAAAAAAAAGTTCACATTTTGTTCATCTCTATTGTTGAAATGAATCTGAAAAAAGGTAAAAGTTTTCTCTCGGCATAAAGAGTAAAGGAATCATTTTAGGAACTCAAATATGCTCAGAATGAACATGAGCAGAGTTATCTGATGAGCTGAGAAAGACTCTTTGGGAGGGAAAATAGTAAAACTACTGGTTACTACTGCTACTACTGAATAATGGTAATAATAATAGTAATAATAAATTGACAATCAAATTTGTGTCAACCTTTTACTTCGAGATTGCGTTTATCATTTACATTTTTGTTTTGTTTGTCTCTTTTTTTTCATAATAACTCTGTGTGTTGTTGCTTTCTCAACTCTGTTGCACACAGAAAATGATTTCATATAAAGTGATAATAAATAATTATATCCAAATTATGATGACGATAATAATAATATGATAGATAATGATGATTGAAGATGAAAATGATGAAGGGAAGGAAGAAAAAAATTAACCAAAATTGCCTCTTTTTTTTCGCATCTTCAATGCATATTAAGTCTTCTCGGTAGTCACAATTTGAACATCTTTCATCTTTAAGTTGACAGGATTGATGGTAAAACATCAATCTCTTTTGAAGGGCAAAAAACAACAATTTGGTTACTTGATTGTTACACCTATTAATTAGATTGATCATCTTGTTATTGATCAAAATGAACAATTAAAACCTTTGGTAATCTTTCAGCTGTTAACATTGAAGTTTGGGTTAACCTGAGTCAGGATCGATTTGATTTTCATACATTTGTTGTAAAGGTTGCAATTTGTTAACCTAATGTTCAACTTAATCATGTTTAATCAAGATAGTTGAACAATAATTATGATTTGTGTTCATTAACAGAAAAGGCTTATTGAAAATATAGTTTGCTTGTTGTCAGCTTTTAGTCTTAGGCCTTTTCCAGGTTGATATTTTGACAGTTTCTTTTTTTTTGATAAATCTCATTGATTAATTAACAATATGTAATTATATTTACAGTTGATCTTTCTAATCAGTGGGAGTTAATATTGTATCTGTCAATGTAATGTGTTGACTAATTGAAATGCAAGCCGAGAGATTAATCTGATTAATGAAGGAAAAAACAAACTCACAGATTGATTAGAAGTTCAGTCTACTTGCAGATATTTGGCATACATTAATAGCTCTCAAGTTAATCACTTCATGGATGAATAAATTATCAGTCAACGGAAGTTATTTGCTCACCTTTTTTTTCATGATTTACCAGATAAACAGGAAATGAAGAAAAACCCGAAAAAAATTATCAAAAAGGTTACCAAATGATGATCATGGCTTAGTTGGTAACGTCACAAATGGACTGGAAAAAAGTTTCAGCGATCAAGATGAGATTAAAAATTATTGAACATTACAAATTACATTGATCAAACTTTAATCTTTGATTAAATTGTCGTAAGAATAAAATTTTTTAAACGTTTCATTTGTTTTTAAACATTAAGGAAGACAATCGGAGATAAAAGGTAAGGCAATTATGGTGATTGGGATGGTGATGAGGTTTGGGGTTGAAGGGGATTCTGCATAAAACATACTGAGTTAGCGATTGTCTTTGATATAACTTTTGATTTTTACAATAGAATAAAAAAAGAAACAATTTTTTTTCATTTTACATAGCATTTTGTAGCATCTTAAAGTGTGATTTATGTATACATGTTGACAACAATTTGGCTTTAAATTGTTAATCTTGATGATTTTGTTTTCCAAAAGTTCTCACTTTCAAGTCGTTGTATTGTTTTTACTAGTTGAGATAAATGTTGATCTTTGAAAAGAAGAGGTTGAGTTATTTGTTGTGAGGCTTGGACTTTGATTAATGGTTTTGGATGAGTTTTTGCCTTCAATTTTTGTTGATATTGATGGTTTGCGATGAATAATGGAGTTAATAAAAAATTTAATTATTTTCCAGCTTCTCAAGTTGGACAATTAACAGTGTGTCGATGATGGACTGTTTACAGGTTTGTAGTGTAATTTATTTGCATTGACTAGTCGAGGTGAGGAAGAGGGTGATGAGGTGGATGATGATGTTACCATTGGTGTTGGTTGACTGACCAATGTTGACAGTGAACTTATTAATTTAATGATCTGATCGTTGTAATTTTCAAATGACTCAACATTTTTGGAATAGGTATCAACAAGGTTTACCAGTTTATCAACTAGAGATTGAATCTTTTCGCTGCGAACTTTACTCTTCTTAACACCTTTAAGAGCCTCCAATTCCTTGATCAGTGATCTTAAATTGGGATCAAGATCGGTTAATGAGGTTTTCACTGATGAACCTTCTGAAAGTAATGAACCTGAGGTAAGTGTGGGACATATTTCTTTCAGACATTCAGTCAATTTAGTCTGTTCAATGGATACTGTTGAATCTCCCAAGTTGACCATCAATTGTTGATTCTGTTGATTATTGTTTGAAAAAATGGCATTTAGGTGTTTCTTTAGGTCTTTTGTATCTTCATGGAACCTGCGTTTTATTGATGGAGAAGTTGCTGTTATTGTTTTATTAATTGGTGGGGATGATGATGAATAACCATTGGTGTGTTTCCCATTTAAACGTGCAATGTTAGCATGAAAATGATTAGATGTTCCATTTGATTCATTTGATTTAGAGATTAAATTAGCCTGTTTGTCACCATGATTATCATGGGAAGCATCACCTTTACCAAATCCATTGCTCATTTTAATCTTTTCCTCTCCTTCCAACCTCATCTTGTTCATTATTCCAATGATTCTCCTATTGGATTCATTGACTATTGTATCATAATGGTTATCCTCTTCATTTTCCGTCTTTGAATCTCTTTCTTCCTCATAATCGTCTGCATCAGTGTCCACAGTTTCAGTGGTCATAGTTCTAGGTCGATGATGATTGTGATGATTATACATTTGATGGTGGTTATTGTTGTGTTTCTGTTCAAGATTATCAGATGAATCCATGGAACCAGTCATTTCGGTTGAGCTTTCAAGACTATTTGTTTCAGTAATTGCCAGTAAATCGCCCGTTGAAGAGTTTATTAAATTTCCAACCGAAGAACCTCCTAAAATTGTTGAATGAAGAAATGCTCGACCCGGCGCTCGGCGACCTGTTGGACCTCGAGGTCGATTCTTTTGTTCACAGTGAAGTATAGAAACTGGTTCAACACGATCGGTATCAAATTTAATTGTCTCTGGTGGAGCAGTTTTGTGTCTACTTCCATCAACTGTATGGTTACCGCCATGTTTGGATTTATCCTGGCGACGTCGACCTGGTCCTTTACGATTCACACGAGCATCTTTAATTGCATTTTGTATTGAACTGATCCACTTGAACATCTCAAAGGCACTGTCAGCTGAAAAGATGTGACGAGACTGGTGAGAGAAAGAGAGAGAAAACAAATTAACAATCAATCAAAATAAGCACTTCACAGTTGATGGCAAACAATAAATGATCAGTAATGATTATAATTGTGATGGAAAGATGATTGGTAAAATTTCAATTTCAGTTTTGTTTTTGTGTTTCCAACAACTCTGGAGGAAGATAAAGGTTGCTTTTTTGTCCTGTATTTCTGTTGATATACATTATCAGTTTACAAGTTCCGTTTACACAATAATATATTATAATAATATATCATAATGATTTACTATTAAATTTGTTGATTATCTAAAGATTCCTTGATGATTGAGTGAAAGAGTAAATAAATATCAAGTGACTGTGAATTGAGCTTTTTATGGATTTATTTTATTCACTATTGTATGGCAATGAATGATAAGTAAAAAAATTTTGCTCGCTTTTTTTATCAAAGATTAAAGTTTAATTAACCAGTGTAGGATGGTAATAATGATGATGATGATGAGACCTTGATGGTTGGGATTTAGGATCATCAAGAGTGTGTCCTAATTATGAGGTGAATCATCAAAATTTACCGCAATTCCTTCAAAAAAACATCATCTTCATTGTCACTGTCAGTTGTACTAATTAAATGTGGCAAAAGCTGTACAAAATGAAGCAATTGATACTCGAACGTTTTGGTTCATACCTTGAACTGATGATAATCCGTAATAGATGGTTTATATTTAACAGTGAAAGTAAAACTGACAAATAATTGGCAACACTTGGATCAACTTGGTGACAGAGAGACTGAAGTAACGTGAGAAATTGAAGCAGATTCAAGGAATCATCAGAATAATGATAAAAGAATGGAGTTTCAGATTCAGTCTTTACAGATATAATGAGAGCAACAAATGGTAAAAAGTAAGAATTGAATATCACTTTGCTTTAGAAAACTGAAAAGCTGAGAAACAAGAAAAGGCATGAAAATTTCATTGGTTAATAATTTGTCTTGAGGAGTCAGATTAAGGTTTATCCAGATTACTCATTTTCTTGCAAAGTGGTTCCATTTTGTCTGGAGTGAAAGGGAAAATACAATTGTTAATCTCAACTAATAGCTTGTTAATCTGTCAACGTTAATCCATGCAAAAATAAAATCAAGTTAATGGGAAGAAAGACTGATGACAATATGGTTAAAGGGCAGTTTTTCTGGTTAAAGAGTAATCCAGAGTTAATAAGATACCCAGATTAGACTGGATAAACTGATTAATTAAGGATTAATTATCTTTGAATGTTTCAAAGGAAACCAGCAAAAAATTGGGTTCAAGGCAATGTTTAAAAATTAACGAGAAACTGCGAGAAATTAACTGATTTTAATGTAAAGAAGGAAAGTGAAATCCTGAGGCTTGTTTGGTGTTTGAATTGAAAAATCTGATTCCATTGTGTTGCTGAAAAAATGGCTTTAACCTTGCAGTTTGCTAATACAAAGAGGGATATAATAAAGCAACAGTCAGAGTTAGTTTGGTGGAAATGTTGAGTGAAAAAAATGGTTTTAATTGACAGTAAGTGAGGTAAAATACCGATTCATCAACAAGAATCAACAAAAAGGTAACAAAAGGTAATGTGTTACCATAAATTGATTATTGTAGTGAATAGAGAGAAAGAGAGAGAAAGTTCTGACAAGAGAAAATGGTTTCAATTTTGATTCGATAAACAAACGAAAGGATAGAGAGATTCGTATACTGATTGTGTTAGGAAAGAGAGAGAGAAATGATCTCTTTATTTTATGCTCTACAAGAAAATCATGGATGAACAATTGAACATGATTTGGATGTTGATGTTAGGGATCTTTTTGTTTGTTTGTTTGTCTCAATGTAACAGATTATTCTGACTTGGAAGAATCGATTTCCGTTGGCTTTTGTTGAAAGAGAGAGAAACAAGAAAAATACAAACAAAAAATCCAATGATAATAAGCTTAAAGCATTGCAAATAAAATAAGCAAAATGATGATAATGATGACGCTGATGATGATAATGATGATGAAGTTGAAGAGATGAAAAAGGTCAGCAAAAGTAAAAGTATATTGTTATACGGTGAAATCAATATTGGGAATGGAAGAGAAAAGAGTCGACGATGAATAATTATTATCAACTCTTTTCTGTAATTGATTTAATTTTCACTTTCACTTTACATTTACTTACTTAAAGTTTCAGTCCAAGTTAACAAATGTGTAAAGATGAACAATTAAGGTCTATTATGGTGTTGCAAGTTTAGATGGATAGAATAGAAAAGAAGATTGAATTTTAAATGAAATTGTTGCAAGAAGAAGGTTTTTTTGCTTAAGTTTTGTTGCTTGCAGGAATGGTAAAAAGAAAAGATGTCTGAAGAGAAAAGGAAAAAACCAGAAGATACACTAAATCAATGATATAATAAGATAGGTGAAATACTGGTTACATGTTATCGTTTGTTGAACATGGCGACACAATTTAAGAATGAATTTGATGACAACAATGATGAGTTTATTTGAATAACACTGTGAATCGTTTTTAATGTTGGCGAGAGGGAAAAACGAATGTCTTCTTGGTTTCTCACTTGATGACTTCAGAGTTGACTAATTGATGAAAAGCGAAAATTGATTCAATTGTGGACCCAAAACAAGTGAACAGCAGAAAAACCAAATAAGGCTGTCCCTTAAATGTATAAAGCAAGTTTTGGTTAATCTTTGAAATAAGCAGAGATCCAATTGCTCATGTTGATTAATGATAAAGAATCTGGTGAACCCTACAGAACCGTATAAGGCAAAGATAATTTGACTGCAATATTTGCTGAAAAATATTAATTCACTTGATTATACACATTGATAGGGAAGTCACAAATATTCAATCATATGTAGATTGCACTAAACATAATGTCAAGTGTTGCACTGAATATCAATATAAATTAGCCGTAAATGGTAACTTTGATAAAATTAATAAACACAAGTTAAAATTACAAAAGTCGCCAAAATTTTTTCAAAAATTTGCTTTGACAATTTCACGATTGAATGTTAATTTTAAAAGATAGGGGATATCGATACTGATATTGATACTTGATATTTTTGTGGAAAAAGTGAGATTCAAAGGAAATGAGTAAACGTTTGGTAAATGAAAATGAAAAATTATTAATAAAGTGTATTTATCCACAATCAAGTTTAAGTTGAATGAATGGAAGCTGATCAAGAGGATGATAGTTAATTATCTACACTTCCAATGACTCACTACTTTTTGGTGTTGATTGATTAACTTCCATTAACGACGAGTTAACAATTTACAATACATCAACAACTGTCCTTGACTATGAAATTAAGGGTGAGTTTGGATTCTCTTGGAGAAAGTATTCAGCTTTTATTGCTAACTTTGTCTAATTTAACTCAACTTTGATTTAGCTGATTACTACAGTTTATTATTACGACTGGAGATGGATTTGGTTAAAGTTGCTGCTGGTAATCATGTTTGGCGGTGACAAAATTATTGCCTCTTATTTCATCATTACCAGTTTTTGGACAGCTAATTGATTTGAAACGTTAGATGGCGACTGTGAATCGATCAAGGGAAAACATTTGTTTTTTGGTGGAAACGATTTAAACTGTTATTTAACTGGAAATTTGGACGACTCGAAAAAAGACTTGGATTAAGGAAGCAAGGCTATTCTTATGCTCTTGAGAGTAATAAATGGATTCCATTATAACTTACTTTATTGGTGATTTCAATTTCTATTCTTATCTGCTTCGTTTCTTCATCTTCAGCTAACCTCACCTACGATGTAACCTAAAAATGGAGCTCAAATATAAAAACGGTTGACAATGACAACAATCAACTAAATGGTGGCTTTTTGTGATCAGATGTGATGAAATGCCGATTTTATTTCAAGTTACTCATGATGAAGTAAAACAAAAACACCAAGTCAAACCTGGATCAATGCTATTGAACAAAGTGACAATTTTTTACAATTTTCCCTCTACATCTCAATAATTGGTTCGCTTCTTTGATTATTATCATATTTACATGAAAATCAAACAAACAGTTTTGATTTTCACATGCATTCTCTCAGCGAGTCAAAACATACACACACACACATTCAAAGTAAATTAGTAATAGATTGTGAGAAAAGCTTTTCTATTAACCATTGATAGGTATCTAAGTTTCACCCTGTTAAATCAAATCATTATCATCATTAACATCATCACCACCATCACAACAGAAAAGCAGCAGCAAGTGAAGAAATCACTGACACCATCTTCCTGACATAAACATTTCAACAAGTTTGACAGTTATGGTTGCTACAACGTTGTTGCATGTGATGTACTGATTAAGCTAGCGTTGTTGTTGATCATTATCATCATGAGGATCATGCTGATTAAGTGTATTAAAATGAAAATGATGATGATCTTTTTTGATTTTTAAAATGAAGCAAAAGATCATTCTTGCATTTAAACCATCCCTTTGACGGGTGGTGATTTTTATGGTTAAAAGTGGTTGTGGTGAGAGATGAGGTGTGTTTAAATTAATATTTTGCTCGAGTTTGGTATCAAAAGGAATACATTTAGTTATAATAATAATGCTGATAATTATGATAAAACAGAGTCAAAAAATGAGTGAAACGAAATCAAAACGAAACAGTTCATTGTAATAGAAAACCAGCCTACACCTACCTGTTTAACCTTACCTTGAACAAATTGCTATTTAGAAAATTATGCTGGTTAAACGTAGGTAGCCATTGAATTTCATTTTCATTTATTTGTAAATAGCATTTACTATTAAAAAAAATGAAACACAATTCAAGTAAATGTTGCTTTTAATTTACAGAAAAAATGGAAAAATGGTTACTGCCATCTAACGAATACCAATGGAAACAAGGGTAAGTAACACTCATGCAATGTAGCAACATGATGCTTTTAATAGGAATGTAACATTGGTTGTTTACTTTCTTTGTCAATTAATAGAGGTCAAAGGATAGCAATCTAATTACTGATCATGGATTGGAAATGATATGCAAAAAAGGTTTACCTGAGCTGATTTTGATGAGGATGATACGGATGCCAATGAAGAGTAAATTAAAAATGAATACTTGGGTCCTTTGTCATTATCATTCAATGGTTCACAAACATCATAATAATCCAAATTGATTTGACCACAATTTTTCTTATCCAAACCAAGGCCCAGCTAAAGTTGATTGGAATAATAAATGGAAGACAACCCGGAGAAAAGATGAGTTGGTTTTTTTCAAGTGCAAATATGTTAACAAGCAACAAAGATGATTTACAAGGTTAATCCATTCAACAATTGAGTCACTAACGAACAACCAGAAGGAACCAGAAAAACCAATTGGTGGGATAACAAGGATTACATCAACAAGAATTGTATCAACAAGTGTCACTAGGATAATTAAATAATTGGACAATCAAACAAGAGCTGGATACTATGAAACAAGGCCACTTTGGAAACAAGTAAATTAACTCCGAGTCAACACGAAAAATAACATCAGCAGCAGCTTTTTTTTCTCTCTCTCTCCACCACAACAACAAAATCAAGTTATATTACTAAAACTTTGTTTTTGCCAAAAAGAGAGACTGAAAGAAAGAGAGGAAAAAGAAGGAGAAAAAGAGACGATGCAGAACGAGAGAGGAAGAGATAGAGAAAGAGGGATAGAAAGATAGAGAAGTGAGTAAAAGAAAGAGCAATTTGAAGATAAATTTCTGTAAAAAAGGGAGTAAAGCTCAAAACTAATAAGATGATAGGAAAAAGGTAAAAGAAAAGGGTGACTTATTATTAATAATGATCATTGATCATAGATGATTTTGTTTCTCTTCCTTCACCATCTTCTAACCTTCTTCCTCCTCCTTCTCATCATTATCTTTTGACTTAAAACCCACTCGCTATAATTCCTCTTTCTTTCTCTTCTCTCTTTCAGAATCTTGAGACTCTCGAAGCTTTGCTCTTTGAGTATCAATCAGACATTTAATTCATTCATCTTATTGCTATCTATTTTGTCAATTTGTTTCTTCCTCATCATCATCAGCAACATCATCATTATCATCGATAACAACATCGTTACCATGTTTATTTGCTCCCATCATGTGTATCAAATCAATCAGCTGAGTCGTCGTTTAATAGATTTCTGTTTGCTTACATTCAACCAATTGATCTAAATGTTACTTGTTGATGTTTGTTGTTGATGTAATCATGATTGTTGCTTTACATACCTTCACATAATAATTTAGTGATGAACCGATCTCTGTTTTAATGCCTTTTAACCTTCTTTATTTGTGCGTTGGTTAGTTAAATAGTTAATAATTTGTTTTTGATAATGATTAGTATGATTACCTGATTTTGATAATAATACAATTTGTTGGCCCGTAAAATGCAATAAGTTGTCCTCCAAGAGCCTTTAGAGTTAATATTATTTAACCATAAAGGTGTAAACCATTTTCGGGAAACCAATTTATTGAGATAACCTTTAATAGGAGCCTCAAGTTCAATTTCATTTAATTCATCAAGGTAAGGGTAACTTGGGTTGGTTACTCCTAGACGAGACTGGTATGACCAGGTAAACAAGAAATAAGATGATGAGGAGCAAGGTGATGTTGATGAAGATTAACAAGGAGAAGATTAAAAAACATTAATTAGCATAACCTTTTTTTTACATTAGATGTTGATGGATAAAAAGATGGAAAACATGAAAAGATGAAAAAAGCAACTTTGGGTTACCCTTGTCTACACTATTCAACAATTGAGTCTACAATAACAAAATAAAGGTTTGGTTGATTAATTTATCCAATTTAATCATAATGGGTACTAATTATGAAAACAAACAACGTTTAAAGATGACATTTGATTGTAAATCAAAAGCAAAAGATGTCGACTTGACTACAATAATAATACTTCAATGTTTCACTTGATCGCAACATCTTTATGAGGATTCATTAAAGACTAACAGATGCTCTGGTTTTGATTAATGTAAACTATAATCATCTTTCCCGGTTAATTGGTGAGATTGAAATTGAAACAATGATTAAACTGGTAACCACCAATGTTACCAGTAAAATTACCCGACTAGTTACCAGTGGCGTTACCGGTGAAATTACCAGAAACCAGGCAATCTTAACCAATTGTTACCATCTTTAATGTAGCCATGGAATTGACTGAAAATGATTAACTCGATACTCACAGATTCTTGCTGATGATTAGTTTTATCCTTAAAACATTCACTATTAGTGTTTGAATGATTAGCAATCTTGTTCCCAAGACAAATGGTGAAAATCCTTTTCCCAGGATTCAGTAGATTACTTGGTAAAGATAAACTTTCCATTATTGTAAACCATCAACAATAGTTAAATGGCGTTGAAAGCAGGGGAAAATTAAATTAAATTGTAAAATTTAAGTAAATATCACAAGAAATGGTGAAAATTTGCTCATTTAAACCAAAGAAAGCATTTTCAATTGTTTCATTTCAGTTTCACCAATCAATTTGTTTCCAACTTTCCTTAAATTGATTCCTGTAATTGGGTAAGAAACGGCAAACTCACCATTAGTTGATCAGTTGATTAACAATTAAATATGTTGAACCCAAACAATTGATTCGTAAATTAATCTTGCCTTTCTCCTGAAATCTCACAATGTTAAGTCAACATGTTAAAACACAATGAGGAAGATTGAAGTAAAATGATCTGAGCTAATGTTAACCATTTAAAAGTGAAATTAAACACCAATGATGATCACTTGCTACTGTTAATAGCTATCAATGAATGCAATTTATTCTGATTGTCTGTCTATGATTAATTAGCTAAATGCCTTAAATATCCTAATATTTCCCATAACCATGTAAAAATAGCAAGGCCTTAAAAGCTTGTAAAGACAAATCTTGAAACATTGTAAAAGAGGTTTAAATTGTAAAATGAATTACATTTTCCTGGCAATTGAAGTTGAATCGAGATTAAATATTGAAATTTGTATTGAAATGTGTCTTCAAAGATTGAACCATTTGAACCTGTTAGACTGAAGTCAACTGTAAATGTTTCATCTTCATCTTTTGCAGTTTTCATCATTGAAAATGGTTGATTACATTATCATCATTAGCTGTAGTTTTCATGTATTATTATCATGTTTACAGTTAGGAGGTTAATCATTTAACCTTCAAATGTGTTTATAAGTTGAACTTTTTAAGGTTTCCTTTGCATGAGAAATGAAGCTTAAAAGATGTACAAAATAGTTAATAATAAATTAACAAGTTTAACAGTTAACATTTACCATCAACAATTTAGGAAGCTTAATGTTTACCAGGAAAAAAAAAGTTCAACTTTGAAAATTATGATATTTATAATCATTAATTAATACAAATTCATGGATCAAGACGGAAGGGAAGACGAAATGGCGTAAAAAAGATGAATAGATTGTTTTATCGGGTTGGAAGCAATTAGCAAGCAATTGATATCTTTCATTGACTTACTTTTATTTTGATTTTCATCTGATTTCATCTTTTGAACAATTTCCAACTGATTCAACTCTCAACATTTTCTACAATTAAATCAATTCAAGATGATCAATTGATTCAACGTTTAATCCATTTGTTTTTCACTGTAACTTGAAAAATTGGTAAACATTTCAAGAGTTGATCCATTCACGGTTCAACAGGGTCAAAGGTAGAGCATTGATTTTAACACTGATGATAACAACGGTGGGACAGTTACGAAGACAAAAGCGCTTTGATTTATTTGATATTTTTTGCTGTCTACATCAAATGACAAATGGTAAGCAAATAAGGTACAAAAGATGAGTTGATTGAGATGAAAACTCTTTCTTTCCAAATACAATTAACTCTCTTTTTGCTCTCTTTTTGAGACTCCTTTTGTTTCAGTTAAGTTCATCATTCCACTCATCATTATCATCAACATGTTCATCAAAAGGGTGGGCCTGAGTGCTTTGGACAGCTCTTGAAATCAAAAGCAGTAAAATGCTTAACGGTGAGTTACTTGAAATTTTAGTTGCGGTTGTAACTTAACTTTCTTTTTTTTTAATTAAAATAATTGGTGTCACAATAAATCAAAAGCAATTTCTCATGACAATTAGGTAAAGTAATAGAGCATAGAGTTGGTTCCACTATTTATCCCTTAATTCAGACACTACTACACCTTTAAGGTAATCCTTCATATACAGCAAGTGATACTGATACAACAATTATTTTTGCTGCTGTCATAATTTTTGGTGAAGTTTTTGATTGAAATTATGACTTATTGTAACCTAATATTGTCACATTGATGAACATTTGATTAGGGTGAGAAAATGATGTTGATTTAGCAATTTTACCGATGCAAAAGATAAATGATTTAAATTAATGGTTCCCTAAAGATAGTAATCATGGACAGCAAAGGCCTCGTTATTGGTTTTGATTTGTTCAAGTGTAGGACTCGACATTTTTTTGGTGCAAAAAATAATCAAGATCCAAACGTTGATTGATCAACTTTAATTGAATTACAGTAAATCCTCACGTTCAGATATCTTTGAAGGTACTCCATCTATTGGAATAATAAATACTTTTCTCTTACATTGATAATTCAATAGTTTATTAACTTTCTATTGTTTTTGTTTTTTAGTCTTTTTGATTAGAAAAATTAGATCAAAAGTCAGGAAGAAAAGAATAGATAGAATATAAGAGAGAAGTCTCAAGCATTCCAATAGATGTATCGAAAATAATATCGGAAAGTGAGGATTTTACAAAGAGTATAATAAAGTTAGCACGCAATGTAAACTATCTTTTTGAAATACAGCATTTCTCGATGACTTTAGACAAGTTCCCATAATGTTTAGTCGGCTTCTCAAAACGTTTAGACAGTTCTCGTATTGCTTAGTCGATTTATCTTATTTATCTCAGCCAGAAGGAGCTGGCAGGCTCTGAAGAGCAAAATGTGTGCTATTTGAAAATGACCTTCAGAAGTTGTTTAGAGGTCAAATAAACGAATGACCATGAATAACCTTCAAACTTCAATTCTCACAAGCATACCGTATAAATATAAATACCCTAGAATGTTTAGTACTCCAGATATTGATTAAAACGTGAAGTAAATTAGGCTGAATAGCCCTGTACTTTGAGGTGGCCGATTGTAGTTAATCCTGAAAGAATGGAATCTCATCAAATTGTGATTGACAAATCTAGATGGCTAATCAAATCAATCTTTAGTGTCAGACATGTAAACAGTTCGATGTATCATTTCATGGCCTGGCTCAGAGGACGAGATAAACTCAGTTACTCGAACTGTAAGAACCAATTCTTGTTTTGATGACGATGTGGAGGAGGATGAAGTGGACGCTTTTGTTTCAGAGTCAGTCTTGTTGAACGTATCATCTTCCAATTCATATGGATTAGTGATTTGGGAGCCAAAGGGAAGATTCTTGGTGAAATAATCTTCGAGAAGAAACAAACTCTAAAAATAAAAAAAAAATGAAATTAGTTAACGAATTTAACATTCATAATTGAACTCATAGAGCGATAAATAGTATAAATGGTTGAATTAAGGGCATAAAAGCAGATTAACAATGCGAGAACAAAATTAGTATAAAATAATTGAGTAAAGCTTTTGAAGTGACAATTGTATAGTCATCGATACGGAAAAATAATGAATAGCGAAAGAAAAAACTAAAGCAAAGTTGTTGCAGTGAAACAACAGAATCAAGAATTAGCTAGTGGTGGCAGTTGATTAAATTTCCGTGGTTGTAATGATAATGATGATGAGGATCATGATTCTGGTGATGGGTATGGGAATAATAGCTAACTCTGACGGATTAGCATAAAGCAACAATGGATTCCGTTTATAACGTTATTTTCAATAATATCCAGAATCTGTAATCTTACAATGACGCCAATGATAAACTAAGTTTACCAGCACAACTCGAGACATTACATGTAATGATGACTATTTGTCTTTACCAAGGATTTGCCAAGTGTATAAGGAAAAGTTCAGCTCGAAAATTGCATGAATCTCATCTAAACCAGAAATGAACTTTTCAACTGAATCATCGAGAGAAAGGCTTTGGTTTTCCTTCATTATTAACAAGAACATCAAGTCGACCTAGTTATTCAATAGTATCAATCAAGACTCGACAGAGATCATCGTTTGACCAACCACTCCAAGGATTCAAAATTGTGATAAACAGAGGATTCGAATCAGATCAGATTATCAATACACAGTGCGAAGATAGATAACTCCACTTTAGCTCGATTGGATACAAATGATTGACATTCACCAACAACTTTTTCCTTGTTACGAACAGTAAACACAACCGAAGCACCCAGTTTGGCGAAATGGATGCCATTGACTTCACCAGTACCTTGCCTGAAACTTGTTGCTCTACGAGAAAAGAACGAGAACGAGTCAGTTATTGTTTAATTGTAGACTAACTAACAAGGGAACCCCACGAGATGCCTAAAACCAATTTGAATGAGTAAGGTGCCATTCGATAGAGAATGATGAGTTAGGAAACATCTCAATGGGTTTTTTCTGTGTAGTTAATGGTTCCTAAGATATTTGAGATCAAAATTGGGCATTTTTATTAATGCATTATTAAAAATGAATTTAAATGTGAGCTAGAGGTTAGCTCAGTGGTTAAAGGTGTAAGTATTAGTATTACAATATCATGCATAAGTTAAATAACCGATGGCAAGTTAAAGCATTTGGCTTTTTGTTTATAAGTTTTCGAGTCAATCATTTCAGCCATTGTTTCAGTTAACGAGGAGCTTATAACTAAACGAACTTAAATTAGAATTAAATTGTTTCAAGTAGTAAATTGAAAAAAAAGCAGGTTATCATGAAAACTTTGCCTTTTTTATTGAAATACAGTAAAATTTAGGACTAGACGAAAGTTCATTAGTATTAAATCTGAAGACAAGTAAGAAAAGAGTAACTATACGATGAGTATGAGGTAAAAATTAAGATAAGGCTAGCTTAATCGATTTATTCATATATAATTTAACAATTATTTTTTCATTATTCGGGGTTGCCTTTTAAATTATTTGATATTATGACTATGCAATTAGCTATTATATAAACGTCATCTGTAAGTATTCTTGTAGGTAAGTGATTAACTCGAGTTTTATCCAAATTAGGTGCACTCTGATAACCTTTAATGTGGCTTGTTTGATCGACAAAAATTTTCTGAAGATTCAGTATAATCCGGGTTTTTTTGGTGGATACTACTTGGACCCCATGTTTTGCCTTTTGGTCCGCTTTGAGGAACTGTAGAAATGGATAAAAGAGAAAGAATCAATATAAACGTTCGTTAAGTTTATTTTTGTAATGTGTCTTGATTTGTTATACTTACGAGCATAAGCTCTAAGTCTTAAAAGAGACGGAGATGAAGGTGGTGTATCTGGACTAGAAGTTGCACATTGCAATCGATATGGTGATGTATGTTCGGGTTGAACTGTTATATTGTGCCTAAAGTTACTGGGTTCACTGATGAACGTATGTTGCTCAGCAGCAGAATGTTTCAAAAGTTTAATCAACTTTTTCTCAGCAAAGGAGGACCTGCAAAATCTCCTGTTCTCGATTTTTTTTGAAATGTTAATTTTCAGACATAAAATTTGATGCTTATTTCAAAAATCAAATTTATTTTTTTATAGCATGCATAATTTCTGAGATATCGGCCAAAATATTTAGATATCACATAGTATTAGTGACCTTTTAAACATAATGAAGATGCCGTCTAAACCAGCTGCATCTTGACATATCAGGTTTCCCGGAAAGTTTTTACGCCCTTGAGCGTTTTTATTTAAAACAATTAATTAATTAAGTAAAATTGATTCAATTGTTTGGAATTTTTCTGAAATGTTAATTTAATATTTGTTCTGTAATTTTATGATCGAAAAAATCGATTAACATACCTAAATTTTGATTTAAGTTCAGGTGCAACTGTCATTGCAACTAAAAAGATGTGTCTCAGTTGAAAATCTTGCCAGGCATGAGTAGCCCCAACAGAATCTTTATAAATTTCTCGACAATTAACTAATGGATCAACTGATTCTGGTGGAATCCAAAACTTATCTTCAAAATTTGCATGAATCCTTTCAGACCACTCTTTCCAAGTCCATTTCACATCTAAACATGAAACACCTTCGTGTCGATATTTATCAAGACTCCACATTTCATCCAACCAGGTTACGATAGATTTACAGAGTCCGACAAGCTCGACAGCTGAACCATCTCGAGGTGTTGCTGGTTTACCACGATTTCCAGCTTTATCTGAGGAACCCATTTTATCCATCCAAGTTTCACAGTTCCATTGATTACCACCATAAACGAAACCTGTTTCTTTATTAATGCCTACTTCTATTTCGAAGCCTTCAGAGGTCATGTGAGCATCTATATTCACCCCGGCATTTCGTTCTCTGAACTTTATTCCTTGAAAATGTGCATCAAGTGCTTCTAGCATTACCTCATGAAGAGGTTGAATATGGCTTTCAGTTAACAAAGCTACTGAATCATCTGTAGGGAAAATTCGATTAACGGGTTCATCAAAAATAGCATAGCCTCCAGGAACAAATTGGCAATAATCTTTAATGGCCTGAAGCCACCACCAGACAGCATTTCTGCAATAATAACGAGCATTTGTTGCTTGATCCAGTAAGTTTGGTATCAATCCATGTCTAAGAGCTCCAGCAAATCCTAGAATAATGTAGCGAGCTTCGTTGAATCGACCGGGTATCAGAAGGATCCCTCTGAAAGCAATAAAAGTATCACGGCCCCAATTTCGCATATAGCCTGAAGCGAAATGAGGATATCCTGCAGCAATGGTTGGAGCTCGAGGTCGAGGTATACCACCGAGGACAACAATTTGCGGTTTGGGCTCAGAAATGTTTGATGAAAGTGGCGGAAGAGGTGAGGTTTGGTTGAATCCAACCAACGCAACACTTGCTAAAACAAGTGATTGTGTGAAAGTGGTTGGATCAACAATTGTGTCAAAAACTAATTGTGAGCATTTCTTAACTGCTAACCAGTAGACAGGTGTAATAATAGTTTCAAAGTAACGGGGCCGTAAGTAGTTTGGAATATCTTTCAACAAAACGAAAGCTTTTGAGAACCAATTAGATAATTGGGTGGTTGCTTGCCTTTTACTTAATCGATTGACGATGTAATCAGCCAACCACAGACCATCTCGAAGATTGTTACAAATAGGATGTCCAAGGTCGTTGTTAGTTCGAATTTCTTTCCAATAAAACATGACACCTGCAAGACCACAGTAACAAAGATCAGCGAAATTAGGCACGCTGTAGACTGCTCCACGAAACTCGTCATGTTCTCTTTATTAGTACGAAAGAGGATAAAATTAAGATCGTCTAGGGTAAAGTTTTCAAAAAGTTGGTTGACTCTTCACTAGATTGAGCCAAGCTTTGCAATCCATTCAAAGCATTGATGTGTTTTGCCTCTAAGGGTACATCAAAGCAAATCACAGAGCCTGGAGGAAATTGATTGAAATGCACCATGTTGATCCCATCTTTGGATTCAATTTTGATCATGGCACTTTCAACGAGCCTGATATTTTGTCGGCTTTCATGTTTTGCAATCCGTTCAAATAATGACTATTCTGGTGAAATTCTTCATGTCCACCCTCAAATTTAGCTTCAAACAGGATTTTGTTGAAAAAGCCAGCAACATGTAGTGGTTGAATAAACCCTGTATCCCATGGTTTATCAGGTTTGCTGAAACTTGTTCGAGCAACAAGAATACTTGATTTGTGATTAACTGGATTTTGTCGGGTGATAGCAACAACATCGTAATTTACTTGATCAACAAAAAGCTCCGAATAACCTTCAACAGCAAGTTTCTTGTGCAACTCGTTTATCACTTTTTTGCCAAGAATTTTTCCACTGGAGGATGAAACATGTTCATGACTACTGGAGTCGGTCCAAAATGCATAGGGACGCCATTCGTTGACAACATGGATATGATGGGAAACATATTCATCATATCCTAGACTAGAACCTATTGCCGAGGCTGACATGGCAATAAAACTTGAAGAAGCAAGGTAGTCGAACACGGAACGTTTTTGAATTGGGCACTCATTATCGTGTGTCATGTCAAACAGGATTGAATGTGACATTGTAGGCAACAAAGGTGTTGGATTAAATTTCTCAAATGCTCCAACTGGTTTACCACCATATCGATGAATGAATCGACCCAACTCATGAGAGTCAGGAGCCGCCAATGATTCTCGAATCAATGAATTTATTCCAAGTTGGTTGATGAACACATTATCAATCTTTTCAGATGAGGTGAAAAGTTCTGCAATAACATAAAGATTAGGACGTATTTTTCTTGCAGCATCTAACATATACTCTGCAACATGAAGAGGTGTTGAGTGACAATTATCCAGGCGAAAACCATGAAATATTTTAGCTGAGTCCTCAACATACTTTCTCATATGAGCCCAAAGAAAAGGACTATCTTTCACACATCCAGTATATCGTAGTTTAACTGAATCACCCCAAGCGATTAGTTCTCGTTCAAATAAACATCTGAGTCTGAATCAGCAAAATTCTTTAAAGGGTCGAATCCCATGACCCATCCATTGTGGGCAAAGAAGCGTGAGCATCATGTAAACAGTCCAACAGTGTTCCTATTGTCCAGGCTTGTATTTGACAACTATCAGGGCAGTATTTACCTTCCGAATTTGTCAATTCAGGAAGACCAAACCACGGACTTGTCTCGATGGCAACAGCATGATTGGACACAGTTTTCATCATTTTATTCGTTATGGCACTTTTGTCATTGTTGTGTTTAAGGTAGGCGCGATAAAAGTATCCCACTGGTCAAAGCCATTCTGGTCCTTGATGGTAATTGAAACCATGAGCGACTTTGGGATCATTGGAATCATCGGAATTGATGTAATCTCCTCTGTAGTTCCAATCACTTGGATTAAGGGTTTTAATTCCAAATGGGCCAAATAAAACATTTTCAGCCATTTCTAGGGCTTTAACAGCACCAGATCTGGTGAAAAGTTCAGGTGCAACTGTCATTGCAACTAAAAAGTTGTGTCTCAGTTGAAAATCTTGCCAGGCATGAGTAGCCTCAACAGAATCTTTATAAATTTCTCGACAATTAACTAATGGATCAACTGATTCTGGTGGAATCCAAAACTTATCTTCAAAATTGGCATGAATCCTTTCAGACCACTCTTTCCAAGTCCATTTCACATCTAAACATGAAACACCTTCTTGTCGATATTTATCAAGACTCCACATTTCATGGCCTTTTCCTCATCTTCAACGATTTTCTCTCTGGTTCATAGGTCGTGAAATATGGTGTGACCAAAGGGTCAGTTCTGGATATGAATCGTTTTCTTGGGCCATTCGGGTTCACTCGTTTGTACCTTATTTGCGAAATTGTGTTGCTGATTGCAGCACACAAATGCCGATGTACATGTTTTTTGATTTTTTAATTTAACTGTATTGCAATCGGCCTCAAAAGCTGCACCCGTTCCTCGACTAAATCATTCGTTATTGCACTGCGAGTTACGTCCCATGCAACGGTATTCATGGCTGAAACAACGTCAACTTTGGACCTCTTTCGTCTATATTTTGAATCTTGAATAAAGATTGGTTCAGAAGACGCTGAGGAACTTTTTCGATGGTAAATGGTACATCAAGCGATCTGAATAAGGTAGTTCCTCAGGTTTTCAACTATTTTATCATCACTGATCATAAAGAATTCTTCCAATTTGATTTTGGGTAGTTAATTCTCCCAGATAATCCTTTCAATAACGTTTAAATGTGTTTCACTGTTAACTTCACATGTTAACCCTTGATCTGACCACTTTCCGGCAATAATATCCAACGAAAAATGCCAAAGCATTCTATCCAACAAATAGGCTGGTCCCAAATGCGGTGAATTTTTCAAATTGTAACAACTTTCTGGATGTTCGAAAATCCATTCACTTTCATTAGCTGTATGATTTAACACAATATCAGTTATTGATAAAATTAACCATTCTTTTCTCATAAATTCAACAAGATTACCCACATCGTCAAAACTATATTCAGGGCTATGCTAATTGTGGCTGAACTTTGGATTCAAGACGAGTTGATCCTTGATGCAGTAGCATGACTGTGACCCTCCCAGAGCTTGAATTGGTGTGAAATGAATCAGGTTATAACCACAGTTCTTCGCCAATGCAAGTCGTCATTGCCAGGTGTCAAAAGTGCCAAGAAGTTTGCTGAGATACGTTTGGCAGACGATCGAATCAAGATCAACTACCTGTTCTTCTTCACTGCCGACTACGAGACGAGGTTGCACCAAAATATGGCGAGAACAATCGATGCGAGCTTCTTCATCGTCTTCAGGGTCCAAGAGGTATTTAAAGGTTCCTGGCATGGTAAATTTCAAATACAAACATGAGTCTTTTTCTGCCCATTTGTGGTGACGGAATTTTCCTCGGACGAACTTGTCTTCAGGATAATCGGAGTAAAATCTTGCGCGAACGCATAAATAACTGGGCCCCAGGCAAACTTTGATCACAGAACCTGAATAAAACAAAACAAAAAGGGTTAAAACAGAAAAAAACGAGAAAAAACCACTTACTTTGAGGAATCCTAAATAATTGATTGTCATTGTTCTGCTTGACTTCCAATCGCAGAACTTTCAGGATTGGTTCATCACGGTGAACAGGTGGCTCCAATACTGGAGTAGGTAATTCCGTAGTTCCGAAATCCGGTTGAATAGTGATCTGGTGAAACTGAAAATAAAATTGAATAAAAAAACAAAGTCACAGTTGAGCAAATTGAGCTTACAATGCCATCTGTAGTAAGCATTCCATTCAACAGTTGCGATGAAAGATGGAGACACCTTGCTCCCTTGTGTCATCGAGATTCGTTCAGTGCAGAGAGAGAGGGAGAGAGAGAAAGGGAAAAAAGATGAGGAGATATTTGAAATAGAAATTTCTCAATTGTTGATGTTTGTTTAGGCCCATGAAACAATTGCAATTACTCTGACATAACTCAACCTAAAAAGTTAAAGCTGACTCTAAGTCAGAAAAGATAATTATATTGTTATTGTTTAATATTAAATTAGATGAATGGGTAAAGATATAAAAATTGTGTATTGATCAACCTTGTATAATAGAATTGTTTCAATAAGGAAAATTAATAATAGAGCTAAATGCTATCAACTCTGAATTTTAAAGCGAAAAGCAATTGGAGGAATAAAAATTTGCTGTTTTGCAAAAAGACTGAGTGAAAATAAATTTGTTGCGTGAAAACACAATTTTTCATCAATTGAAGAGCCTCTGAAGTTGCCAAAATAAATATCAACTACTAAGTAGTGACATGATTAAGGCTTACTCTAAATTAGGTTGAAGCTGGTAAAAGATGGCCTTGGTAATTTGAAGGCCTGAATTTGAGTTCCGGAAGAGGGAACAGAAAGTTGAATGAAAATGTAAAAAAATTATCAAAATTAAAATATTAGTTAATTTAACCTGAATGAAAGTTTATCGGGTTACTAGCCTTAGTTGTAAGACAACAAATTATGATGTGAAGGAAAATATCAATTGACATTAAACACATGGTTAATCTCAAGCTGTTGTTGTTGTTTCAATGGATTTAAAGTAATTTTGTACATTTAATCAGTTTTACGATCACATTAAATCTATTTCCCAGAAATGACAATCTTGTAAGCTGGATTCGCTTGAAGTATTGAACATAACTTATCTAAATAGTAAATTGATGTTATTAAATTTTATCTAATAAAGTCGGTACAATAAAAGTTTACATAGAATGAGATATTGTTTATCGGCATAAAAACACAAGGGTAAAGGGTAATGCCACCCAATGAGCTGCATCGACATCCAGAGACATTATATTCTCCTCGACAAATGACATGATCAAGATTGGTAAAGAAGGGTTAAGAAATAAAAGAGTAGGGGGTAATGATAATGATAACAATGAAGACTGAGATATGGATTGAATATTTGAGTTTCATCCTGTTAAATCAAATCATTAACACCATCAACACAATCTCAACAATTGTGCGCGATTTGGTGTCTAATGGTGGTCTTTTGGTGGTTAAGGCCGATAATTATTATAATACACAGTAAAAATGAGTGAAACAAACCAAAACGAAAACATTTGCTTGCAATCGAAAACCAACCTACACCAATGTTTAACCTTACTTTGAACAAATCGCTATTTAGAAAGCAATGGTTGAACGTAGGTAGCCATTGAATTTCATTTTACATAGCGTATTGTAAATAGTGCCTGCTATTAAAAATGAAACACAATTGAAATAAATTAATAGAGGTCAAAGCAAACCAATCTAATTACTGTTCATGGATTGGAAATAATATTCAAAAAAGTTTTACCTGAGCTGGTTTTTGAAGAGGTTGATACGGATACCACAGAAGAGTTAATACTTGGGTCCTTTGTCATTTTCAGTCGAAGGGTCCAAACATATAATCATAATTGGGCGAAACCAAAGCCCAGCTCATAAGAAACAATTTTTTTACTATTACGTTGTGGTTATGTGACTTAACGAGTGTGAATTATGTTTAAATAGCTAAAATATGTCGTAATAATTGTTTGACTTGTCTCAAAACCTTGATTTATCGTGAAAACTAATTTAAATGAATTCTCGACATAGTCCGATTCAAGCTTGTCTAATTTATTTATCTGATTAACAGTACACGGTTTATATAGCTGCCAAAGGACTGTCTTTAATTTTAAACCAACTTTCCATCACAATCAAAATATGACGGCATCAGAAAGCTATTTACAAATCATTTTCATGATATCTGGTGGAGTGTGAGTGTAGGATCCATCAAGTGATCCACCATCTACAGGTAAACAGGAACCACTGATGAAAGATGCCATATCAGAGGCAAGAAAGACTATTGCATTGGAAACGTCTTCAGATTCACCGATTCTTCCAAGAGGATAAGTTTCAGCGACTCGTTTCCTTATAAGTGGCATCAAATCTTCGATTCCCTTGCTCAACATAGCAGTTTCGGTGCTATTTTAAGCAAGTTTAGTATGCAGGACTGAAATTAAAGAAATGGAAAAACAAACGATCAGATTGAATGTCGAGCGATTCAATATAGTTTATAAAAATACCTGGCATTGTTGATGCGAACACCTTCTGGACCCAGCTCAAGATTCAAATTTTTTACAGCCATGTCAAAGCCATCTTGCATATTCCTGCATTATTAACAAGAACATCAAGTCGACCTAGTTGTTCAATAGTATCAATCAAGACTCGGCAGAAATCATCGTTTGACCAACCACTCCAAGGATCTGAAATTCGTGATTCGCAACATAATATATCAGGATTTCGATACACAGTAGGAAACCCGTAAAAAATATTTCACTTTAGCTCCATTGAATGAATGAAATTGACATGCACCAACATCTTTATTAACTCTTTCCTTGTTACGACCTGTAATCCCAACCGAAGCACCTAATTTGGCGAAATGGATGGCATTGACTTCACCAATGCATTGACTAGAACCTGTTAATTTACCAGATAAGGATAGCTTCAGGATCAACTGAAACATTTTACTTTCAATTAAGAAAGGAATAAAATTGATTTATTTACATTTAATTTACATAAAATTATTTTTTATTATTTCGGGTTTGAATATGCTTATTTCCCGATGATAAATTAATGTTGACGATTGCCTTTTAGTTGATTTGATATTGTGACTTTGCCATTAGGTATCATAAAGAAGTTGTTCTAGTCGGAATGTCTTCAGACAGAAGAGCTGTTAAAGGAACGGTACCGTCTTGAGATTGGCCTTCAGTGGGAATATCTAGTAATGTTACTCTTGGATCTTTTATTTTGAACCAAACAGTCTTTTGAGGGGATGAAGAACCTGAAGGTGTATTGCATTGACTGAGCTGAGAGATTGGGGTTGATGGTGAATATGATAATGATTTATGGCTATCACAGTGACTTCGTACATTTGATTGTGATGAGTTTTTAAGATTTAAAGTAGTCGGTCTTTGAATTCCTTGATTTGAAGTTAATGTTACTGTGCTTGGATTGGATATGTCAACACAATCTTCTTCACCAGGATCAAAGGATGGATTAACACTTGATGAGCTGATTGAAGCACTGGATGAGGTTCGATGATATGATCGATATATGCGTGGAGATGAAACATAGTCGTGAGATTGTGCTAGAAAATCACTGTCTGTACTTGTAGTTGAGGATTTGCGTCGATCAAATGTAATGTAGGTAGAAGTTTGATTGTTTTTGAGATCATTTTTCTTTAAAATTTGATTGTAGCTGTTGACACCTTCCTCATTAGCACCAGTCATATTTTCAGCATAATTGTTTAAGGTTGACATTAAAGATGGTCTAAGTGAGTTTTTAGTTGTCCCGTGATAAGTTGCATGCTTTGCATAACCTCCGTTTGATAGTACTTTTTTATCCGATATATCAAGATTGTTTCTCACTTCAATAGGTGAATGGCCACCCTTTTTATCATGAATGTAAGATCTCAGATCTAATCCAATTGAACCAACAAATTTGATCCCGGCTTTAAGCAGAGCAAAGTCTGTTCGCTTTTTATGCTTCTTTTCAGAGTTATTGTAATGATCATTTGTATTTGAGCTAGCAAAACAGCCTTCACCTGAAAGTAAAGAAAGCAAAAATATTAGTAAATGATGAAAAAACGGAATAATCGAAATAACTGATTGCGAACGTGCATGTGTATAAAAAAATAAACTAGAACGCAAATGAGAACCTACTAGAGTCATCTGTAAGTATTCTTGTAGGTAAGTGATTAACTCGAGTTTTATCCAAATTAGGTGCACTCTGATAACCTTTGATGTGGCTTGTTTGATCGACAAAAATTTTCTGAGGATTCAATATAATCCGCTCTTTTTGGTGGATACTACTTGGACCCCATGTTTTGCCTTTTGGTCCACTTTGAGGAACTGTAGAAATAAATAAAAGAGAAAGAATCAATATAAACGTTCGTTAAGTTGATTTTTGTGATGTGTCTTAATTTGTTGTAAATACTTACGAGCATAAGCTCTAAGTCTTAAAAGAGACGGAGATGAAGGTGGTGTATCTGGACTAGAAGTTGCACATTGCAATCGATATGGTGATGTATGTTCGGGTTGAACTGTTATATTGTGCCTAAAGTTACTGGGTTCACTGATGAAGGTATGTTGCCCAGCAGCAGAATGTTTCAAAAGTTTAATCAACTTTTTCTCAGCAAATTTTCCTTTCCTCCTCTTAGGTATTGGCAATTGTTGCGTGGTAATGATTATATTCAATTCTCTTTGGAATGTTTAACAACACCGAGATAATGATTATCAGGAGATAACCAAAAGTGGGAAAGAAAAATAATTCATGATTAGATTGAGAATGTTTATGATAAATGAATCTTATGAGATGAAAGTACCTTTCTAATAATTCGAACTCTCGTTCCCGTATCTCTTTTTCTCGTTGGCGTAGTTGTTCCTCTTGGAGTTTTTGTCGATCTTTCGTTCTTGATATTTCTTCTTCCCGGCTTCTTAATTCCTTTTCTTTGCACTTTAACTCTTCTAAGATTTCTTTAATTTCACTCTTCCAGCTATCTTGAAGTTCATCAAATGATTCTTGAGTGGTAACTGCAAATTGAGATTTAGATATGCTTTCAAGATGATTTAATATTTCCTCAAAACTTGGCCTGGAATGTGGGTCTGTATGCCAGCAAACTGTAAATAGGGTTAAGATAGAGTAAATATATTTTATTAGTATATTCATCAAATATAGCAAAAAGTATCGTGAGTAAATTCAAATAATGAAAGAATAGGCCTATGAGACAATTGCAATTACTCTGACATAACTCAACCTAAAAAGTTAAAGCTGACTCAAAGTCAGAAAAGGTAATTATATTGTTATTGTTCAATATTAAATTAGATGAATGGGTGAAGATATAGAATTGTGTATTGATCAACCTTGTATAATAGAATTGTTTCAATAAGGAAAATTAATAATAGAGCTAAATGCTATCAATTCTGAATTTCAGAGTGAAAAGCAATTGGAGAAATAAAAATTTGCTGTTTTGCAAAAAGACTGAGTGAAAATAAATTTGTTGCGGGAAAACACAATTTTTCATCAATTGAAGAGCCTCTGAAGTTGCCAAAATAAATATCAACTACTAAGTAGTGACATGATTAAGGCTTACTCTAAATTAGGTTGAAGCTGGTAAAAGATGGCCTTGGTAATTTGAAGGCCTGAATTTGAGTTCCGGAAGAGGGAACAGAAAGTTGAATGAAAATGTAAAAAAATTATCAAAATTAAAATATTAGTTAATTTAACCTGAATGAAAGTTTATCGGGTTACTAGCCTTAGTTGTAAGACAACAAATTATGATGTGAAGGAAAATATCAATTGACATTAAACACATGGTTAATCTCAAGCTGTTGTTGTTTCAATGGATTTAAAGTAATTTTGTACATTTTATCAGTTTTACGATCACATTAAATCTATTTCCCAGAAATGACAATCTTGTAAGCTGGATTCGCTTGAAGTATTGAACAAAACTTATCTAAATAGTAAATTGATGTTATTAAATTTTATCTAATAAAGTCGGTACAATAAAAGTGTTCTGATAATGATGCTTCAATTTCAAAGTTGATTGCAATTGCGATAGAGACTTGTAAAATTGAATTGTAATTGATGGCTTACGTTTAAGCAGATCAGCAAATGCTTTGGGACAAGTTGAAGGAATAGGTAGTTTAAGTTTTTCAATGGCCACTCCATAAGCAACTGCAAGAGGATCTATTCCTCTATACGGAATCTCTCCTGTTAAAAGTTCCCAAAGAATGACTCCAAAACTGTAAAAGATCATTAAAAAATGTTAAACATTGTAATTAATCATCAAACAAACAACAAAAAACCAACCAAACATTTTTCACAAAAAAAGAGTTTTACCTCCAAACATCACTTGATTTAGAGAAGGTTGATTTTTTGATAACTTCAGGAGCCATCCAGGCATAAGTTCCCGCTTGAGACATACGAGAGGTTTGATAAATTTCACGAGCTAATCCAAAGTCCGTAATCTTGAGTTCCTTTCCTCTCCAAAATTGTCCGACAATGGGTTCATTCAAGAGAACTGTATTATAAAATAATAAAAACATTAATCTAAAGTCAAAGATGAAAATTTAAACGATAGACTTACCATTACTGGATTTCAAATCTCTATGGATCAAAGGTATACGAGCTTTACAATGCAAATAGTCCATTCCTGAAGCTATTTGTATCGCCCAATCAACTATTATATCAGGAGGTATTTTGCGACCTGCCAATACCCGATTTAAAGGACCTCCTCTACATAACTCTAAGACAAGGCAAAGGTTTGGCTCATCAAGGCAAATACCAATCAAAGAGACGATATTTGGATGATCTAGAAGTCTAAATAGTTTTGCTTCTTGAAGAACATTATCCATGACAGTCTTCGTATCATCATCTTGTTGACGTAGGGCTACTTTGACGGCAACCTCTCTGTAGTTGTAAGTACCTAAGTGACAAGATGATAATGTAAAAGAAAGGGTGAGAAATTAAATAAGATCCGATGATAGTAGTAGGATTATTGAGGCCGAGTATTTTTTATATAATTTCAAGTGGATGTTGATTTGGATGACAAACCGAAATGGATTATTAAATAGTGATAAGTTTTACCTCGATAAATTTTACCAAATCCACCAATACCAATGATTTCTTTGAGCTCTAACTCATCAAAACGAATGATATTCATGACGGAAAGGCAGCTATTCCTTTCAGGTGAAAGCAATGAATTTGATGAAGCAAGTGGTTTGACAAATTCACTAGGAAATATTCCAACATTAGCATCAATTTTACCAGTCCACCAACCTTCATCACCAGATATTTTGGCATCTTTCGATAGTACTTGTACTTTTTGACCTTTACGCAAGGATAACTCGTCTTCACCGGAGGCATGATAGTCGTAAATTGCGGTATAAACATTGTTTCGCAGTTGATTGATTGAGGCATAATTGTTTTCTCTATAGTTGACGGAATTTTTCGGCTCGTTTCTTAGTCTTTGTCTGAATCTATCCATCTATTGTGCACCTAGAGTGAAAGAGTCAGAAAATGAAAAATAATTAAAATAAAATTAATTAGCTTGAAATTAATGTAATGAAAAGGAAGGGATGGTAAAGTTACATGGAAATTACATCAATAACGAATCTTGTGAACACAGCAGTTGGAAATAAAATCATAAAGCACAATTTAAAATCTAAATGCTCATTTAATCAATAGGTATGAATAAACTGCAAAGGCCTAAGTTGAAACAAGTGGGCAAAAAACTTTATGATTATTAGAGCCTATTGTCCGAATAGATCAGATGCTTAAGACGATTTTTGCTATCTTTAAAGCTCAAGTCCTAATTGATTTGAAACATTAGACTGTGAATCGATCAAAGGAAAACATTTGTTTTTTGATGGAAACGATTTAAACTGTTATTTAACTGGAAATTTGGACGAATCAAAGAAATAAGACTTGGATTAAGGAAGCAAGGCTATTCTTATGCTCTTGAGAGTAATAAATGGATTCTATTATAACTTACTTTATTGGTGATTTCAATTTCTATTCTTATCTGCTTCGTTTCTTCATCTTCAGCTAACCTCACCTACGATGTAACCTAAAAATGAAGTTAAAAATATAAAAACGGTTGACAATGACAACAATTAACTGAATGATGGCTTTTTGTGATCGGATGTGACGAGATGTCGATTTTATTCCAAGTTACTAATGATGAAGTAAAACAAAAACACCAAGTCAAACCTGGATCAATGCTATTGAACAAAGTGACAATTTTTTACAATTTTCCCTTTACATTTCAATTATTGGTTCGCTTCTTTGCAAAGAGTAAAGAAGCTCAAACGAACAGTTTTGATTTTCACATGCATTCTCTAACATGGTAAGTCATAGTCAAAACGTACACACACATTCAAAGTAAAGTAACAGATTGGGAGGAAAGCTTTTCTATTAACCATTGATAAATATCTGAGTTTCACACTGTTGAATCAAATCATTAAAATCATTACCAACATCACAACAAAAAAGCCGCAGCAACTGACACCATCTTCCTGACATAAACATCTCAACAAGTTTGACAGTTATGGTTGCTACAATGTTGTTGCATGTGATGTACTGATTAAACTAGAGCTGTTGTTGTTGATGATCATTATCATCAAAAGGATCATGCTGATTAAGTGTATTAAAATGAAAGTTATGATCTTTTTTGATTTTTAAAATGAAAAAAGATCATTCTTGCATTTAAACCATCCTTTTGACGGGTGGTGATTTTTATGGTTAAAAGTGGTTGTGGTGAGAGATGAGGTTCGTTTAAATTAATATTGTGCTCAATTTTGGTATAAAAAGGAATGCACTTAATGCAATAATAATGCTGATAATTATGATAAAACACAGTAAAAAATGAGTGAAACTAAATCAAAATGAAAACAGTTCATTGCAATAGAGAACCAGCCTACACCTACTTACTTTACCTTGAACAATTTAATAAATTATGTTGGTTAAACGTAGGTAGCCGTTGAATTTCATTTTCATTATTTGTAAATAGCGTTTACTATTAAAAAAATGAAACACAATTCAAGTGAATGTTGCTTTTAATTTAGAGGAAAAATGGAAAAATGGTTACTGCCATCTAACGAGCACCAATGGAACAAGGTAAGTAACATTAATGTTATGCAGCGACATGATGCTTTTAATAGGAATGTAACTTTACTGGTTTCTTTAATTGTTAGTTTATAGAGGTCAAAGGAAAGCAATCTAATTTCTGATCATGGAGTGGAATTTACTTTCAAAAAAGTTTACCTGAGCTGATTTCGATGAGGATGATATGGATGCCAATGAAGAGTAAATTAAAAATGAATACTTGAGTCCTTTGTCATTATCACTCAATGGTTCACAAACATCATAATAATCCAAATTGATTTGACCACAATATTTTCTTATCCAAACTTAGGCCCAGCTAAAGTTGATTGGAATAATAAATGGAAGACAACACGGAAAAAATATGAGTTGGTTCTCAAGTGCAAATATGTTAACAAGAAACAAAGATAATTTACAAGGTTAATCCATTGAACAATTGAGCAACTTACTAACAACCAGAAGGAACCAGAAAAACCAATTGGTGAAAACAAGGATTACATGAAATTGTATCAACAAGTGTCACTAGGAACTATTAAATAATTGGACAATCAAAATAAGACTTGGATACCATGAAACGAGGCCACTTGAATGAAAGATTGAAAGAAAGAGATGAAAAAAGAAGGAGAAAAAGAGACGATGCCGACCGAGAGAGGAAAAGATAGAGAAAGAGAGATAGAAAGATAGAAGAGTGAGTAAAAGAAAGAGCAATTTCAAGTGAATATAAATTTCTATAAAAAGGGAGTAAAGAGGATCGAGACTAATAAGATGATAGGAAAAAGGTAAAGCAAAAGAAAAGGGTGACTTGATATTGATAAGACTCTCGGCTCCCCCTCGCGTCTCAACCATGAATAGCTCCAATGTAGTGATCGCACATAATTCATCATGAACATTGATCACAGATTTTTGTTTCTTTTCTCTTCCTTCTATCTTGTTCACTAACCTTCTTCCTCCTCCTTCTCATCATTATCTTTTGACTTAATTAATAACCCACTCGCTATAATTCCCTCTATATCTTTCTTCCCTCTATCATAATCTTGTGAGTCTCGAAGTCTCTTATTGTCATTACAATGAAGTAGCTTTTTTTCAGACATTTTGTAAAAAATCAAAGAAATGATGGAAATTTATTCATTTGTTCAAAGGAAACATTTTTCAATTGTTTCATTTCAGTTTCACCAATCAATTTGTTTTAGACTTTCTTTCAATGGATCTTTGTAATTGGGTAAGAAACGGCAAACTCACCATTAGTTGATCAGTTGATTAACAATTAAATATGTTGAACCCAAACAATTGATTCGTAAATTAATCAAGCCTTTCTCGTGAAATCTCACAATTTTCAAGTCAACATGTTAAAACACAATGAGGAAGATTGAAGTTAAATGGTCTATGCTAATGTTAACCATTTAAAAAGGGAAATAAAACACCAATGATGATCACTTTGCTTGTTGTACCTGTTAATAACTAACAATGAACATGCAATTCATGCTGATTGTCTGTTAATGATTTATTAGCTGATTGGATACCTTAAATATCAACAATATTTCCCATAACCATGTAACAAGGCCTTAAAAGCTTGTAAAGACAGATTGAAGGATTGTAAAATAAAAATATGTAAAAGATATTAAATTATTAAATTAAATATTGATAAATCAATTAATTGCATTTTACATTTCATTTTGGCTATTGAAGTGTAATCGAGATTGAATATTGAAATTTTATTGAAATGTGTGTTTAAGATTCAAAAATGTAAGGTTATCTTTGAACCTGTTGGACTGAAATCTACTGTGAATACAGTTTGATCTTCAAAGATTGCCGGTTAATCTTGGTTAATCTTACAAGGGAAGTAATCGTAATGCCTATTGAAATAATGTTTCTGGTATTACAATTGTTTCCCTTGTCAGTGAAAAAGTAACATTGATTAACTTAACGCCATCTATTATCTTTAAAGCTCAATTAGCGTTTCTGTTTCTTGAAAGTCTCAATTAGATTTGTCTTTCTTCCAGATTATGGTTCATTTGATGGCGATGAGTAAGGTTGTGACGGTTACCGCTTAGAATGGTTGATATAACCAGTAAACACCACATTTCCCCCCCAATGGTTATACTAACATAAATAATCGGGTACTAACCACGTTAGTCAGCGCTGATAATCAGAGTAACTTCAAAAGAATGGAAAGTTTTCAAAGTTTTCCAACAGATTTTTTTCATGAAACTCACATTAAAGATGTAACTTTTGATGAACGATCAGAAAATGGTCTTATTTTGAGAAATAAAATTTTGCTTTTCTTTAAAACAAATCAAGTTCGATTTTTAGTTGAACTTGTCGCATTCTGTGACAGTTTAAATTTATCATGCGTGTGTGAATATTTTTGGTACAGATCAGTGACCAAATACCTTTTTCAGTTTAACTGACAGTTATCTTGATTTTGGCCATTAACTTAAAAACTTTTGACCTCAATATTTCGAGATTGGTGTCACCTACGACCATCATTCTCCAACTAATCACTAGTTATTTTTATGGGCTATAATGTATTGAAATATTAAAAAAAAGTTATAGCATTTTATTTGTATTGAGTTACATCATGGATTAAATAATTTTAATATTTTAACAATAGTTCTCTTGATTTTTACCATTTACCTAAAAACTTTGAGCTTCGATATTGCGAGAATGGCATCACCTAGAGTCATCATTCTTTAACCAATTCAATTCTTTACTAAACAATAATCAAATTAAGTTTGTAAATTTTTCATTAGCGCATTTTATTGTGATGTTTGGGCTGCAAATGTACGAAGAATCAACTTATTCAACAAAACAAACTCATCTCAACCCATTTAGTGGTAAATAAACCATTTTCCTGGTTAAAGTTGCAAACGAAATGCAAAGAATGCTGCAAAAGGCTCGAACATTTCAGTAAAGAGTTGAGACTTGGTCAGTTTGTAGGGACATAAAAACTGATTCATTTGGTACTATTAAATAATTCATCCAATGCATGGTTTTCGAGATAATCGAGGTCAAATTTGAAACTTCGATCGCCTTTTCTTCAGCTATGGAAGATGATCTTTTGATGAAACTCACATCAAAGATGTAACTTTTGATGAGCAATCAGAAAATGGTCTTATTTTGAGAAATAAGTTTTTAAATTTTCAAATAAATCTTTAAAACAAATCAAGTTCGATTTTTAGTTAAACTTGTCGCATTCCGTGACCGTAATATTTAGAGAACTAAAACTTATGATTCGTTGATAAATTGTTATTACACATCTTGAGTTGAATGATTTTTTCAATTCAACGAATGGCTCTCTTGATTTTGGCCTTTAGTCTAGAAACTTTGGACCTCAATATTCCGAGAATGACATCATCTACGATCATCATTCTTTCATAGAACATTAGATTTCATTGTGGGCTATAACAATATTTGACTAAGTACCGAGTTAAATCTAATCTAATTCATTTAATAAGGAATATTCTTCTAACGCTAAAAATTTGTGTTTGGTAACCAAGCAACTATGTAAACTAAGTCTAAAATCTGACAACGCAATTAATAAAATGCTATGACTTTTCTTGTACGATCTTAAATTATTTAAAATTTCAATTTTATTGTAGCCCATCCAAATATCTTGTAATTAGTTAAAGAATGATGATCGTAAGTGATACCATTCGCGGAATATTGAGGTCCAAAGTTTCTAGACTAAAGGCCAAAATCAAGAGAGCCATTCGTTAAATTGAAAAAATCATTCAACTCAAGATGTGTAATAACAATTTATCAACGAATCATAAGTTTTAGTTCTCTAAATATTACGGTCACGGAATGCGACAAGTTTAACTAAAAATCGAACTTGATTTGTTTTAAAGATTTATTTGAAAATTTAAAAACTTATTTCTCAAAATAAGACCATTTTCTGGTTGCTCATCAAAAGTTACATCTTTGATGTGAGTTTCATCAAAAGATCATCTTCCATAGCTGAAGAAAAGGCGATCGAAGTTTCAAATTTGACCTCGATTATCTCGAAAACCATGCATTGGATGAATTATTTAATAGTACCAAATGAATCAGTTTTTATGTCCCTACAAACTGACCAAGTCTCAACTCTTTACTGAAATGTTCGAGCCTTTTGCAGCATTCTTTGCATTTCGTTTGCAACTTTAACCAGGAAAATGGTTTATTTACCAAGAAATGGGTTGAGATGAGTTTGTTTTGTGAAAAAGTTGATTCTTCGTACATTTGCAGCCCAAATAGTATAATCCTAATGACCCGATGGAAAATTATTTTATTGAATTGCCTAATTAATTAGTAAAGGATTAAATTAGGACTAAATGAACTCTTAATATGAATTGGTTCAAGCTTGTCTAATTTATTTATATGATTAACAGTACACCGTAAACCAACTTTTCATCACAATCAAAATATGGTAGCATTAAACAACTATTTACTCAAAATCATTTTCATGATATCTGGTGGAGTATGAGTGTAGGATCCATCAAGTGATCCACCATCTACAGGCAAACAGGAACCACTGATGAAAGATGCCGTATCAGAGGCAAGAAAGACTATTGCATTGGAAACGTCTTCAGATTCACCGATTCTTCCAAGAGGATAAGTTTCAGCGACTCGTTTCCTTATAAGTGGCATTAAATCTTCGATTCCCTTGCTTAAGTTAAACTTACTGAGCTTGAATTGAAGCTGAATTGACCAGCACTACTCGAGACATTGATGTTACCCTTTGTCTTGACCAAATGAGGAGGATAAACCAGAAATAAACTTTTCAACTGAATCATGGAGAGAAACGGGCTTTGGTTTTCCTTCATTATTAACAAGAACATCAAGTCGACCTAGTTGTTCATTAGTATCAATCAAGACTCGACAGAAATCATCGTTTGATACATCACGAACCACTCCAAGGATCTGCAAACGTGATTAACAGAAGAGTTAAAACATAATCATCAGATTATCGATACACAGTGTGATCCCCTATGAAAATTATATCACTACAGATTCATTTGGTGAATGAAATTGACATTCACCAACAACTTTATCAACTCTTGCAATTTAAACAGATTGAATAATCAGAATATTTTTTAATACGCTGAGCTGGGAGCTAATCTTACAGTTAGAGTTACAGTTTTATCCATTTTATTCATCATTTGCTCATCTTCTTGCAAATATTAACTTAACCTGATTTAAACCGAAGGTTGAAAAAATAAGTGGGAAAATTATTTTGATAACTTTATTTTTATTTTGTACAATTAATTGATAGAAAATTGTAAAGGCATGAAACATTCAAGTTTATATTAATATTTTTCGAGGGGCTCCATACTAAATTGTCCATGACCAAATTATCTCACACTATTAGTTGTTATTTGTACCATATTATTCATTTTCATAAACTTTTTAACTCTCACAACAATATCAAATTGATAAGAGGCCAGAAATTGAAACAAATTTCATAGCAACTTTTGCGTCTGATTATTTTTCAAATTTTTCAATTTGTTGTTCAATCACTTTGATGGCTTCAGTTAAACTATTTGAATTTCTCATGTTTTGTGAAATGGCTTTGATTCTATTCTTCAGTTCATGATCTCCAATTGCTTTTTCAATACAATCAAGAAGAGGCTCTTCCTCAATTTCATATGGATTGATACGGAAACCAATATTTTTTTCAACAACTCGTTGTGCATTATCATATTGATCATAAAAATAGGGAATGACAATCATGGGTTTTCCATAATAAAGTGTTTCCATGAACGTATTGTTCCCTCCATGAGTTATGACCAGATCAACCTTTTCAATTATCTTGATTTGATTGACGTAATTTTCACCCCACATGTTGTCAGCCAATTCGAGTCTATCACCTCGAGACCCTTTAGAGACGATGAATCGATGCGGTGATTTGGCTAGAATAGCAATCAACTTTTTCATCATGGTTATATCAGCAGATGCTAATGTTCCCAACGAGAAGTAGATTAGTTTACCCGGTTTATCTTGTAATTTTTCCGGTATAACAAATTCTGTATCAACTTCTTGTTTACGAATCCAACAATCAATTCTATGCCAATTGGGTCGGACCGGAGCACATTCAGTGAAGTCCAAATCGGCAGGATAATGGTAAAAACCAACAGATTGTACATGATCAATATACTTTCCCAGGTCAAATGAATCAAGATCAAATTCCGGAATACCCATGGCTTCCATCAGATGACTAGGCAATTTGAGTAAGGTTGCATGAGCTTTGTTATAAACATCTCTGAACTCGATCCATTTAGATTTATCACTGTTGACTGAGTAACCAGAGCTGAATGGAGGACCAGATGGATACAATGCCAGTGGAGCAGTTGAGACGAGTGGAAACCAAGGAATCAAATGGTCGTAAATGCGGAGTAGCGGTCCTGGCATGTCAGAGATGATAGCATCGAACTCGTTGCATCTTTCAGTTATTATTTTATTCAAGGGCTCAAAAAAGGCCATGAATTGAGCTTCTGTGTCTGCAAGGCCTGCGCTGGCAAACTTGGCCATTTCACGGAAACATTCCAATGGCTCTTTACGAAATTTATCGGCACACGCATCAATCAAATTGATCATTAGTTCATCTGCATTAGAATCAGCAAAATCTCCACCAAACGGAATGAATGACACTCCTCTCTTTTCAGCTAAAGATCTGTACTTTTCACGATGAGCCAAACACACTTCATGACCGGCAGCCTTTAGAGCTTCAGAAAATCCCAAAATTGAATGCACATGTCCAGGGCTGAAAAAAGAAGTGTTGAAATCTTTTAGAACATCGAATAGAGTCGCTTTTTTAAGGAACAAACAATGAAATAAAAAATAAACACAAAAAATTGAATGATTACTGGCAATACTTACGCATCCAGTGCAACTGCTAAGAAACGATAAGTTGGCATTTCAGCTTGTAAATTGATTTCACAGGGTAGTTGAGTTGTAGATGTTGAAATTATGAATGATTGAGCTGAAAAGAGTGAAGCTTAAATACACTTCATGTTGTCTCAACACTTTCATTGACGAAACGATTATGCGCGATTATCATCCATTTGCTTTTGTGCCTCAATCATGTGAGATTAATTTAGATCCGGGAACGGCGAAGACGAACTGAGACATGGTATTATTACATTACCTTATCTTAATACATTGAGATAAAGTTGAGGAGTTCGAATAGTGATACTTGCGAATGGAATCATTATCAATAGATGAGATAAGACTCGTTTTCACTGTTGAACCGGATCAATGTTGGACAAAATAACGGAATAATCTTTCCAGATAAAGGTTTGATTGGAATTATGCATGAAAATAGTTTGCTTTGAAAAATAAAAACAAAAATTTGAAATTGAAAGTTAACAGATAAAAAACTCTCTGTTGATGTTTTTAAACTTACGTCTGTAAATTGGTAGAGTTGAAGCGAAGCCTATAACCACATGATATACGAGTTATTCAATCTTCTTCATATCCTGTTCATCAACAAGTGCACATCTCAAGGACTTGTTTTGTTAAGATGGATTCTTATCATCGTCTTGTGTTTTGTTGCTTGTAACTGTGAAAAATTTTACTCGAATAATGTGATTAAATTATGTAAGATGATTTAAAATTACTCAATAACGATGAAATAATTTAAGAGCTGATTTGGTGAGACCACTAGATGGCTGGAGCTGCTATAAAGTTTAGCCTTGAAGTCAAAGGCTTCAAAAGCTGTTTATAATATTAAGTAATAAGAATAGAGCCGACAGTTAAGCATTAAGATAAAACAGATTAAACTGTTTAGAAATTGAAAGATGAAAAAAGTGTAAAATTTTTCATTTCAATCCAACATTGAATACTATTTATAAACATGTTATTGCTGTAATAACATTGTGAACATCTTTTTTCTTCTTCAATCCAATTCTAATTGATATTCTGGTTTCCATTTCGGATCAAAATTTGATTAAAATTTTAATTTCCAAATCTCATTCGCTTTCAAGATCAGTGGACTATCAAGTTTGTTTTTTAAATATATTTAATACATGAGGATATGTTTCATTTGACTAATTAATGATTTGACAAGCTTAAATAAGAGTTGCTTTGAGTCGATAATCAAATGTTGCCAGTGTTAGTTGGGGCATTAATTTAAAATTGATTGAATAAAGGTTGTCGCTTAGAGTAAAGTTTTCACCGCGAGGTCTCGGAAATCCATGAGTATAATTGTCTACTCTGAAGACTGCCGAAGCATCAAATTGGTCAGCTGAAAGAGTTTGACAATTTATATCAGCATTTAACTTTAATTTTCCACTTTTAGGTATTTTAGTTCCAACAATCCAATAAAAACCACTTTGTTTGTCCATATGAAGCTGTCCTTGGCTTGGTGCACAATTGGATAAACGACTGATTATACTTTGAGGTAGTCGATTGAAGTTAATCCTGAAAGAATGGAATCTCATCAAATTGGCTTTTTTAATTGTGATGGACATATCAAGATGGAAAATCAAGTCACTCTTTCGTGTCAGACTATAGTTGTACTGAAGGAATGGTTCAGATATTAATCCTGGGTTGCATTTATAATGGAAAAATCTTAAAGCTTTGGAATTGAGTTTAGAGCATATACAAGAAAAGGATGATGAAGATACAGAAGCCGGAGAAGAAGATGTCGATGAAGATGATGATGATATCGAAGAGGAAAAGTTACTGTTATTAAGCCAACAATGAGGTGACAAGATTGGATTAAGCTCATTTAGATTATCAACTCTGTAGGTTAATAAAGGATTACCAGAGAAGACAATATTATTTGTAATGTAAACAGTTCCATGGATCATTTCATGGTCTGGCTCAGAAGACGAGATGAACTCAGTTACACGGACTGTAAGAACCAATTCTTGTTTTGATGACGATGTGGAGGAGGATGAAGTGGACGCTTTTGTTTCAGAGTCAGTCTTGTTGAACGTATCATCTTCCAATTCATATGGATTAGTGATTTGGGAGCCAAAGGGAAGATTCTTGGTGAAATAATCTTCGAGAAGAAACAACCTCTAAAATAAAATAAAATGAAATTAGTTAACAAATTTAACATTCATAATTCATAAAAATTGAGATCATATAGCGATAAATAGTAGGAGGGCATAAAAAAAGATTAATGTAAGGACGAAATTAGTAAAAATAATTGAGTAAAGCTTTTGAAGTGAAAATTGTATAGACATCGATACGGAAAATTAATGAATAGCGAAAGAAAAAACTAAAGCAAAGTTATTGCAGTGAAACAGAATCAAGAATTAGCTAGTGAAGAGAGTTGATTAATTTTCCGTGCTTGTAATAGCAATGACAATAATCGACTATCCCGCTCGCAATAAATTTATGAGTTACCAGCCTTCACACTACTATCATGATAATCGTCAATAGCATCACAATTCACTGTTTGATGATCAACACAATTGATTGCTTTGCTGGAGTATATCACATGACAGCTAAAATAAATATCAATTATCTGTGATCTTAGCCCATTTCAAAACTCACATTGTCTTTAGAGAAATGGTTTATTAATGCATGTAATGTTGATACTGTCACAGAGACTCCAATATGATCAATTAAATTGGATGACGTGTTATTTACAACAGGCAAACCACAGAAAAGAATTCCTTTATGTTCCAATACAATAATGGGCCATAGCTTGTAGCCTTTAAGGTTGAATCCCAAAGCTGGTAATTGATTGATTTGGGTACAATCGAATGAAAATGAATACTCAGAGTCAGAGTTAGATGCATTGGAAAACGAACTATCGATTCCTAAAGAACTCATCAGTCCAGATACGAACTGGCTTTCCTCCTTCATTGTCAACATTGCAACCATTTTACCGTCACTCGCTTTGGTTCCATTACTGGGGAAATATCGACGAAATAATATTGACCGGTTCTCTATAGAAACCATCCAGATAGCAATTAAGGCCATTTCGGTATTGAAAAGATCAAACTTGTATGCACGGAAAATTAGTCAAACAGTTGAATGAATTTTGATAAGCTTAACAGCAACTATTGACAGTCAAAAATAACCACAAATGTAATAATTACACTCATTAATGAGGTGTGTCAATGATGAATAAAAACACAAGGCACTGTTCACTTTCAATCACATGTTGAGTATTTAGATTGACGTGCTAATACAGATACCTTTCCTTTGTCATTTATGATGTATTACCGTGATGAAATTGGAGCTGAAAGGACAAAAATTCGGTTGTAAAAATACAGAGACAGTTTTTTGATAAAATTTAATTATTAAACTTCAATAAAATAAAATAATCCAGGAGTTTCATTGGTAAACAATTTTACCGGTTTGTTAGATAACAGCTGATTCTGAGCGGTTGAATCAAATTTCACACTCTTATAAGAAACCAATTTTGTTACAATTCTACTAACAAGTTGTGATTTTGTGACTTAATGAGTGTGAATTGTATTAAATAATTTAAATATCCCTTAATAATTGTTTTAACTTGTCTCTAAACCTTGATTTATCGTGAAAACTTGTGTAAATGAACTCTTAATATGAATTGATTCAAGCTTGTCTAATTTATTTATATGATTAACAGTACACCGTAAACCCACTTTTCATCACCATCAAAATATGGTAGCATCAAACAACTATTTACTCAAAATCATTTTCATGATATCTGGTGGAGTGTGAGTGTAGGATCCATCAAGTGATCCACCATCTACAGGCAAACAGGAACCACTGATGAAAGATGCCATATCAGAGGCAAGAAAGACTATTGCATTGGAAACGTCTTCAGATTCACCGATTCTTCCAAGAGGATAAGTTTCAGCGACTCGTTTCCTTATAAGTGGCATTAAATCTTCGATTCCCTTGCTCAACATAGCAGTTTCGGTGTATGCAGGACTGAAATTTAAGAAATGGAAAAACAAATGAACAAAGTGAGGTGAATGTTGAACGATTGAATAAGTGGTGTGTATTATACCTGACATTATTGATGCGAACACCTTTTGGACCCAACTCAAGATTCAAAGTTTTGACAACCATGTCCAAGGCTGCTTTCAATGAACAGTATGCTGTACCTCTTTCCCACTATTGAATGGCAAATAAACAAATAAGTGGTCAGTTAGACATTCAACGAAAGATATGAGCAATCTGAATTGCACCAGAATCAAACCACTTCAACAAGCTTTCAGAGGCACAAGAAAATTATTATTAAATTATTTATCTTATGGAGTTAAACTTACTGGACGTTGACCAGCACAACTTGAGACGTTAATGATGTTACCCTTTGTCTTGATCAAATGAGGAGTCGCCAAGTGTATAAGGAAAAGCACAGCTCGCAAATTGACTGCATAAATCTCATCTAAACCAGAAATGAACTTTTCAACTGGATCATCGAGAGAAACAGGCCTTGATATTCCTGCATTATTAACAAGAACATCAAGTCGACCCAGTTGTTCAATAGTAGTATCAATCAAGACTCGACAGAAATCATCGTTTGATACATCACCAACCACTCCAAGGATCTGCAAATCGTAATCAAAAACATAATATATCAGATTATCGATACACAAAATAAAGATCAAAAATATATCTCACTTTAGCTCCATTGGGTGAATGAGATTGACATTCACCAACAACTTTATCAACTCTTTCCTTGTTACGACCTGTAACCACAACCGAAGCACCCAATTTGGCAAAATGGATGGCATTGATTTCACCAATGCCTTGACTGGAACCTGTTAATTTACGAAAAAAGAACGAAGAACGAATCAGTTATTGTTCAATTGTAGTCAAGTTATTAGCATTTCAATATCATCTTCAAGTTACAATATTTGCTTAAACTGAAATAACCCGAACAATGGCAAATTTAAGCATTACGCTTGAATTTGTTTACCTGTAACAATTACAACTTTTCCAGCAAAGGTTTTCGAGTCAATAATTCCAGCCATTGTTTCAGTTAATGAGCAGCTTATAACCAAAGTCAATCAGGAGTTAATTGTTTGAAGCAGTAAGTTGAAAAGAGCAGACTGTGGTGAAAACTTGCCTTTTTATACTGATATACAGTAAAGTGAGGCGTTAGACGAAAGTTTACTCTGCGTAAGTCTGCAGACAAGTAAATAGGGAATAATAATGGACCGATTTAAATTAAATTACAAGCCATAGTTACTATATCTTTAGTGTGCTTAAATGGATTGAAATTAGTCTTATCTAATCAAGGTGTCTTTTAGAGGTTAGACAATGTCAAAAAAACAGAGTCACATGAAGAGCAAAAATATGGTTATTCAATATTATTGATTGCTTTGTATTGTTAGATACAATTTTGTGAACAGATGGTTTATCTTTAACTAAACTCATTGATTCAATTAATCAACTAATTCCATCAAAATAATCCCAGGTAGCTCAGGGCTCATCTCCAGGAATTAAAGAGAAACGCGATTGTATATTATTCTAGACTCAATTTCGACATCAATGTATGAATAATTTGAACTTTAACTTACTTTTTATCTTTGTTTTCCAGCTTTGGTTTGATCGTCAATTCAGTCCGATGGATAATCAAGTACAAAGTTTTCAATCAATCATTGAAACATGGAAGCGTTTGGAGGTGAAAAAGATGATGGAATCAGATGAAAAATCAGTGATGAGCAATCCGATTAATCTTTATATTATTATATTACATTATATTACATTTGTATTGTGAAATATTACGCATTCCTAGCAACAAATAGATGAATCGAGCCGAAGAACAGAAACTCAAACCTTTTCAAAACATTTGGACTCTGGACTTACATACAAAGGTTGTTTTTCTGACGAGATAAAGAGCTAACTGTGCTAATTGCCTTTGTTACTCTCTACTGGAGTCGTCAAGTGCCAAAGCACCTAAATTATCTCCTGTAACGTTAATCGGAACATAAATTTGAAGTTTTCATTATCGACCGATATCATAGACCAAATGAAGACACTTTTTTGCTAAAAAAGCTTTGTGAGAGCGATTTTCCTTTAGTATTGTAAGGCCATTTCTTTGGAATTTTAAAGATTAAAACGATCGCGTGTGATATAAGAAATTAAATTTTATTGGTTTTCTGTTTTACATTTGTGATCTTGATCGCTTTCAGTTAACAAAATACCAACTATTGTTCAATACATCTAAATCTGAGATTGAAACAGAAAAGGTTAACCAACAATAAAAGTTGAGAAAATAAGTTTCCCTGCGAATAACATTTAAATAACTTTAATATAATCATTGAAAGGAAAAACGCATGAATTTTCAAGATTGAACTGACAATCACTTGTTGCATTTTATTAAACCATGTTTCAGATTGAAAATTATTGTAAAGCTTCAAAGGCTTCAAAACAATGATACAATGTAATATTATTATTAATATTTGGAATAAGGTTTTTTAATAAAATGAATCTTCAATCTATTAGTTGAAATTGTCTTATCCAACTCGATTCCTTGCATTTTCATGGATTTGCTTGCCTCTACTTGGCGTTTGCTATTCTTTGAAATTATAATTACCGACTCAACTTAAGAAATTAATGAATTTTTTACTTTTTTCACCTTCTTTATTGGTATGAAATTTTACATAAAATTAAAATTTTATAAAGACTTTAAGATTCTTTAAAATTTAAACAAGATTAACATCAAATACTATCGTTATATTATAGTGTCTTCAAATTATAAATGATATTTTTCATTTCGGTTCATTTCATTGAGGTTATCGAGAGCTCGATGAAATTGAATCAACAAAGATTATAACCACCATCAACAGGTAAAATAACACCATTCAGCATGGCTGCTTTATCACTGAGCAGATAAAGACACACATCAGCAATATCATCTGGTGTGTTGAATCGACCAAGTGGTGTACGATCCAACAGAGGTTTACTTTTGGCTGGATCGGACCACATTTTAACGCCCATAGGAGTAGCTACAACAGTTGGGTTGACTGAATTTACTCTGATACCATGTCGTCCATAATCAATAGCCAAGACATGAGTCAAATGGTCGAGAGCAGCTTTGGAAACGCTGTAAGCAAGATGATCAGGTGGATGTTTTTGGGCAGCAATACTTGAAATGTTAACAACAGCACCCTGTTGTCCAGTTGCCACCAGTTTGTTGCAAACAATTTGAGCTACATTGAGACAAGCTTTAGTGTTGATGTCTAGATGGAAATCAAACGCTTTTTCAGTCACTTCACCAGTCTTTGTGTACTCGACAACACCAGCACAGTTGACCAATGCATGAACAGGATCTAATGGAGACAATTTTTCAACAGTTTCATCCCATTTGCTTAAATCGACTTGAACGGTTTCAACTTGAGGCAACCTTTCCTTTAGCTTTGCCAAACCCTCGCCATCAATACAGACTGCATAAACTTTTGCTGCATTGGCTTCAATAAACCTTTCAACCAGTCGAAGTCCTATTCCTCGACTAGCACCAGTAACCAGAGCAGTTTTACCAGCCAAATCTACAATCATTTTCACTTGTTTGGGTTTGGGTTACAGAAGAAGGAAAAAACTTAATATCTATTCACAAATGTAAAGATCAAAGTAATTTCTCATGAAAACTTTTTTTTCTTTTATAGAAGTTGATCTCATTAGTTTCATCACAAATGTTTCAGATTAATGAATGATGAGCATGTGTCATTGCGGCAAGTGGCAAGGTTAAATCGTACGTCACTAGAGTTTTAGAACAACGATCGCAATATTTAGAGCAGTGAGATATTAGATGTGTGATTGTTAAACAACTGCACCGAGCAGTTAGGAGATACAAAACTCAAGGGTGAACCCCGAGTGTTTTATCTTCAGACTTCGAGGTGGATAAAAGATAATGAATAATAAATAGATTAATCGAGCCGAAGAACAGAAATTCAAAATCTTTGGACTCTGGAGTCTTACATCATTAGAGTTTCAGAATAACAATCGCAACAATTGGAGCAGAGAGACATGAGATATGATAAAGATCTTTATTCAACCTCGTTTTTCACAAACACTTTCAAATGTAATATAACCATTATGGATACTTTTGCTATTTCATTATCATTGCTGGAGAATTGATCAAGTTGATTGTGTTAAATCTAAACGATTGTGAAAATTAATTCAAACTGATTATTGATAGTCAAGAATTTTGTTTGTGACGCTCACTGAGAGTCTCTCAGTAATTAATCAACCTAAGTTTATGTAATTTTGGATTAATGCCTTTCTTGTATTGAGCCTACAAACTCCCCGAGTTACTTGAGTTTAGATAATCAAATTACTATTATTTATCAGCTTATATTAGAAGCCTGAAATCATTTTTACTGTTTTTTTATAAAGCATTTCCATGTAATTGGTTCAGACAAACAAAGAAGAGCAGAATTGAATTTAAATATTTAAAATGTTTATATCATGAGATCATTAAATTATAAGTGAAAGAAACAAATATTACTATCGCTTGTTATAATCATCTTCATTTATTCCATAATCTTTCAATGAATAGAGTTGAATCGTTTTTATTACTCCATCCTTGATTGTTGTCCCTTCGATTGTCATTTGTCCATCATTAAAGTGGCTTTACTTATCGAAAGATACAAATCTTTGGCCTTAATTTTCTTAATGAATGGTGATTTGATGATATCCAAGTCAACTTGAAAACCTTCTCGAATCATATGCTTTATAAAAAATTAATTGTACGGTTGCTGATATCCAACTTGTGAGAGTAATTGTGAAGATATTAGAATGGCGTGGATGAAGGAGATGATGATTCAACATGGTTCACAAATGGTCTATAAATTAATTGACAACCAAAATAATTTAAGAATTGAGTACAAAATAAGAGGAACGAAAGTTAATCGGCATAATTTGAACGAGAACACAATTCAAAAAATGAATTTGGGAAAAAAAGAAAAGACAAAGCCTACTGATGCATATTTACAAAGGTTGACAATAATGTGATTAGATATTAAATAGTCTTACAATAAAATTGTCATTTGATGGCGATTTACATAAATAATGAGACAGAAAGAACACACAATTCAAATATAAGTATAATATCGAGATTTAAAGGTTAAAGTTATCCATTAATTTGAATGAGTATAATGACAAAACTTACAGATGAGAAAAAAAAGAAAAAATTGTTTGAGCACAAATTTTTTCTCTAATCAGACATAATTTCGTGAATATATAACCAAGAGTTATATAAGGGAAAAAAATAATGAATATTTACAAATTTCAGGGGGTCAATTATCTATGTTAGAATGGAAAATAAATTAAATTGTGGCTTCTATTATATAAAAATGAGAGGAAAATGGTCTGTAAAATGATAATTCTGACTTGCAAAAGTGGCAGAGGATTTGTTGTGAAAAAAAGGTTGACTGATTAGTCAAATGGTTTTGATTGTCATTAACGATGTTACAATTCTTCATTGAGGGAATTTACAAGAATAAGAATAAAAATTCCTGTTTGAGGTTCGTTGATGATCAACTAGCGCAGAAAATAACGTCTACTTTCTTTCTTTTGGCTTGGCTTGTTTTTGTTCCATGTACACTAATTTACAATAACTCGTTGGTTTAAATGGTATTATATTTGGTAATATTTGGTAAATCAACCGTTCCCAGTGTCTTTAACTTTTAGGCTTCTTTGTTTTCTTAACTGTGCGGCATGCCTAGAACGATAATCATTTAGCTTTGCAGAAGAACTAGAATTAATGTGATAATCATTTGGTTTAGCGTCTTTATCTGTCAGTGAGCTCACAGCTAAACTGGACAGAGATGTTGACAGATTTGATGCTGAAGAAACACATAAACCACTTGAATAGTTCATCATATCTCCTCCATCTATTTCATCAACAGGTATAAATGAGTTTCGACCATAGCTTCTAGACAATTTGCAAGATGTTCAACGTCTAAATTTGATTGACATTTCTCAAATGGACCCACAAATCCCCATAAACCAGCAAATCCGCAAGCTTAAAAGATAATAAAATAAGAGTTATTAAAATTAATGATACTAATGTCAACAGTAATATAATATTTCTAATAATACTTACTTTGGAGATAATGAAGTTGCTGTTGATTGGTATCTTCATTGGCTACCATATTTTCAATAATGGTTTGTACCGCGCTCAAGATTACTTGGTTATGGCATAAATTAAGAATACTCGTGATTTTGGAATCCAATAAAGAATAGCTGATAAAAAAAACATTTCATTAATTGTTGATATTCTTGTATGTACCATTGAAAGAAAAACTTACATTACAGGGAAAACTTTTGGGAAAACTATAGAAGCCTCGGCCAAGTATTCATAGAGAACTTTCATTTCGGTTTCATCTGTTGTGTTTCTGACAAGAGTTGCCTGTTGAAGGAATTTTTAATTTGTATTCAAATTAATTCAAAGAAATATTAAAGTATTCATTAAAAATTGAACTTACCAAAACCGTAAGAACTAATGCTTGAGTTGCAAAGTCGGTCAAAACTTCTGGATCGATTAAAACATTATCCTCATTGGAAACAGAAACTCGAGACTCTCGACTTTTTTGAATTTCTTGCTCATTATGTTGATGATTGCTATTGTTACAGAAAGCATTTTCATCATCTGAATCATTATCAGCACCGTTGTTAGTGACGGTTCTATCAGGTTTCATCAATTCTGATCCAAATCTTTCTCTATAGGAATCAAGATTTTTCTGAGATCTAGGTGTTGGTACTGAACTACTACGCTGAGTACGCATTTGAGGTTTGACACTAATGGCATCAATGTCCAAACTTTTCCAAGATTTTGAATCTCGCGGAGATTCCTGAGAGTTGGCTGCCGATGAACCCATGTTGGAGGATGAAGAATGATTCAAAACATCCCAAGATTTTTGCCTTCTTCCAAGTGGTGTACCAGAATGAAAAGAAGCTAAGGTAGAATTGGAAGGTTTTGCTTGTATTGGCTGTAAACTATAATTGGCAACAACAGTTGAAGCTTGACTTGGATTTGAACACAATGAGGATGGCGATGGAAGAGGAGTCGATGAAGGTGTTTGGTGCATGGTAACTGGTGTATGATTTTTTATACAAGTTTCAGTGTTAGAAAGGGTATTTGCGGAATTCAATGAGGCGGAATGTTGGTGGGTTTCAATGGAGTAAGCTCGAGATGATGGTGGTTCCTTAGACAGACGGGGCACTTTGTGTTTCAAATGACATCGACTGCGAACTTCTTCTGAAACGGGTATTAAAGCTGTTAAATATGCAACATTGTCCACATTAACTTCAAATTTATCACGCTTATAAGGTTTGGCAACAATTACTAAGAGTGTGTTGAGAATCCTGACAGTCCTAGAAACAGTTGTTTGTGCAGGATGGCGAAAGCCTTTGATAAGATGACCAACCATAGCAAAATGAAAGTTTGATTTGAAACTGAGGCCAACTGATTGATCAAGAGGTTTAAAGTGCCATTCTAATGGTTCACGGGTGGCCATCATAAGTTGATCTAAGCGTTTATTTTCAAATAAACCTTGAGAATCGAGGGTATGAAGATTTTGTTCTAACAAAGCTAAACCAGCAGCATATAAATTAACTTTATCTAATTGAAGAACTGATATGGCAACCCAAAATAAAGATTTGTGTATTGGTGATTCGGGATTAAGCAAAGGTTGTAGTCGTGTAAGACCCATTATAATGGCCTCAATTAGTTGAAGGTCTCTGAATGATTCTAGTGCTCTATGAAGGATCCTCAACAGTTGTTTGACTTCAGAATCTTTAACAGATTTGGATAAACAACCAAATACAATAATAGCTCTTGGTTGGAGAGCGGGGTTGAATCTAAAAGCAAAACTGGTTGCAAGAGATGTCCACTTCTGTAACCAATCGCATGTATCAATACTTTTCATGCATCCTTCAACTATTTCAAGAAGTGCATCGGTAATAATTTCAAGGGAACTTAATGGCATTTTGTCACCATCTATTGAAGCATGTGACGTGAATGCTCGATCATTAGCAAGCTGTTGAGTTCGTTCCATATTAATCATGTGCCGTTTGAGCGAGGTAGGTGTACGAAATGCAGTGACAGCTGGTGATTTAACTTTACTGATTCCAAATAGTAGATAAAATTTAGGTAAGGAAAATTCATCCAAGCTAAGTCGTAATATACGCTGTGATTCATGACTGAAAGATGGATTGGTACAAGTACACAAAGAGTGAATAATATTGATAACTAAACCGTGAATTGATGCGCGAAACGACATTGGTCCAGTGTGAAGCAAAAATGTAACAATATGAAATAAATAAGGAAGATGGCTATAAACATCAAGGCAGTTATTGAATGAAAGCATGAGCAGATAACGGGCGAGAATTGCAATATCATCCCACATTAAATGTTGTTCAAGGGTTGGTGTAGGTGAGGCAGCAGTCTTTTCAATTACTAGACAAACTCTACTGATTACTTTAGAAGCAACGAGCTTGACATTGTATGAAGCCAAGGCAACTGCTGTGTCGGCCATAATTTCAGCCTGATCAGATCCTAGGCCGCCAGTAACTGAACGCTTAATAAAACTATCTAGAATCATATCTAATAAATCAGAGACACGTCCAATGTTGCCCCAAATTTTAGCTTGAATCGATGGATACATTTCAACCTCTTCGATGGTTAAAGTGATCAATTTGTCAAGAATAGTTGCCACTCGTTGGCGTTTACTGTCATCTGAATGTTTACAAAATCGGGTAAGATTGGGTAACCATGGAGTCATATATTCTAAACACAAATGTTTCAGTTCAATGTTGGAAGCACGAAATCCTTGGATACACTCTTCGAGAAACTCTAAAGTCAGGTGCGAAGCATTTGTGGCTAGCTTTTCACTTATTTGTTTGATGAAGATGGTATTATTTGATGGTATACACAATCCTGACGTTTCAAGAAGCTGTCCATCAATTTTAAGGTCAAAAGTTTGAGTTAACGCACATAACAAGTTGTAAGCTGCTGTTCGGAGATTAGGATCAGAGCTACCAAGATTCAAAAGTGCCATGTTTAGCAAAGTACCAGGTACATCTTTGGGTCGTATTTTTGTGTGTACAGTAACAGAATCAGGCTGTGAAAGTTCCCATCTTGTACGGATGTGAATAATAGCTTGAACAATTGTATCACAATCGTTATGGATGAAAGAAAGTGGACCACTTTCATTGGCAATAGTCAATGTGAATTGGTTATCATCAACTAAGCAAACTTCTTCAATTTCAGATGCATAATAAACATCATTGAGCAGAACAGAGAAACTCAAAACTTTACACTTTTCAGCAGATGTAACTTGAATTGCAGTTGGTCCAACTTTAATTGTTACTTTAGTATCTCTATGAGATAATTTTAGAGCACCGTTGAAAACTTTAAGATCTTCATCAAGGGAAAGTGTGGCACCTGGTAACTTTTGTTGATCAGGATCAATAAAATCACTCAAACGTTGAGGATAATCTAAGAAGACTAATTTTCGGTTGCCTTTTAGTGGAGCCAAAACTCGATCGTTCAATTTGGTGTATTCTCGAACCCAAGAATTACAGTTGTAAATGTATGCAGCTTGAATTTTTTCATAAGCCATTTCAGGTAAAACAGCAAACCATTTTTGAAGAAAGTCAGTCTAAATAAGAAAAATAGATTAAGTTGAAATTTTTATATTTAACATATTTAAATTGAATGATTGAGCTTACCTTGAATCGATTTTCTGTACACGTATGCGTAAAGTCAACGACAAGTTCAAATGGTTTATGACAATAAGGTCTTAGAGTAAGGATGACATGATAAAGAAGAAAATCAGCATTGATTTCGTTGATTTTATATCGACGAAAGATGAAATAAAAAACTGGATTTCCTGCTTTAGATGTTCCAGCTTGATAAAAGATGTTCAATGATTTTAGCGATTTAAATTTATCATCATCATGAGCTTTGGCCATACATTCTTCAAATCTGTTGCTTGTCATATCGATAGAGTTCCATTCAGAGTCTGTCATTTGTTTATGTTCTGGTGGACCAAGATAAGCGAGTAAAGTGACCATTTTATCGAAAGGTCGCCTTCCAAGAGCTTTATGATCCCTTGAACTTGAAAGATAATCACCAATTTTTTCTTGGTGATTCCAAAGTAGTCGATGTAATGCATGAACATTAGCATCACTGATGAATGATAGGTTATGGCTTGTTTGATGATCCATTGTTTCACAGTCTGATGTTATTTGCAAAACCCATCTACGCCCATTATCGAAGTTAGCACGTAAAAAGTCGTTGAAAGATAACATGTGTTGCTCTTTACTGAACTCAACATTATTTGCAATGTTTTGTAATATTTTAGACATCAACATCAAACCACGTTTAACTTTATTGTTTGGCTGTACATCAACAATACCCATTTCAAACGGTGATACTGAAATCGGAGAAAGTAAATTATTATTTTTGTTTTTGAAATTGTAAATTTATTTTACTTACCGATAGCGGGATTTATAAATCTCAAGAAGATGACAGTGCCAACAGCACTAATGTTATGAGGGAAATTTGGAAACCGTTTGTTGAGAACTTGAAATAAACAATGACACATGGATCGCAGTTGAGGTGGAAAACTAATAAAGAGAATAGATGATTAGAAATTTGAAATTTGAAATTTGAAATTTGAAATTTGAAAAGATAGAAGCAAATAGAGAATAAACTTACCTATCAGCTGAAGAGATTATCGCGTAACAAATTTTCATGGTTCTGTTCGACACTCTCGCCTGATTCCATACGAGCTGCATCTATTTCATAGCTGACATCATTAGGACTTTCAGCGAGAGGTTTGATGAGAGGTTCAAGAAGTGCTTTGAGGTAGGATGTTCCATAAATTTTGAAGCAAAATGCCATTATTTTACTGCCCAAACTGTTACCACGGAATAATGTTTGCATACAATCTGAAACTTCGACTTCTTTATAGAACATATTCCATAGTAAAGGAGATAAAAGATGTTTAGCATCGAACAGAGTAACAAAAACTCGAGCTAACTCGTCCATTTGAGGAGTGGCAACAACACTTGCTAAAGCCATAGCAATAGGTAGTTCACCTTTATCACCGATCATAGTTACCAATTGAACAAGCTGTTCATACCGGTCAGCTAAAACAGTCTCAGCTAACATGTCAAATTCAGTTCCTTGTTGTAAAATTTTGGTCAAAACTTCCATGAATGCAGCTCGAGTTTGAAGATCTTTATGATATCCCAAACTAATGGAGTGCATTAAGCCAGAATCAATGTTGGCACTTAACAAATTAGACATGGCTTGAATTGTGTAAGTAGGCAATTCACTGAGTTTATAATTATATTTGTTGTAACGAGGAGGTCCATCAATACTAACTAAACTTCCGGGAACAATGCTTGTGGTTCCAACAGTATCTTCATCGGCAACAATATCACTACATTCATTCAATAGGTTCATAAATAGTGAAAAATATTTGAGAAAAAGTTGCGATTTGGCTTCCATTAAATCACCACGATCACTCTCTTCAGGTTGAAGGGGCAAGCCTCGTAAAAGAGCAGCAACAGCTTGCATTGAGGCCATGTCCAGTTCTCGCTGAACAGGGGTCCAATCATTAATACCAGTTGGTTGCATTTGATGACTGTTACCCATAACCCAGTCTGTCAAATATTCAACCATCTTATTACGAAATTTCATCTCTTGGCGAAAAGCAAGATCATCTCTTCGTAACATCATAGTTTCAATAAGATTACAAAATTTAACTTTGATCTGAATATGTTGACCAGTATTGGTATCAAGATGACGAATGTAACGAACGATTGCAAGCATAATTTGTTCAATACTGGTAACACCAAGGTTTTCCGTTGTATGTTCAACCTTATTCTCAAGGACACTTTTCATGATAAAAATTATGTGAACGATAAACTGAGTGCTTGTTTCATTAACAGTAACTTGATATTGAGGATCGAAAAATTTCTCAACAATTGTCTTAATCTGGTCAAAAAGAATGGGATATAAAGCAGGGCTCATTTCATGAGCTACCAATTCCTTAACATGCTTTTGAATTTGAGTTCCAAACTTTTCATTGTTACAAACAAGAAGCTTTAACACATCACCAACAAACTGGGTAACAGGACAATATTGTAAAGAATCTTGACCACTTTGTAACACAGGAGTTCGTCTATGATCAACTAAAAATCCAACAGAATTTGTTTTATTGACAGGAGATTTTCGTTGCAAACAAATACCACCCAAAGCACAAAGAAAACCAGTCATATTGGCCCATTCATTGATTTGATCTTCAAGTTCATGTTCAGTACTATGCTGAGATGTTCTACGCTTTGAGACATTACGGTGAGTTATTTCCATTTGGCCTTCGGCGTCCATTTTGGCTTTGGGATAACTAACAAGCGCTTTTGTAGCACTTTCCCAACTCATAAAGGTATCTTCCCAGGCCTGAGAGCATCCTAGTGTACAGTGTTCAATACGCCTTAATAAAGACATTATTCGTTTTTGGAGGGCAGCTCGTCCGGTGGTTAAAATTTGACTGGATTGAGTGATTTCTTGATAAACGGTGTAGTTAGGAGTTAAATAGACCGCAGTGAGATCGTCTTGACCACATCGAATATCAGCTTCTTCACAGAGAAGAGCGAAACATGACATGGCAGTGAGAACAGCTTCAATGTCAATTGACCAGAGATAAATAAAGAAGACAACCTCTAATTTGATATGTGCTTGTTTACAAATGGCAATATGACTACCAAGGTTGGCGTATTCTTTATGTCGCGAGAGAAATGCATTACGGCACTTCAATATATCTCTCAGCCATTTTAGTATGTCTGTATAATTGATGATTTGATGTTGTATCAGTTTTTGGGAGATTGAAAATAACACTTGAGATGAAATATCCCAGAAAGTATTAATGGGAGCTTCCGGATTCCATAATTCAATATTATCAGGTTCATGAAGAACAAGTAAAGCTTCCATAGCTTCTGGAGCAACATCCTGCATTAATGGTTGATGAACTAACGATACTAAACCATTGATGAGTTCCAGGGAACTGCTTTGAATTTCATGTCCAGGTTTGCCTTGGTTGTTGAGCATAAGTAAAGGATTTGCATGGATGAGACGAACCAACATGAGAAGAAGATTTTTGTGACTCAATCCTTCCTCTGTAGATGATTTATCTTTGAACTTTAGATTGATCATTTTATCTTTGAGAGATAAACTCTGTGAAATTATAATAGATAATGAAATATATTAAAAATATGTTAAAATAAATAAAAATTGAAAAACGACAGGTTTGGAGAAAATCCCGCGTTTTACCTGAACGTAGAAAGAAAGCTTCATTTCATGGTAAGCATTAAAGAGAAAGATTGGTATGTTATTAATTTGACAGTTAGTTGATTTTTGGAAATAAGTGACGGTTGAGGATTTTAAACTTGAATATTACTGAATAGCTTGAAACAGATCTTAGTTTTATTTACCTGATTTCCTTTTGATTGGTGTGTGATTTGCGTAACTTTGTTGAGAGTTTCTGTGAACATTGCCCGTAACTCGTGAGCGCGTGTGTAAACGATATCAACTTTTGGCCACCAAGGTAGCCTAGTTTGTGTTACAATCCGATAAAGTGAACAAACAAGGACGAAATGGTAAATCAAAGGAGAAATCGGGTTGAGGCAAACCTGTGGATGGATAAAGATTGTTAGAAGCTTACATTAAAAAATTACCAATAAATTGTAAAACATCATAATAGAAACGAATTGAAGAAATTTAAATGAATCATTATGGAATTTTCCATAAAGTAGTTTAAATGTTCAAGAAATACCATTAAAAGGAAATTGAATAATATTCGCGCGTCTAAGCTATTTACGCAATAATAATAGCAACGAATCAATATAATAACAAATGGTTGTGAAACTTAATAAGTTTATACCAATAGCAATTCACTCACCTTAAGAACTTCATTGTTGTGTGGTGTGATGCGAAAGATGGAAACAAAACATTCAATCATAAGTTCAACATCCTGACTAACTGTAGCTTGTGTACGATTGAACGGTTTGGCTGGATTGAAAAGCAAAGATTTCAAATCGTTGATAACTGAATGAACAAGGGTGAAAACAACGTTGTTTGAATCAAAAATGCTGATATAAGTTGAGGTTTTGAAAAGTTTAACACATGTAACAGCAGCTGTCTCAGTCATTTGTTTGCTAGAGCTGTGAGGAACGAGGGCTTTCTTAACGTTTTCGATAAATTGCCTTTTACGATAATATTTGGGTGAACATGGAGCTCCACTATCAGCATTAACAATCTCTTCCAAAATTTTTGGACATAAAACAAGTAATAGCATTTGAAGAGGCCAGACAGCGGCTCGTCGCTTGTTATTCGTTTCAGCAAAGTTATCAATTAAATCAAACAATTTATCACAACACTCTGCTAATTCGTCATTTGGTTTATTTTGTAATTCCATAAATTCATGCGAGTAAGTGTCCAACCAATTCCAAATAGCCTTTTCCAAGCTATTAAGAAGCACAATGTGTACATTCTTCTTTAAACTTTTCAATTTTAAATTAACATCACTAAAAAGTCGAATTAATCGCTGAACATCAACGTTTATATGTTGAATAAGCTCAATATCAATACAGTCCGGATTTTCTTCAGTACAGTTGGCCAATTCTTGAAGTCTAAAAAGGGATGAAAACAGATAGATGAGAAGTTTTGACGAAAAATATTTGATTGAAGAAAAATACCTTGTCGATATACGGTTGAACACAGCATTAAAATTATTTAAACTAAGAGCAAAAAGTACTCGCGATGCCAGAAGTTTGAGTTGAGAGGACATGGGATTGTCATTTGGCATATCCAAGAACTGTAATGAAAGATTAAACATTATTAATACAAAGAGATGCGTGAGCAGAATATGATTATACAGGTTCTCACAAACGATATCAGCTTAACAAAGAGTTGAAAAATAATGGGATTAATACCTGACACAACTCCCGAAGAAGAGTTTTGACATTGGTAGCCTCTTCATAACGAGTTGTCATTTCTTTAGGTTGGCAGCTTAAACATTTTTCAAGAGTGTATAAAACAATCAACTGGGATTCATAGAAGTTCCTTTCAAACTCTGGTTGAAGAGTGCCATGAGATTGAGCACGCTATATAACAAGATAGAAAAATGTATAAGAAATAATGAAAATAATAATGAAAGGTTGAGTAATAATGGAAACTTACAATATCATTGATATTATGGAGAATTTGCGTCAAGCCAGATATAACAAGTGAAAACTTGGTCCGGCTAATTTGTATCAACGATTCTTTATTTTGTTCAATATTTATTCGAGAGTGGCTTGTTTGAGATCCAGTTCGGCAAAGCAACTATAAGGTGAAAAATAGGAAAAATAGAAAGTCAGTGTGATTAAATGGATAAAATTATACCAAATAAAAAATCGATTAATATAAATAAGGAATCAAATAGTGGCCCACACAAAAAAGAAGTGACAGTTTAGAGACTATGGTCATCTTGACAAAAGTGAATAAGATAAGAATGACAACTGATAGTAAGAGAGCTAACGTTTAAAGGATGAGTAGTTTATAGAGACAACCAACGAAAAATATCGAAGCACAGTGTGTAATTCAGGAAACGAGGTAGAACAAGAAAGAGACAATAAATTGAAAATATTGTAAAAAAATAGAATTTCGTCAATCATTTTCTATTTTATTTTGCTTACCTGATCTTCAAATCTTTTAAGAAGCTGGGCAACCCATTCAGTTGGCTTGGACATAGCCATTTTAAACTGATATGAGCCCACTCAGGGCTGGAATACCAAACAAAGAATTTGAAAAACAACTCAATGGTGGTAGTAAAATGATTAAGTTAATTAAAAAACTAAACAAAAATAAATTAAATTAAACTTTCAACTGTTCCAATAATCACCATCATTTACTTGTTTTTGACTCAGAGCGTATTCAGACTTTTGTTTTACTTCAAACACATACAAGAGAAAGAGAAAGAAATCTCACCCCCTTTACGTCAATAAAGGCGCGGTTTTTGAGCAGAATCTTTCAAGAATTGTTCAACAGTTGCGATTCTGTTAAATTTATTTTGATTTTATTATTTCAAATATATTTTCCATTTTCTCATTCCATTAATATTAACAATTAGGCTCAATGAAAATTTAAAAGTTCGATTAACTGTTAGCCTTTGACTCGTTTTCAATTTACCAATCAAGTTGCTCTGTCATTTCTTACTTCACTCTATGCTAGACCAATACTACCTTGATTTTACATTTTAATCTATTTCAATTGTGAATGTGATTCAATTGCCAATTAATATGTTTACAAAAATTTACGCAAATTATCGTCCAAATTATTCAGCGTCTCAAAACATCACGCTCTGCAAACACTATTAAGAGTATACTTTCCCCACGAGGCGAGGGGAATCATTAGAGTAAGCTAATTGTTTTAAATGTAAAATTTTGTGGTTTCCCCTTGTAGTTCACCTAGATGGCAGTGTAACAAAAAAGCTAAAACTCGAGGGAAAAGTGTATTAGGTTTTTGTTTTTGTCTTCGTTCGTCGTCAATATTGACAATCTTTCTCTATTCTTATTCATGGGAATGATAACAAAATGAGGAATATAATTTTGTTTATGTGAAGTACTAAGAGTCCATGTTTTAATTTTTGTGCGGAATATGATAATTGTTCAACTTCAATTAGTATGTCAAATAAAGACTAGAGATTTGTTGACAAATTGATGATATACTCATCAGCTGGTTTGTTGCTTCCTAAACACTTTAAGCATCAATTTGGTTTTATTAATTCGCTTTTTATACACCTTGCTGTTATTCCTTATTATTGTTGATTGCTCAGGTTTTTATCCTCGAAATAATCATCATCATAACTCATTAATCAATAATAGCGTGCTGAAGGTGAGTTTAATCGACAATCGTTTATTTGTATATTTATTTATCCTCTTTGCCATAACAGATTTCTTTTTATTGAAGCTTGGAATATCAGACAATTTTGATCAAAATGAGGCGTAAATATGGATTAGGAGCGATTCAAAAACAACAAAACACTGAGGCGAAATTCAAGGAAAAGAGTGAAGCCATTACAAAGGAGCAAATTGATAAATTAACTGATCAAATGAATGCTTTCAAATCTCACTTGGAAAAATTTGCAACAAAACACAAAAAAGCGATCAAGAAGGTAATAACCGAATAATATTATCAGTCGGCTCATAAAAATTATCTCAATATTCTGTACTTATTCTGTAATATTCAGAATCCAGAGTTCCGTAGACAATTTCAAGTAATGTGTGCTACTGTTGGCGTGGACCCATTGCAATCTAGTAACAATTTTTGGACAAGACTGTTAGGTAAATTGATTTATTGATATGTTGAACATCTACACTTTGAATTCTTTAACATATTGAACTATTATGATTTATTTCTATTAAAATTCAGGTGTTGGTGACTTCTATTATGAACTGGCTGTACAAGTAATCGAAGTATGCATGGCTACAAGTTATCAGAATGGTGGATTAATTGCAATTGAGGATCTGTTAAGAAGAGTGAAACTATCTCGTTGCACTGCAAGGAAAAAAGATGAAGATATAACCACCGATGATATTCTTAGATCAATCAATAAGCTGAACGTCCTGGGAAACGGATTAAAAGTTCTTAAATCAAACAAAAGTTATATTATTCAGTCAGTACCCAAAGAATTGAGCATGGACCACACAGATGTATTGAGATTGGCCTCATCAAATAGAGGATTTACTAATAAGAGTATTATTCGATCAGAGCTTGGTTGGGAAGAGAATAGGATTGTTAAAGTTATCTATGATATGATTATGGAAGGATTGATTTGGGTTGATAATCAAGCAGAATCCAATGCGCCTCATTATTGGTTTCCTGGACTTTTCAGTACATCAAATTAGACAATTTGATATTTGATATACATACCCCATAAAATAAGAAATGCACTTATAAATGAATTTTTAGCATGCAAATACCGGCAAAGTGCTAAGACCTTTGGTCCCTGTTTTTTTTCTAAAGATTAAAGATTATTTATTTAACAGTTGTTCAAAACGATTTTGTTTCAAGCTTATAATGATACAAATATGTCTTTTCCAATACATATTCAAGTAATAAAATTTCTATCTTTTGTGAATGCTTCGATGAATGATGATAGCTGATGATCTGACAGCTAGAGATTTGATGAATTGACTTTGTCATTCGTTTATCAATGGTTTAACCATAAGAGTCCAATAATTTCAGCGTCTTTTTATCAAGAAAGATTGGTAAAATAAAATGTCTGAAAATAAAAAGAAGTTGTTAGATGAAATAGACACGAGGGTATGGAGTAAGAAACCTTAATGAAACTTAATTTGACTGAAATGTACTTACCTAACAGGCATTAAAAGAGCAATAAAGACAGGGAAAGCCATTCTAAGGTATGCCCATGGAGCGATTAAACCGACATAAACTAGAATAACTAGTTGAATTATTTCGCACAATGTGAATAGATGGATAATGCGTTGACGAGCTCGACGGACATAATGATTTGGAGGATAAGAAGACTAAATTCAATAAAAGATGGAAAAAGAGATTTAAAATTAACAGAGTTTCTTATATAAGAAATGTGTAGGCTTTAACTCTTTGAAAAGTATCTAAATCACTATTTTGATTTGATTCTATAAAATTCTTATTAATATTTCAAGATTTTGTGAACCGATTATTACCTGTTCTTGAAAGAGTAGACAAATTCTTTCGAACATTGAGCTTCCCCTCAAAGAGGCAAAGGCACAATAAAGAAACAGTCCATCCAAAACTGGAGTTGAAATCAGGTTAAGTGGATAGGGTATCATGAACAGTGAAAGTCCGATGAGTATATTTGATAAAAGGGCTGTTATACGAGTCTCTCGAACACGAATAATATGTGTTTCAATAAGTCCCTGATTATTTCGTTCCTCTGTATCAGCCAAGGAACGAACATGAAGTGGTGAATGTGGAAGAATACCATGCATCCAGGGAAGCCCATAAAACGACAAAGTACAGTTGATAATCGCAATAACCAGTAGATCTAGATGAGGGGCTGAACCTTTTTTGAGATGGTTTGTTGGACCATTGACAATTTGTCCAGTTATATTCTGATCCATAAAAAATAATAATGAAAGGGCGAAACCAAGAACAATACTGATTCCGATAACTTTGACTGAACTGAAATCTATCGTAGCTCGCTCAAATTTATCCATGACTGAGAAATCAAATTGTTCAACTAGAAGAAAGAGAAAAGAGAAAACAATTAAATAATCATCTGAGAAGTTGAACAGAATTAAATAATACATACGTTTGATATCTGCGAAGACTACCTTGCTGACTACAGAAAGTCCGATAACACCAATTGGAAGAGCGTAATCGGAAACAAACTCTCTCATTCCTCGGCTTAGATAAGGACTGTAAACACAATAAAATTGAAAATTTTCAATGAATGGAAGCTCAACTTATTTTATTGTATAAGTGTACCTTTGATTGAATTTATAAATTCTTAGCGATAACCAAACAGTCCCTAAAGCTAAGAGCAAATGAAGAAGTGAATCCTCTCGTTGACAAATTATTGGAGTTTCCAGTGTGGTCACATTTAATTCACCATCCGTTAGTTTCGTGAAATTAGCACAAGCTTCCGTGTGATAGTATTTGTTGAAACCTGAAAAAATAACGAAAGTATTCACAAGTTAGTAATATTTTCAGGTGAAATTAATGAAATTGAAGATGAAAAATTTCAATCACTCACTTTCAACGCAGTCATTGATGGCATCATAAAAGAAACAAATCGTTATAAACTGTGCAAATATCTCTTCAACCGATCTTGTGGCATATTTGATCAATTTACTCCATCCAAATACTGCATAGGCCAAAACAAAAAGTGTATTCCAGAAGCCAACCGTTGCATACATAACGAAAAAATCCACGTCTAATTGTTCACTTATTTCATAGACAACTGGAGACAAAAAATATTCTTTAAATATTAGGTTAACTAATAGGTTAAGTTTACCTTTTATGTACAATGACACCAGTGCAGTAGTTGCAATAATAACCAAAGGCTGACCACCAATCAGGGCAAAAACAATTCCTCCAAGAGCTTGACCAACTAGCGCTCTTTTTGGCCCTAATTTAGATTTAAAGATATATTAATTGGGTAAACAAAGCAATGTGTTTCAAGATGAATACCTATCAATCCATTGGTATTTTTTGAATTAAGGAGACCAAAAGCGATGGCAGGTAATATACAGCCAAAATACAAGAATAGTGAAGTTGCTAATGTTTTGTGAATCGTCTTTTTACCAACAATACCATCAACGAAATCAGTATGGTAACACCGAACTCGACGAGAAATGTTTTCCCATAAACTTGTATCCAAACCATGAATTACTTTTCTTTTAACTTGATTTGATTTGGTTGATAATTCAGCTGCCTTGTCTGTAAGTATTTCTTTAATCGATTCTTTCGATGAGTCCAGTAGATCGAAGCGTAATGAGTGATGCATTAAAAGAGTTGAAAATGTCCTACCAATTTCATAAGAGCTTTTAGTGTGTTTCTGTAAAGATTAGGGTAAAGAAAGGAACCAAAATTAACATTTCAGGCCATTAAAAATTAGATCTATTGTACTTTAATACCAGCACTAACCTCAATTGTCGGTGTTAAAATAATTAAAATAAATCTAATTTGTTCCATTCCATGGCCCAAATTTAGTGGAGCCTCTGTGATTCCTAAAGCAATCATATGTTTCTTGACAGATACACCAGAACCTCTATAAAAAAGAGTTATTGAGTTAATATAAATTTAAACAGTTAATAAGATGGACAGATTAACTTACAATATACAAACCCATGATTGATCAAAAACAGTTGGAGATGAATTAGATTCTAAAACTCCTTGAATACGATTAATAATCACTCTAGCTGTAAAATGAAAATAGAAGAGAAATGTTATTTAGCTTATTGACATTATCAATTACTAAAGCGTCGTAATGATTATTCGGTTAAATTAATTACATTCTTTCTCGCAAAATATTGATCCCATTATTTCATCGAGATCCAATTTAGCTTTGGTTTCCTCTTTCATCTGTAATGTAAAATAATCAAAATTAATTTCATTAACTCAAATTGCTTCAACTATCAATAAGCAGAAAGCAATGCAACATTGTCAACAAAGCATCGGCTCAATTGAACGGCTGGGAAATTATGCTAATCTTGTACATCACAATGGGCATTAAAGTGATAATTGGCCTAAATTTATATCATTAGTTATTAGACCGCTTCATACCCTTCAATATATTGAAATATTCATCTAAATTGTAAATAATGAATAATTTCATAGTGTTAATGAATGTATTAAATTTAGATCAACCTTCAATCTTAACCCCTATTAGTTTACGACGTACAACGAGTTACAACCATCAGTTTATTTTTAAATCCATGATCATTTAAAGGTTAATTATAATATGAATAATCAACTATGTAAAGGGTGTTGCGTTTAATAAGGTGCAATTATCAGTTAGCCAAATGAAGATAAGAAGATGGACAAAGGTAAAGATCAAGACATCTTACATTGTTAAACTAAATATCTTCCCTTGGGTATCTGATAATTGCACCTTATTAAACGCAACACCCTTTAGATAAATTGAGCAACCATTGACAATCAGTAAATTGTGGGCAAAGATAATAACGATATTAAATTTCCATGATCGTTGAGTTTTAATGATTACAGCTAACTCCATCTATATTTTTAAATTTTAATTTTAATCAACACCTGATCTAAACTTTTCAATCTAACAGAAAAGTTGAACTGCTTTGAAACATTATTTATGTTTGACATAACAATTATTTTTATTTAAATGTAAAATTATTTATAATTTAATAGAACAGCTTTGCTTGAATTTTTATCTGGAAAAAATATGAATCACTTTTGCATAAGTGCATAGCCTATTTTCAAGTTCATCAGTACCTAATCGTAAATCGCTCGTTCAACTCCTTTTTACTTGTGCAACAAACTAACTGTTCATTGACTAAAATTGCTTGTTTTAAATCCAAAAAGGATCTATCTATGATTCATTAGAAACTTAACTCAGAAGATGTTTCCGGTGAGAGCAAAATCTCTCGCAAAAGTTGAAACATTTAAAGCTTCTTTATGATAACATGTATGTTATAACATTATGTTATATTTTGCATGATCCAAGTTGATATTGCTTTGAAGCTAGCTGACACAATGCTATTCATTTTTTTACCTGATTAACTAGATGGTGGACCAAATTGTAAAGGTCGTCTGATTGTAAATCCAGTGAAATGGTCATATCCTTAAGGTAATGTTTAATGTCAAGAGAAGCTCTTACTTCTAGATTAAAATCTTTCGGAGGAGCTGAAGACGTTGTTATAAGATGTAACGCTTCATCTCTCTCATCATCAAAATTAACCCTTTTTTCTTTTTCTTCACTTGAACCCAGATCCGACAAAATGGTTCCATGGACATCAATGGCTGAAAATCTGGATCCACGTCTACTCGAATTATCACCTTTACCACTTTCATCATTTTTATCATTGTTGAAGCTTGGATTATCATAACCATCGGGTCCCGTTATTATCACTCTTATAGCTCCAGTATTTTCAAGTTCGATTTCATCCATTTTATCGTCACTGTCACCGTTCATCACATCTTGAGATTTATGATTTCTCGTCATCTTGACTAGTTTAACCCTCGTCCAACCAACACAATAAATTAAAAGATTAACTGTTGAAGCGACATGCAAGCACAAAAAAATGAGATTAACACACCATGTAACAATTGACTAAAAAAGGATCTACTCGGAATTATTTACAAATGATGGTAATTATGGTTATTTGATGTCTCTCATCGCTGATGGTCCCTTAATCTGATGTGATTATCAACCTGTTATAAAAAAAATTACTAGATAATCAATGAAGACATCATGTTATCATGGTAATCAATTTTTTCCCATTCACTATTATCATAGTTGGTTTTTATTTCTCCAATTATCTAATTTATCATCTGATCAAATAACATTTCATTTGTTGTTTCAATTATAGTGAAAATCATGATTATAATGACTTTGGACTTGCATTTCAATTGACTCCAGTAGCTAACCAATCTCAAACCCATCCATGTTGGCTGTTATTATATTCAAGTGGCTTACATTATTTTTCTGGTCAACAACAGTAGGATCAAAAGATCAAGCCAATTTATATCAATTTGGATTAAAATATTAATTGCAACGGGAAGTTTGGTCACCACTCAAAATGATTTATCTTGAAGATTAAACACTCTCGAAGATTGATCAATTGGAATCGCTTAGATAATCATCATTTGTTTGTATTTTCCTGTTGTTTACAATAATTCAATGTAATTCCTTGAAACTGTAAATGTTCATCATTTTTAACTCTATTGAGTCCTAATATCTTTCACAATTTACCTGCAAGACTCATAATTAACAAGTTATTATGTGACAGTAATGTTTAGTCTTGCATTTGATTGTAAAATTGAATATATCTTGTAATTTGTGAACCTTTTAGACTCAACTGAATAATTGAGATTGAAGAAACTGAGTGAATAGATTAAAAGACCATAATTAATGAACATTATCTTCATACAATCTACATTTCATCTGAATCAACTCAATTGCCTTTTTTATTGAAGCTTATTTGTCTCAGTGAGACATACATTTATCACTTATTTCTCATTACAATTAACCACAATTTAAGCTAAATATATCTATTAATTACCTTAAGATAGGAAAGCTAAGTATCAAAAAGCATAAGTTACCAATAAAATGATTCATTACTGCAAGTGCAAATGTAAACTTATATTGTCATGAATATAAAAAAAAGGTCAAAAATAACATTATTATGGTTATTAATGATAACAATATTGACGGATAATCAAGTTGTTGAATGGTGATAATTTAAGGGAAACATAAATGATAAATGACCAATTTAAGATGTTTTATTTGTTTCAAGATTTCACATTTAGTCTGGTCTGGTTAAGAGCTGGTTTTACAGTGAACATTCAAGATGAAGATTCTTGCAAGGCTGAAGTTGAGGGAACCTTTTTACCAATCAAAGGTAATGAAAAGTGATGAGCAGTTATCTTGAAGCCATGATTGAGGTAAAATCGATGGATTTCATAGCGAGTGAATGCCGATTCGGTAACTATATTATCACAATGAGCTTCCTTGGCATATGAAAGAAGCCAGTTGATCAATAAAGGACCCAACTCTTCATGTATTGTCCAATTGAGAGCACAAAAATCCTCCAAATAGACAGTTTTACCAGATAGTAAACGTTCCCGAATTGTAAAGCCAATCACAATCAACACCTTTTCCGAATCAGCAATGTAAAATAATCGATAGCCTTTTGCGTGTTGACGGTTAACTCGTTCAATGTACTCTTCCACATATTTAAGGTGAGGCCGAAGTATCTTCAATACTGGATAACAGTTAAGGATATCAATCTCATTTTTGGCTTCTCGTATTTCAAATTTTTTACTTGATTCAGTCATGACTATCGTTTAATGGGATCGACGATTAACACTTGAAAAATAAATAATTTCCAGGTAATACAATTAACTATAAAAATTGATAATAAAGCAAACAACAAATAATACTTTAGAAACAAAGAGTAAAGGTTAAGATGGAAACAAAGGTTTACTTTGGTTTTGCTGTGTTTAGTCCAATTATGAGGGAAAATTTGGTTGATTTGGTTCAACTAATTACAGAGTTGATTAAATTAAGGAAAAAATGAGAGGACTCAAAGTTGGGTTACCGTTTCAAGTTTGATATGTAAACATTGAGTGGTTGCTTGTTACAGATGATTATGAGACAGAGGAGAAAAAGGTTGATTGTAATTGTTGATCAGAAAAGGAGGAAGGAGAAGAAGGTAATAATAATTAAAAGTATACATCTTTATCAACACCAACATGATTATTGTTTTAAGTTAATTGCCTCACATAATATAAACAGAGGTTAACTTGATTCTACCGCCATTTAGCACTGACAATACTTTGATTCCAAGAATCGTCTTAGCGTTCAACTCAGTTTGAAGGGCATTGCCAGTGAAAACAGAGATAATGAGCTGGACACTGTTCGTAAAGAGAGACCAATCGTTCAAGAGAACGAGACTAAAATAGTTCGTGATAATGTAAGAGATAAACAAGCAATCTTTCAACACAATTAATTTCTTTGGTTAGTTTTAACAGTTCTTATTAATCAACGAGTACATCTGAGGTTATTAGGCTTGATTGTTGTATCAATAATAAAATAGTGTCTTGTTCAAAATTTTAACCATCTTCTTCACCATTGAAAGCTGTCTCCGTCAAAAGCAATGTCTTGTATCTATAATAAAATCAAGTTTGTAACCGTTTCGATCATTGAATATCTATTTATAAAAGATTGTGATAAAATATTGATATTACAATATTGTAATAACTTTAAAAGTTGACAATATGTTCATGTAAAAGTAGATGAGGTACACCAAGCGATTCATCCCTATATCGACAAGGACATTTTTTTTCGTGAGTGACTACATTGCATCTCTTTAATGATTTTTTTGTTTCTTCTATGTTTAATCCATACATTGTAGACTAAAGAAAATAACAGGAAAATTAATCTACATGTATTGGTGGTTTCGATATAAAAACGTGAGTTATCCCGTTTCGACTTTCCAAATGAGATGAAGTGTTTCAGAACTTAATGATGAATTTAAAGCAAAGAATAGAGATTTAAAATAAGACTTGATTAGACTGATGACGAAGTTTAGGTTAATTTCAAAAAATAAATCTTAATAGGTCCTCGAACGTTTTTCACCAATCTCTTCCATTGAGTACCTGAATCCAGAATCAGAGCCAATATGCGTGAGTCAATTTGAAAAGCATTGTTAAAACCCAATGAAATAAGTGAACAATCATTCAGCATTCCTGATATTTTCTTTGATTTGTCTTTGCTGTTTATCGCTTTTCAACTCTTGGGCTAATTACAGAAGATAAAAAGTATCGAAAACCTTAGTTTGTTGTTTGTATGTATTTTTGTATGTATATATAATGATTCTCTTTGAAAATTATATTTTGATAAATATGTATAGATAATGTATATTTATGTTTCATGATTCTTTGATTACAGGAATGGATGAAGGCGCTTGTTGCAATGGTTGAAAAGTTGATGGAGAATCTTGTTGTGATGATTCAGGTTGAAGATACAGTTGTTGTTGTTGTTGTGACAACAGTTGTTGCTGAAGTTGTGTACTTTGTAACAATTCTTGTTCCATGACGGCTTGTTCAGCTCGTGCACGAGCAAACAATTCTTGCTGTTGTCGAAGAAGCTCCTCCTCGGGTATTCCTAAGTGTTCCAATTTGGTTGATTGTCGTCGTTTTTTTCCTTTACATGTATTTAACACCCTTTCACCTTCGCAAATGTAATCATTAAGGCCCATCTTTCTAAGAGCATGCAGAACATGTTCACCACTCATAGTTCTTTTTTGATTTTCCTCACAAATTTCATTAGCTTGTTTAGTTATTATCCGAATAAATTCTTTACCAAGGTTTAGAATCACTTCACGACTATCATTGGCAACCCGTATCTCAGGCAAAACCTCTTTAATCAGTTTATTCATAGCAGCTCTCGGTAAACTTAGCTCTTCTTCTTCCATTGAAAATCTGTTATGATGACAGCAGGACACAAGAAAAAAACCAAAACAACAAGATGACAATTAAATTACAAGAGAAAATTAAATAACAATTAGTTCATCAAGCTAAATATATTAAAATTAAGAGGATTTATTTAATAAACAATGCAATTTAATGTTTTTTTTCAAAACTTTAGTTAGAAGATAGAGACATCTAGTGGAATACAATTGGTGGGAATTTTGAAATAAAATGATCAGGATTAATTGAAATTTTTTATTAAAGAATTTATTTAAAATTAATTTTTGTTCTAAAGGCACTACATGGTATTGGAATTGTTTAAGAAATTCCTTTAAAATTGAGACAAAATAAATCAATACATTATGGCAAGTGAATGAGAATAGTAAATTTTTATTCTCGTTTATAAAATTCAAGTCGATATCAAAAATATGAAACAAAGTTAACCATGTGTAGGTTTATACTTGTAATTGAGATTCATCTAGAAGTGGATTTGAGTTGGGAGACATCATTGATTGAAGACATTTTGTTGCTTTATCACGGCTAAGTTTAGTCTTGTACCATCTGAATCCAATGTAACCGGCACCTGCAATGGCTGTAATTCCTGAGATTATTAATCCAGCTGCTAAAACTCCAATCAATGCAGACGAAGCTGCGGCTGATCCCATTCCATGAGCAGCCAAAGAACCAGAAGTTAACCCTAAAATACCTCCACCGGCAGTTACACCGGCATATTTCACTTTCAGTGATTGAACTTCTTCAACAAGAGCTTCATTTTCTTGGGAGAATCTAATAAAGCGTGCATCCATTCGCCGTCTTATCATGGTTTTCATATTAACATCCATACCCAGAAGCATTAATTGGTGAACTTCATTGATTATTTTTATCTTCAATTGAGAATGAATTCGAATCAGTTCAGACGGATCGACGTAAACCATTTTCTCCTTATTACGCGCCATTTGGTACATCTTTTCCAAAGTTTGCTGATATAACTCAGCATAATAGTCATTAAATTTATTGCTATAAACCTTGCTAATTTTCTCATGGACAATCTTCATTCCTTCCGTGATTTTTAATTTAACTTCATCACATTCTTCTCGGGTGAAAAACTTTGGATGGTTTTCAAACATTTCCAGAACATCTTTTTGAACGGACCTAAAAACCGCCTGAAAATAATAAATAGAAAATTAGAAATTAAAAGATTGCATAAAATATTGAGTTAATAAAAATTGTAGAGCAGTTAATGAATTCTAACCAATATTGTATTACGTCCACGAGGTTTACTAGTATCAAGAACAAGCTCAAGTTCACATTTGACCATTTCTTCGTAAGTTTTAGTGAAATGATCGATCAATTGATTCTTGGTTGCTAAAGAAATTGCCATCATTAGAGAATCAATTCGAGGAAATGAACCATCATTGAAAATATCAATTAGAGAACCGAAAAAATCAATATAGCGTCCACAAGTTAATTGTAATCCTACCAATTCTTTTGGTCGAATACCTTCAGGACTTAGTAAGTGGGTAATATATCTGGAAGGCAAAAAATAAAAATGAGAATTAAGTTGAATCCAATAAAGTTTAGAGAATGGTCTAAATGAGCTTACCTTTCAAGATGATCACGGAAATCATTGGAAAGTGAACCTAACTCTCCTTTGTAATTTTTACGATAAATAACATCATTCGGATGAGGCATGAGATAACAATAAATATCTTGATATGCATCAACAATTGATTCCTTCATTTTTCTCAGATGATCTTTGTCACTTTCCTTGGTAATAAATATATCTTCCAAATACTTAGAGCCACCTTTTTCACCATATTCATAATCTTCTGGATAACGCCAGCTTCTTATGAGAAACCATAATCGTTGGAATGGCTTAAGTTTTGGATCTTTTTTACCACCCTTTTTACCTCGAGGTTTAATACCAATTTCAGCTAACCGGACAAATACTTGAAGCTCTTCAATATCTCTCGGAGTCAACTCTTCTTTCAGGTTGAATATCTGGATTGAGCTGGCAGCAGTACTTATTCCGAAGACATGACTCCATCTTCCACGAACTTCATCTTTACCATAAAGACCTGAAACAAAGGTAAAATAGTAATTACATTAATAATACATTTCATTGATATTTGCAAGATTTAGATGTTCTTACCTTCAGTGTCCATGAAAATGACGGCAATTTTTTGACCAGAGGTAGTTTTTACAATGTAAGGTTGATCCCAAATCCAAATACCACGAGTTACTGTACCATGAGTTGGTTTCCATTCTAAACCAAGTAATGGTTCATCATCATCACCAATCCAACCAGGAGAACCATCTCGCTCCATAAAACGGAAACAATAATTTTCAAAAGAAGTTTTACCTGAGCTGGTTGGACCAACTATAGATATAACAGCAATAGGTAAATCACGAATGGCAGGGTCATTGAGAACAGATGCTAACGCAGCACGATCGAATTGACAGGCTTCTGAATTTTCAGAAAAGGCAACTATTTGAACTCCTTTTCCTTTGATTTTGACTTCTTTTTTCTTTTGTTTGGCTTTCGTTTTTTTGGGACTTTCAGTTTTAACATCTTTTTCTTCCACATCCTTTAACACAGTCTCAAAATCGGCCATTGTTCTGAATTTACCTCGTCAGTCAGTTAATATTATTTTATAGTTGAATATCAATTCCTTGTTTGTCCAGATTAAAATTTTGTTCAAATTAAAATTGTCAGCAAATTGTGAACCGTAGCCATTATTTAGTTTGTAGATCACAGTTGGTTAAAATTTTCACGTTGACTCAATCACAAATCACTTGGATGAATATGAACGTAAAGAAAAGCACTATCAAAAATAAGATATCAAAAAATATGAAATTATTAATCAATGGAGAATCACAGAGTAAAGAAAAATCAAAAAAGCTATTGAAAAGAAAGTGATGATTGCTGGTAGATATCAAATTGGAGGTAATAAATGAATTGTAACACTCAAAAGATTTACATGCATCCATGATTTAAAAATAAAATAAAGGATAAATTCACAGTGGTCAAGAAGAAAGCAAATAACCGACTGAAAATAAAAACTACAAGCAAGCTTTGGGTACACTTGTACGGATTGAGACAGAAGACAAGGTCAGTGAGTTAAGCAGTTTAAGGATTGAGAATTGCCACAATCAGAGTCGATCGGCAAAAAAATGCTTGTTGTTAATTTTCACAATCATAAAGTTCCATCAAACTTACCCTATTAATTTACCCAAAAAAAAGGTGAGAAGGAGTGAGAGAAACAAAAGGAAAATGAAACACACAAATTGCCAATAATCACAGCTTTGTTAACAAATAATGAAGTACAGAAACAACACAATATCGAATATCTTGAAGACTCACCAATAGGTAATAACAACATTTAAAACTAAGGTTTTCAAAGACAAGTCCAAGTTTTCCTAAAAACAGGTTTGTGTGAGTCAAGAAAACATGATGAAGCAGCTCTTCCTAGACGCCAAGTTTGTCTCATAAAAGAGAGGGAACACAAAAACCAAGACCATGAGAGTCAAGTTTCAAATGTCAACCAACACTTGGATATATTCTGGTTCCTCCAGGAAAAAAGACAGAGTCAAATGACAACACCAACATTATCTCATAAATAATAATTAATACAATTAAACGAGCAAAAATAATCAAAGACCTAATAAAAAGCAAACCAAAATGGAAACACGAAAAACCCAAACCAATAGCTTTTATCAACACTAGAGGGCAACAATATACGCATAGAGGTTAACCAAAATGAAAACTCAGAGTCGAGCATGAAAATTATATAAAAAAGATACTCAGATGAAGATAAAGCTCAGAGTCTCATGATGATCATCACTAATATCATCGGATGAAAAAAAAGGTTGCTGGGGGAGTTGAAAGAACCGCCTTCATAAAAGTTGAACCAATGAAATGAACGTAAACCGATGTAAACATTATTTTGTATTTGTATTTTGTGTATCAAATTGGAGTGAAAAAAAAGAGCCATTCAACATGATGAGAGGGGAAAAAAGAGAGGAAGAAGAGAGGAAGATGAAAATGATTAGAAGGGCAAAAAGTAAGAGGCAGAGATGAGTTGTAGAGGAAGATGAAGATGAAATGATAAATAAAAAAGTAACATCATCTTCTCACTCTTAGACAAACTCACTCAAAGCTGCATCTAAAGCCGGCCTTTTAACTTTCATTTTATTCATTCCCTAGTCCAGTAAACATGATTTACTGATCAACATTTCCTAGTCTTTAGTTAACAACAATTTACAATAAAGTAACAAAAAGTTTTAACCAAAACACAAAAAAATTAAGGTTTAATCAAGATCAATTCATGATTTGTTATGTTATGTTTATCAAGCCACTTTTACCAGCCAAAGAGGAAAGGTTAAAATGTGTAAAAATAATCGCACAGTTAGGATTAAAAGTGGCCTAACCAATCGACCACCGTCAGGCATTGATTCAGCCTCATCACTAAATTGTTTATGCAGTTCATCGACAGCCCAACCAATGGATTGTTCATATCATCCTCATCCATATCACAATAAACATCACACTCTTGACCCTAACCGATTGACTCAAGCTCAACCTAAAGGCAACACTTTGCTGCACCGAAAGTTGCCCAATAAACGGTTTAACCGTCAACTTTGCGAGTCACTTTTGTTAACCAATGGAGTAAAATCAACTAATTGTGATCTTCAACTGGAATCATCTTTAACAACTCTTAATCTCAAACATTACGGATTAATTTTCCTCTTCTCAACCCTACTTTACATCAACACAATAGATGCTGATTTTGCATACGATGACAGGTAAACATGATAAACTTTATCCTCTTCATTTTGCTATTTTTTCAATAAACAATTTACTGTTCCATGATGCTAATATTAAAAAAAGTCAACCTTTAATCAAGAAAAAAACTGAGAAGAAAAAGTTGCTTTAATTATCTTCATCATCACATTTTAACTCTCATCTTTTCCTCTTCCTCCTTCACATCACCATCTTAATTAATATTTAACACATAATTAGTATAAACAATTTTTTGCCAAGAAAATGATTAAGACTGCAAAGTAACTCACAATAAACAAGGTTTTATGATAAGCTCAATTTTGCATCATAATTTCATGTTGAACAGGAAAAAAAGCGTTTCTTTTTCACATTTCAAATGCATTTCTTTATCAAAATTAAAATATTAATAGTCATGAATAGCAGGACCATGAGCCAAAGTATATTTGGCAAAACATGGAAACCAAAACGATAAACTGAAATGTAAAATATTCAAATATAAAAATAGCATTAACATGGACATTATATGACCCATAATAATTCAACGTAAAGATAGTCTTTTGTTACCTTTGAAGCTCGAAAAAAGCATTTGCTCATTCAAATTGTCTCGTAAGTATTGTAACTGTCAACTGAATCTCCCTCTTAAACCATACCTTAACTATAATTGTTAAGCCGTGCAATTGTATTAAAAACTAACACCATTTAGTTTCACTTTAATGTTCATCCTTCTGCTCTTTATCCTCCTCCTCTTCCTCCTCATCATATCTCTCATCATTTTCCCTCTTTCACTATCGCTCCATATGTTATTAACAATGGATTCATGTTTTTAACATTCAATTCATTTTGGCTTTTCATCTTTTCCTCATCTTCAACCTTCAATCAATCTTCACAATCAAATCTTTCAATCTCTCTCCTTGTTAACCAATAATTAGAGTTTGATTAAAGATTGCTTCCAATCAAATGTAACTCAAAATGAATTATAAAATTTGATGAGTTAATAGATTCATTGAAAGTCCAAGTTGATCAAAGTACTTTTAGGTTTTTTAGGTTCAACCGTGTTCATTGACTGTCAACCACAGACTTGAATTTGGTTTTCACAATGAAATGCTCTTAATGTTACTCTCAATTGGTAAACAATTGCCAGCTAAATCAAACAGTCGACAAACTTGATGACCATTGACGGGTTTTATAGCTTTTTAGGCAAAAAAGGTCAACACATTTGAACACGATATAAACAGATTAAAAAATGCAAATGCAACAAACAAAGTTGAACCAATTTAATAGATTAACCTTTGCGTGTTCCAGAGTCAATATCAATCTTAATCAATGCAATTTCAATTCATCTGACAAGGATAACAATAACAATTTACACCAATAACATGTTTAAATGTAACTTGCAGCTTCTCTCTTTTTTTCACCATTTCAGATGATTCCAAAGTCGCCTCGACTTGATGATTACAATGATGACAATAACAGTCAATAATGTTAACCTCAGTTTCCCATGAGAATTGGTTAGAATTCAGTTTCATTATTTGAGATATTACAGTTTGGTTATATTAAACTTGTTCAACAAATAACAACAAGCAAAAAAGTTACAACTCAAAATTGAGTCTAATATCGGAGAACCTCCCAAGTGGCTTCAAGTAAGTCAGTGAAAAAAAGAGATAGGTAATAATATACAAACCGGATATTTCTATTCAATTTCCGTTCAAGAAGAAAACACCGGAAAAAAGGACAAAAAACTCAGGCTGAAGAAGAAAAAGTTACCATGAAAAGTGAATTCTTGAAATGAAAGGTCACAATTTTTTGGTTCCAAATTTTTCATATCTTTTCTTCCTTTCCTTTACCAAAGTTAATGATACAAATTGTTGTACAAGATTGAAAGGGAAATGAGGTGAAACATTCAGAACAAATAGAGATATTTTCATCATTTCTGTCCATTCCAATCAACCAACATTCACTCATTTCAATCACAAATTCAATTGAAAGTGTCATCAGTCTTCAATCAATCTTTGCGCTTTAAGAGTGTTTATCAATGAAATGAAATATCCATAAGTTGCATTTCATTCACTGTATTCAATCTGAACAATCATCATAAAAACGAAATGCGAAAAATTAAAAAGTGATTTTTATATTGAACTTTCGTTATTTTTCCGATTTTATTCGTCGTTTTGTTTCCATCATTTCTGTCTGAAAATCGACTCTTCTCGAGGTGTTTACCAGACTGGTTAATGAATTTGATATCTCTGGCTCTTTGACATTATCTGTTCTCACATTATCATTTCAATTGATAACTGAAAATAAACCAGGAGACCAAATTGTTGATTGAGTTGATTTGATTTTAATAAACATTTCGCTTAAGTCAATTGAAGTACTGAACCCAAACTCAAATCGACTACATCTATGTTTATCTTTGGTTTATTTTGAATGATTTTTACAAATTGAAGCTTGACATGAGCTGAAGGTGATCAAGTTATTTACAAATAGTCTTGACCCGAGTGTCCATTGGTTACATGAAATGTTTGTAGTCAAAGAATCGCTATAAACTAGAAATAAATTTTTCTCATTTCTTATCCTTTTCAACTGTACAATTACCAGACTAGTGATCATCGACCTTTAATAATAGTAAATGTTAATTCATGATCGCAAACATAATAATACATAATATTACAATCACTTTAATCATGAAAAGTAAAGCATAGAAGGCAGAAAAGCAAGTATCATCATCATCATCAACAACAACAACAAGAGCAAATGTGAATGCTAATGATGATTATGATGAAGATAATGATGAAACTTTTTTTTACTTTTACTTTTTTTCTAGATTTGTCCTTAAGCATTCAACAATTTGTGTCTATTATCGGGAAAAAGGTAAAATCAACTGAAAACTGAGCAAATGGATCAACCATTGAAATGGGATAAAATGATGTTATCTTTATTGAAATTACATGAGAATCTATTCTTGAGTTGAATCGATTGTTACCTTGATTGTAACACATATTAAAAAAAGGAATCATTTTCATGTTAAACATTATTCCAAGATAATAACCCTTCATGATTCCTCTTTTGTCTCGTGCTTTTTGCCACCAAATGCAAGTCGCCTCCACAAGTGAAATGATGAAAAGCCTTCTTCTCTCCAAACTCTCATCATTATCATCATCTTCCTCTGGAAAAGTGTTCATGGTCCACTTTGTTGTGAAAGCCTTACGGCTAAATGTAATTTTACTTGACTATTGAAGCACCATTAAGCCATAAATACAGTCGTGACCAATTACATTGAATTTTAACTCTTCCCTTCTCTCCATTCATTCCAGACTTGAAACAATTTTCATGATGATGATGATGATGATAATGTTAAATGTAATAATAATGTGTACAGGTAAGTAGATAAATGCAACTTTAAAGTGGCAAATAAATTGCAGAAGCAAAAGTTGAATAATGCCAACCATTATTAACATCAACATAACATAAAGTTAATCATTTTCATCTTTTCTCTTCTTTTCCTTTTTTTACTTTTACTATTGGTTTTTGGTTGGGTCAATGAGAGGTCATTGAAGGCGACAATTATTGTGTCTTTAAAGTTGATTGCTAATTGTTTCAATTAGAGATTTAAACTGGTAAATTTATATTGAAAAAGGTTGTCTGGTGTCAATAATAAGATTTGGAGTGATTATTGATCGGTAAAGGGCAATTAGATATTTCAATAACTTGTAATTGTAATCACCTTTCAACATGAAAGTGTAACCATTTGAAATTGATTTTGTTTTGCTCTCTAGCCAACCTTTTAGTCTGTATTGGGAAACTCATCGAAATGATGGGATTCAAAGTTCTTGGTCAGGTAACTTAATAACACCTTGCTAATGCATTGCCTAATCTTTATAGCTTTAAATCGTTGTTTGAATCTGAAAGTTAAAGTGTTTTTATCTTGTTAATTGAGGGTTTCAGTCTGAACAAAACTTTTTCGTTCAAGATTAAGATTCTTGAAAATGTCTCTTTTCCCAGGCTTAAGAACTGTAAGTCCAGTTTACATCATCGGGTTGTTTTGTATTGTAACAAGAAACTGATAACAGACTTTGAATGATTAAAGTTTGATTCTAGATTCATGTTTAGTCTAGTTTCTAGAAATATCTGTTTGAATGAATAAAAGCGTCAAAAAATGAACTTTTAAAATCGCTTTACAATGTTATAAAACTCATTGGTTGAGTCAGTTTTAAGGTGACTTTGAGTTGGTTGTTGAGTCAACTTTTATCAAGATAAGCAATTAAAAACGCAATTTCTTGCTCTTGAGATCAGACAGCAAACAGATTTAGTATATTTTTTGTTCCAGTTAATCTTGAAATCTGTTTTCTAATCATAATGATCACTCTTGATTGCTTAATTAATGTTTTTTCAGCAAAAATTGTTTTTTTATTTCTTTCTTTGATCAAAAACAGTGATAGTTGTTGAGCCTGACAAAGTTTATCACCAGTTTATTTTTCATTATTACTTAGTTAATTGATAACAATCAAAAAGTCTCATTTAACATGCAACAAAACATAATCAAAACGTTTACCGAAGTTGACTAATGAACATTTCGCTCAAACCAGTTGAAAATCCTAAGCCAAGTTCGACTCATTTCAACCCAAAAACTCTATGAAAAACATTCTCAGCACAAGACGGACAAAACTCACTCCATTGATTCCAACTGAAAGTTCTGATTGATTTGCTGATAAATTGGTCAGAATTCGACAAAATATGAAATTTTTTAAAATCAACTGAGAAATGAAGCTAAAAGCTCGAACTCTTTATCAATGAATCTTCTTCTGAATCTCAATCTGTACCAATTATTGGATTTTGATCAACGATTGATCAAACTTAATGGTTAATGATGCAGAGTTTAATAGCTGTCTACAATTCAAATGATGATTAATGAGAAATTCATTTAATTAGCTAAATTAGATTAAAAAATATTTGCTTCAAAATCTTTCTCTTCACTTGCTTTTTTACCCTTTTTTGTCTTTAGTCACTTCATTTCTCATCTCATATCATGCTTTCAACTCTTTTTATTATTAATATCAACCAGTTTTGATAATTAAATTTAAGTCAACCACAACTGACAAAGCTCAAAACTCGCGACAACATCAATAATAAACTTTAATTTGATTTAATTTTTCTTTTGCAAATCATTAATCATTTTCCTTGCAACTTAATCAACTAGTTTTAAATAATCAACTCAACACAAAACTAACCAGCAAAACAGTAGAGTTAATCATACGAGAAACTGCATTAAACAATCGATAAAATGAAAAATGAAAAATTTTTGCTTATAAAAAGAATGGAAAAAGTTGAAAGAAAAATGAAATTTTGAAAGATCACTTCGATCAGCAAAGTTAATGGAAAATTCATTTCCGATTCTGATGATCCAATTACCTGTCCATTAGCCATAATTTTCATGGAGATTCATTTCCTTTTACCTTAAATAATATTAATCAAATGTAAATCAATCAATTGCGCTCATTCACCTTTAGGCTAAACAATGACAATTGGCCAATTTTCAAGTAAATTAAAGGTAAATCAATTATTGGAAAGATGAACAAACTTGTAAAAGTAATGTCAATGTAAACAAGTAAAGAATCAAATTTTGGTTCAAATTTTTCTTTACCTTTTCATCCTTTTCACCATCATTTTCAACTAGATGTAACGATGATGGAAATGATCAATCAACTAAAAGGTAAAGGTAAAAAAAGGAAGATTAATCTTTTCAAGTTTTCCCAAGTTATTTGCTCGCAACAATTTTTACAACTTTTACTGTTGCAATAATTAAAGTTAAAACTGATTCAATCAAATCATTCCGTTTCAAGAAATGGACTCAAGAAAATAACAAACTCAATATCGAAGGAAAAAATTCATTTTTTAACTTTTCAGGTTCGAAAATATTCAGTCTTAATGATGAATCAATGTCATCATTGTTGCTTTACTGATTTCATGAGTTTTCTGATCGATGTTTTACAGAATGGAATCGAAATGGAATCGGACCAGAAATCAAGTTTTCTAAGATATAACTTCGATGGCTCGTTACCCCAAACAGGTTGCGATCTCAGTTGATCTTGAGCTTTCGAGAGCGATTTTGTATTCAGGTTGAAGTTGAAAAGGTTTGCTTTGAGTGAAACTTTGATTAAACATTTAAATGTTTGAGAAACCAAAATTGATTCTCATCTTTTCTTGTCCAAAGTAAATGAAATACTTTTTTCCTCGACTCTGTTTGGTCTTTTTAATGATTAAAAGTCATAATTCAACTGTCATCAGTCACTTTATCATAATGATTATCATTTTTCTTACAACGGAAACATGTTGTTCACTAGATACTTTGACTATCATGACTGACCCAAAATGATTTACAATCTTTCTCAGAGTTTCTCTTTCCATTTCATCATCAAGGTAAGAGTAACTCGGTTTATCATCAAGGTAACTCAAGCTCAGGTTTCATCTGAAGATACAAGTTAACAAGATTATTTCTTTCACTTTCCTCTCTCACATTACATTTACCCTGCTTCTGTGATTAACTATCTCTAATATAACTTGTGATCAACTTGAAGATCAGTTAATGAATCAGTTTCTGGTTCTGGTTCCATACTCCATTATAATAAACTTAACCTCGAAACAACTTCGAAATTATATTTTCCCTTTTCTCTTCCATACAAAATCTATAATCTCGTTGCTTCATGAAATATCCTTTTGATTTACCTCAATTGAAGAGAAACAATTGAATCTAATGAAACACTTTTTTTACACAATTCATTTTCGATTGGCTTTTTCAGCTTCTTCTTCCCCTGCTTTTCTTACCTCTAATTCAAACTTATCTTCAACTACACATATTAATACATGTTGGAATCAATGGTTCCTTTGAAAGGGAAAATATTTTTCATCTCAAGATGAATGATATTTTATCCTGTCAGCTTATCAGCTCAAATAGGATGCAAAAATGGTAGCAACACAAGTAACAACAAAAACCATCATCAAATCGAACATTTTTTCTTCTTCTCTGTTTTCTTTTATCGATTCTCTTTCTTTCTCATTCCATCTCCCGTCTCTTCCATCATCATCATCATCTTCATCTCCCTTAGCTGTTTCACCAAATCGGTTACCTAGTTGAGCGTAAAATCACGATTATCCAACGCTCTGATGATTTTAGATAAATTTTTCTTCTTGTTTCTCTTTTCCCTTTTCCTGCTCACTCTAAATTATTGAAGCAACTGTCATTTTCTGAATCATCATCATTCCCATCATCTCTGTTTCATTTTTAACTTCAACCTCCCACCAACACCTTAACACCCTGTTAGCCATAAAAATCGAGTAAAAATCCATTCTCAAATGGCCTCATCAGTTCAATCAAACAAATTACATTTGATAAGATTTGTGCCCATTAATGCCCAGTTAATAGGCTCAAAGGTTTTGCAATGGTTCAGTGAGCTAGAATCGCGATTAACACACATCTCTTCAACTTTTGCGCTCATCGAGTTATTTCGCATTTCTATCGTAACATGAATTAATGAAGGACAGAAAAGTGTATGAACCTTGAAAAAGTCTCAGGACTAAATATTCATAACTGCAAAGCGAGATGTCTAATGAAACTGTTTTGATTAGTCTTCAAATGTCTCCAAAAGTCGACGAAAATAACATCAGCAAAAGTCGCATTTCAACTCAGTATACGAAAAATTTCTGAGAATTTTTTAGCCAAAAATTTCAAGGTCATTCAAGGTCATTCTTTTATTTTACTTTCAGTTCACATTTGCAGGTCATATTAAAAATGCAAAAAAAATGAATTTCGATGATTGCTATCTCATGTCGATAGTACAAGTTGAAACAGAAATCGGTCAGAATCATGTTAAGGATATGAAAATGGATTCAAACTTGAATATCGTTCGAAAGGTTTATGCTAAAGACATGAGCTGGAAGCCAGAAATTTCATTGTGATCGCATTTGCAATGATAACCTTTAAACGTCAGGTAAAGGTCAAAGAACGAGTCAAAGTAGTCACTTGAATGTAAAAATACTTCAACTCGCTTCAACCTGCAAGTTAGATCAAGTCAAGTTACTCGGCCTTTGCCAACCCACCTCAAGCTTGCCACTCAACAAGCAACTTGATCAATAACCAAGTCAACATTACAAAGGAAACCTTCAACATTCCCTTCCCAAAGCAATCAAATTGAAACTCTGAATTTATAATAACCCTTATAAATCGAGATAAGTTTCTTAAGTGTATCCTATTATTTTACTTTGCCAGTTGAATCTGAATGAAAAAAAAACTTTGGAAACCTTAACTTATACTGAATAAAGGAGAAAAGGAAAACAAAACAAAACAAAACAACCTCAAACTTTTCCATTTCTTTTAATAACCAGATTTTTCACTTCTTTTTCACTTTAATACTACAAAAGAACATATATTATTCTTGATAATATCAACTCCCAGTTACTTGTTATTCACACTTATCAACCTTATTCTCATAATTGCCTAGATAAATAGAAACATACATCCAAAGCAAGAGTAAAAGATATTATTTGCAAACTTGAATACAATTGAAATAATAGTTGTTGTGATATCTTGTCTTTATAATCTTTCATGAACACACCAAGAAAATGATATTTGAATATAAAGAACGAACAAAGAGAAAAAGTAAATTCCAAGAAATCGATACTTATTTTTAATATAAAATGTATTCTTATTCTTATTCACATTCAAACCGTTTTTTCATATTGCTTTTCCTTTACCATGATAATGATGGTAATACTCATAAACATATTCAAGTTGATTATCTCCAAATATTTACGTTCATATTCATTATCATAACTTTCAATTTCAATCTTTTCTCTCCTCAAGAAGTTTCAATTTCGTATTCATTATCATGACATTTACTCATTTCATTTAACCAGATTAACTAATTTCCAAGATTTGCGAAAACCAAAAATTCGAGAAAACTTTTACTTTGTACATTTTTACTCGATTCAGCAAAAGTTGAAAGTTGCCTCAAGCTACCAATTAGATTGAATATTGCTGAATAATGTAACTTTTTTTCGCTTCATTATCATTATTCGCCATTGATACAAAAGCTGTTGTCAGCTGAAAAAGGCTGTTAATATATTCACATTTGTGGCTATCAAATATCGATATTAAAGTTCATTTGGAAAACATGAGAAATTTTCTGAGAAAGATTGAGATGTGGCCATTCTCATGTCTATCGATTATTACATTACATGAAAGATTAACTCTTTTCCCATCATCTTTTTGTTACTTTTTTACATCATCATTCAATTTGCGGTGCAATAATTTTTCAAATATTGTTTCTTCTTCTCAGCACATTCTTTTGACAAATTGATTTTGCCAATTTTTTCCTCTCTTTATTGTTGTTCAATGAACATTCAATTTTTTTTCCTCCAATATTTGACCTTTACCTTTTATCAAGAGTTAACAATCATTTGTCTCAATTTAAAGAAATGCAATGAAAGAAGCAAATATTTGCCATTTTCTGATGTTCACCTTTTCATGACTAAACTTGGAATAAATTTTGTGAAAAACTCGCCAGTTTGATTGATTGGTTTAAAAGTAATTAAATTATTGTTTCATTAATGTATCGTTGAGAGTAAATTAGAGTTGGTAATTGAGTAACGATAATTAACTTTTTAAATGCTTTTTTCAGAACAAAATGTTTACTGTGAACTCTAGTCAACGATGTCACCAACATGTCAAGTTCAATTTATATCTTAGTTTGTATTTGAATATAAAACTGTGAATAACTTGAATAAATCTTGCAAGTATTTAATAGCTGATCAATTGGCGAATGAATTTGAAAATTTTTTCTTCATTTTCGAGTTTCTCTCGTCCTTTGATTCATCAAAAGTTTGATTATCACAAGAGTTTTGTGTCTTTCAAATATTTCAATATTTTTGCTTGTTAATCAACTTGATTAACCTTCAATCGAAATTTCATTTTCAGACTCAGAAACATTTTCAACAAGTTTCGCTATTCTCGGCAAACTGACAATTCAATCAATGTTATCTCGTTGAAGAGTAAACATTTCAAAGCTTCTAATCTTCAGAATGTTCATTATCCATTTTAAGCCTTTTGATCATCAATACTTTTATCATCAGTAAACTCATCATTCTTGTTCAATGATTCGAGTATCTTGAAGGTATCTTTACAAGTGTGAAATGAGTGAAACTTGGTAAATCACTTTTAGTCTTAAGCCACTTGAGAAACTGTTTAATTTTGATCAATTTTAATTTCATTTTGCATGGTCAAATATTCCCTGATTTTGACTTCTTTTATGGAAATTCATTATTACAGTGAAAATAGATTGGTTGAAGTCAGTCTCAAAAAAGAATGAAATGTTTTTGAAAAAAGAAGAAACTCACCTTAAGACGATTAGTATTAGCTCCTGGTAAATCCATGGTTCCAAAAATGGGTGAATCCGTTTTGAATTTGAGTGAAGAGAACACAAAAAAGGGTGAATATGGATAAGAGGTTTAAGTGGGTGAGATGAAGGTGAAGTAAATATTTTCAAAAATGGTGAAACCGAAGGTATAAAACAAAGAACTCTTTTCAAAAAATACTGAAACTGTCAAAATTTTAATTTTCAATTGTCTCCATATTGATACATCTTCCCAAATATTTCATCATATGAGAAAAATAATTGTTACAATGTTGTTCAGTGATAACTTGTGAAGCAGCATTAGCAGCAGCAAAAACATCATCACAAGTCGTCGGTTTTTGACGTTTAATGTGATGTTTAAACTGATTAAACAAATTTTCAATTGGGTTCAAAAATGGAGAATAAGGAGGCAAAAAAATTAAATTATGACCTTTTCCTTCAATTAGCTCTTTTACTTCTCCTCTGTGATGAAATCGGACATTGTCCATTATAACGTAAGCTCCATTTACTTGTTCTGAGTCAAAGAAATCGACAAGCTGTTTCAAGAAATCAACAAATGAAATTGTGTCATAACCATGTTCTTTGACCTCATACAAAAATAAACTTTTGTTATTCATGGCGGCACAAACAGATAGACTTTTGCTACGGATAGCTTTCACTGTCAAATTAGCTCGACATCCTTTTCTTGCCCATCCTCGTCTTGATCGCACATTGATTTGCACTCCTGTTTCATCAACATAGAAAATCTTGTTCATTGAACTTTGAATCTCCAAAAATTTCAAAGCATATTCTTTTCTCAGTAGCTTTGTTGACTCACAATTACGTCGCTCTGGTACCAATGAAACAATTTTGACTGAAAAATGAACTTCCTTCAGATAGTTGCGAACTGATGCTGGATGAATCTCAATGTCAAATTTTTCCTTAATTCGATCTGCAGCAGTTGCTAGAGTAGTTTGACAGTCGTTATCGAACCAAGATTGCACTTCTAACACCATTTCAGGAGTAAGCTTTTTTGGTCGATGTCCACGTTCACGTTCAACAACTTTGTATTTTTTAAAACGATAAATGACTGTTTTCACAGTGTTTAGATTAATTTTCAATTTTTCAGCAATTGAAGATGTTGTCTCTCCATCACGGTCAGCTTGTATTATCAAATCTTTCAACTCACGACTAACTTTAGTCATATTGAATTCACAATTGAAAAGAAATAATTCAAAAAATTCTGGTCTTGACAATGACCTTTGACTAAATGTGTTCTTTTTTGAAAAGAGTTCTTTGTTTTATACTTTCGGTTTCACCATTTTTGAAAATATTTACTTCACCTTCATCTCACCCACTTAAACCTCTTATCCATATTCACCCTTTTTTGTGTTCTCTTCACTCAAATTCAAAACGGATTCACCCATTTTTGGAACCATGGATTTACCAGGAGCTAATACTAATCGTCTTAAGGTGAGTTTCTTCTTTTTTCAAAAACATTTCATTCTTTTTTGAGACTGACTTCAACCAATCTATTTTCACTGTAACACTTTTATTCGTGTGATTGTGACTGCTTAGAAAGAGTCTCTCTTCATGAAGCCAATTTCATGGTTTAAACAATTTCCAAAACTCGCTTCCCTCTCAACTGTTTGAGTCAAGAATCGCAAGATGTTGAGCATAAACAGGACAAAATTCAACAAAAAAATTAACAGAAAGCAAATTTCACAGCAACATTGGTTGTTTCAATCAATGCCAATCAAGTGAACCTTATGCAACCAACTTTTCCCTTGAATCCTTCAATCTGTAAACAACCCAATCCTTGAGAAAAACAGCCAAAAATGGTTAACATAAACACCCATTAAGTTACAAATTAAACATCAACTTTATCCAAAAAACAAAGTTTTTTCCCTAAAATCAAACTAAACTCACATCTTCACATTTGTCAACAGTTAACCCAAAGTGCCATTATTCAAAAAAAAAAGTTTGAGCGTAAAAAGATTCAGAAAAAGTAAAAAAATCAAACTGAAAAAGTACATTTGAATAAATTTTTTTGTTGCTTCAAAACTGATCTCACCTTTTGTTATGAAATGTACAAAAAAAGAGTAATTTTATGTAAATTGAGTGAACATTTCAATTGATGGTAAAACTGAGTGCAAACACTGAAAAAAAGTCAACAAATAAAACAAGTTGAAACTGCAACCTCAAACATGATACAGTAATGTTGATAAAACTCGAGAAACCAGAAAAGCGCAAAATGATTCTCATCAGCAATTCAATCGTTTGATCAATCAAACCAAAAATTTACAAATGAAATCGAAGTTGCAATATTTCAAAGAAAAAACAAAAAGAATTTTTTTCTAGAAAAAAGTAAATCGACAATTATTATCAAGAGTTTTTCTTCGGTTGGTCAGAGAATCGCCTGAAAACATGAGCAAAGTGTAAATACGTGGAATGATGATCAGATGAAACTCGGTAATGGAAAGGAATGAGAGAAAAAGGAAACTCTGAAAATGAAATGTTACCAGTAAAGGTGTTCACAATGTTATTGGGAAAATCATTTTTTAGTTGTTATTCAATTGATCTTAGGAAAGTTACCTTGTTCATTGCTGTTACCCTGATCATGATCAACAAAAGGTATAGAGTCAAATTCCTTTCGAATTTACCATGAAAAATTTTCTTCCACTTTTCATCATTTCTCCAGTATATTATTACCTTTTTACTAGAAGAATTAATGTCCTCTGGAAATATTTTTTTCTTCTTCTCTTCCTTTTCTCCATTCAACTTCCTCATCATTTCGTTTCAGTTTTGTTCAGCTTCCTGTTAACAAACTTGGACTCATCAGAATCATCTGAATCATTTCATTTCTACTCTTTCATGTCTTGCAATCTTTTCAACTTTTTTTATCATTCCAAGACACGAACAAAAAAGATGAGTAAATATCTCTCCAGGGTAATGTAACGATTCATCCTGTTCATCATCGTAATCATCATCGACCAACTAATTCAAAGCATTTAACTTTTCGTTTTTTTTTCTTCATCAAAATCCATTTCTATTTATAACGCTTTTAAATGGCAAATTTAGTCTTTGATTGAATTAATTGTTTCAAGTTGAAAGGTTCAATTAATTCTGTAAATGAAACTCAGTTAGTCTTCACATTTATCCAAAATTTTATTCATAATTCAATTCGAAACTTTAATCAAAAAAGTTTCCAAACTCAGTCATTTAACGAATGAAAAAAATGAAAGAAAACCTGAAAATTCAATGAAGATTCTTTTCTCAGAAAATTGTTAACATTTTCCAACATTGCAATCATCATGAATCGATTAGTTCTTAGAAAAGTGTTTATCGTTTTCTATCTCATTTAAAGTTCATTGAAAAAAGTTAATGTTTTTACTCAATTGAATTGAAAGCTAAACTTTTAATGTAAATGAATAAAATTTTGAAGAAATTTATGAAAAAAGAGAAAACGTTTTTTCGAAACTTTTTTTCTCGCTCTCAGATAATTATCCAAAGTTAATGTAATGCTCAGTTATTTACCTTGAAACTTCATGATAGGTTAATTGAGAAAAGTCGAGAAAATACAAAACTAATCGATTATTAGTGACAAAAGAGACTGACATAAAGGTAAGAAGGTAAACAAAGCTTGAATTATAAATATCATGTAATCTGATTTAGATTCATGTAAACAAGTTGGAAGGAAAAGTGAACGCAAAGAGCCGCTTTTGGTGCTTCATCAACTATCAATCATTGATAATGTTAATGTTGATTAAACAAGTGAATAAAATATTTATGGTTGAAACATTTTCCCCTTAATCTCAAGTGATTTAACCAATGTTTACTCATTGTTAATGGAAACTGTAATGACTTTCCATCATTTCCATTGCCATAAATATGTTTACTTTTCCATCTTTAATTGTTATTCTTCATGAAAATTCCCTGTAAATTCATTATCAACTAGAATATTATCAACTTTAGAGAAAAGCATTTCTAATTGTAAATGATCCAATTGAAGGTAAATGAAAAGAAATGCTCTTCGCTTTTGTTGGAACCTTTTTTTTCTGGTTTACTCTGATAATCGTTGATAATGATGATTAACCTTCTCAACCTGATTATCGTTTCTTTTTACCCTGAAAATGAAGAGAAAAAGGAAAAGATTAACAATTTAATGATTCCAGGTTTACCCTGTTCTCTTCATGCTATTAAGATGCCATTTTTTTCCAAACCTTTTCCTTCTTCCACCAAAGATTATATCAATAAGATGGTGATGATGATAGGGATCAGAATGGCGATGAAGATGAGAAGAAATTGTTTCCAGTTTTGTATTTCTTGGTTAACCTAAAGATGAAACGAGATAATGATATTGGTTACAGTTAAAGTTACTCATAATAGGCTTGTAACTTGAGTTGAACAAAATTATTAGTTAAGCTTTTTTAATAATCAAAGCACGTTTCAAATGGTTATTAATATTTGATAGAAGATTGTTGCAAGAAAAATATTGAATTCACTTCTCATGATTTTTTCAACGATAATTATGAGTCGACTTTTTTCACTCCCAGTCATCATTCCCAGTTGGTGTAATTTGCTAATAGAGAGAGAGGAATGAGAGCAAGAGGATGATGTTGATGAAGAGTAAAAAGTAATCCATAGAGTTTATCCTTTTATGTGTAAGAGGATTATCTTGATAAGACTGTTAAGCTCCAAAGGCTTGACCAAAGAAGAGAGTATAAGATCTTTTGTTAACTTTAACCCACTTGATTCTCAATTGGATTGACAATGGCAAATCTATCTCTCAATAAGCTATCATTGAGGTAAAGGGAAATGTTGATCATGATGAGGATGATCAAGACTCAATACCAATTATAACATAAACCACAGAATAGAGGAAAAGATGATAATTGAATCAACAGTTTCTCCGAGTTTTCAATTCATTGCTTTCTTTACCTTTCATCCAAGTCATCATTTGCTTCAACAAAATCATGCTTTACCGCTTTAATCCTTTCAACACAAAGCATTGACCATCAAATTAGCTCATCAGCCAACTGGTTAACACTGAAGCAAATCTAGGCTTGGAATGGCCAGTTTGGTAGCGAATCCAAACTGATTTTCGATTCCAAAGTTGAGGGACATTCGGACACAAGATTTTTATATTTTTTGCAGTTGAAATGTTCAAATACGCACGAGACAGTTGAGGCAGCAGTTTAAGAGATGAACAGTTTAATAATCATGAAATTAATAAAAATTTCCATCACAACAGAAAAGAGAAAAAAATCCATTTTGATTTACTTGCCCAATGCACATTGAAAAAAGGAAAAGGAAAAGAAGTGAATAATTGAGATAAACTTAAAGGGGTTTACATTCAATTACAAACTGTAAAGATAAGCTAAGAGTCGATCCCTTGCAATTTGTTTTAGATTTTTCTTCTCAACTTCAACTTGCAAGTAAATCTTCATTTCGAGACAATTTCCTAAGAATTGTAAACTCACGATAATTTAATTTTCAATTGAGCCGAAAATTCCAAAGACTGAGAGATTTACTTTGAGATCAAAGTCAAGAAAAATCATCTTTGACGATCTTCCCTTAAAGTCATTAGAAATGAAAATTCAAGTTCCATTAAAGAATTGGATTTTGACTTTGAATCGATCTTTAGGTTAACGTTGTTTTTCCAGTCCATTTTGATTGAATATTGAGGCTGTTCAAAGAAAGTTTAACCTTTTTTATGATTTCATCTCAACAAAACTCAATTTCTTTATGCAAAAATGATCCAAATTTTGAGCAAATCTGAAATTCTGCTGTAAATTTATCCTTTCAATCAGCTTTCAAATAAATTTTCATTTAATTGTTGATACTTTTCTGGTCTTCTTTTGTTTTCTTTCCCTTTTACTCCAATCTCTTTATCATTACGGTTTTGTGTTTTTGTTTGTCAAACTTTACATTTACAGTTCTATTATTATAAAGCATAAAATGGAGTAACAAAATATATACTCTGATTTAATGGTCTTTAACATGAAGTTATTCCAACGTTGACCATCATTATCCTCATCATCATCACCATTGCTCATTCAAGCTTAATTTACCAAATTGATGGTCCTTTCTCTTCCCCTTCTTGTCACCACAGCCACCAATTTGACCATCATCAGTTGATGATACAAAAACTGTAACCATAGAGATTTGTAGAGAAAATTGAAGCAGAAAAAAAACACAAAACTTATAATTGACCAAAGCAAACTAATAAAATGTAAATGAATCTTGACCACATTTGCAGGCAAATTTGTAAATGTTCAACCTCTGTTAGCGAAACACAAAAATTGAGAGAAATTGTTCAATCTCAATGGATAAAGTTGATGAAGAAAAATGATGTTGTGCTCTTGAAGACGAAACCAGAAGAAAACAAATTATGATGAGAGAAAAGAAGAAGAAGAAGAAGAAGAAAAAATAAATTTAATTTACCCAAACCCATTCAAGTTGAAGATATATTGAGCCTCTCATAATACCACAAGACCCAAGTACAAGGTTGGTGCAAACATCATGTTCAATGTTAATGCGTCTCTTTGGATTCTTATATTTAAACAGCAAAAAACAACTCAACAAAAGACAGAAACAGCGATGATTCACCATCAAATTGATACAAAACAAGAAGAGATGAAGAAGTGTTTCATTATGAGAAGAGCAGAGCAAAAAAAGAGTAAAAATTAATGGATAAGATGTGCTTTTTATTCACTTTTCTTGGCCAACTTTTCATCAGTTTTTTGTCCATTTTCAGGCAGCAAAACCTTTCTCCTCTCATGTTAATGGAAGCAAAGCAAGAAAACAAATGTTTATAATCTTATAATCTTTTAGTGTTGAAACGTTATGTGGTTGGATTAGCTTTTGCCGACTCTAATAATCTAAACATTTCATGAAGAAAAAAGCAGAAAAGGTTCAACTTCATTGAGAGAATAAAAAGTTTTATTCAATCTTTCCAGCTTTTCAATTCACTCCAAGCTTTTCCCTTTTGTTCTGCTACAATTTAATGTAAAAACTAAATTGCTTCCCAAACCATTCAACTTTTTACTTCGCCATTTAAAATGCAAATTGCAACCGGCTTTAATCATTAAGGATTAAGCAAGAAACTTTAATTATTAAACCAATTTATTGCTTTATTGCCAGTTTATTTCACATTAAAGTAAACTTTCAAAACGTTTCAACCTTTCAAATTGTTATCAAAGATTCAAATTCAATTGTTGCTTGAAAAGGTTAAATTAGTATCAATCGAAATTCAAGTTTCTACATTTTTAGAATTCGAAACTTTGAAACTTCGAAGTTCCTCTTTTCATTGCAATATTTGTTCGAATTGTTAGATTACTTTTCCTATTCTTTGGTCCATCTTTGGTTAAGAGTTTTTTTTTCATAAACTTTCTTCTTCTTTTCCGATTCTTTCACTATTTTAACTAAACTTTTTGCTGGACAAGCTTCAGCCAATATTGACAATTGAGTTAAATTTGGTTGTAAACAAGCGAGAATAGTTTATTGAAGGAAAACTACGAATTTTTGTGAACATTTTCTTTGTGTTTTTACTTTTGTTTAAGCGGAAACTTTGTTGTTTAATGTTGACAAGAAAATTGATGAAACTTTTGTCAACATGAACTTACCTTTGGAAATTCATTTTTCGTCCAATGCTTCGAGAGCAACTCAAGTGACCATCGAATAATGAAAATTTTAATCTTCTACCAATCTTTTATTCCTTGACAATTGATTCTCGATGTATTTAATGGTGAAAGAAAACTGAATGAAATGTAAATTTTTCTCGATCAAATATCGAAACTAACTGACCACCATTGTTGGCTATTATTGAAGGCTATCATTAAACTGAGTGACTTGAAGGATAAATAAATAAATATGAGGTTTACACTTGAAACAGTTTCATTTTTATTTTCAATTTGATTGATTGAACTGTCTTTTCCTATTGAACAATGAATTCTCATAAATTTCATATGAAAAGAGGAAAGAAAGAAAAGAAGCAAAATGGAAAGAAGGAAATTCGAATAAATATTGAAGCAAAAAGAAACTCTTTTTTTGTTCGTTATTACATTTTGCCTCTTTTCCCTGCAAGATGATGTTCCATGATAAAGGCAAGGGACATTGAAATTTCTTCTGAATATTGATATTGTTAAAGTGGATAAGAATCACGAAGGAAAAGTTGAGAGAATCGAGAAAACAAAATTTTCTTCTCCAGCATTAAATCAATTTCAATGTGAATATTATTCACAAACGATTATCATGTTACGCCATTCAAGGTACACTTTTCTGCAAATTCCAAGCTATCATTTTTCGAGAAAATCGCATTTCGATTGCAAGTTACCTTGACTACATCATGTTATATGAGCAATGAGCTTTTGCTCTTTTTTCCATGTAAATCTTTTTCTAAACAAATTTCAAATTCGAAGGTAAATTTCGAACCATTTTTCTTTGGACATTTTACCTCACTTTTGAAACATTTACATGATAATCAAAGTTGCTTCAATTGTCATGCAAATCTTTGTTCATTCATTGCATTGGAAGCAAAATTTTTGGTCTTTTTTGGAGAGAAAAAAAATTGTTCTAAATTCTGTATTTACATTTGAAACTTTATCAAAGAATATAAAGAATTTTTTTCTCTGAATAAAAAGTCATTTTAATGGTTTTTCTGCTGTTCCATGCTTTCATTGTTCATGTAATGAGATATAAAAAAGTGAAGAAAAAATAAAGTTGAAAATAATTTGTTTGCAATTTAAATGAGTGTTGAGATGAAAGATAAAGTTGGAAATGGTTTAGCAGTTGAAACTGTTTGAATTGTTGAGAAAAGTTCTGTTGGATAATTTGCTAGTTTGACAGAGTTCAGTGTTTGATTGAGAAAAGCTGGGAAACAAAAGTCGGAAGAAGAGCAAAAAAGTAATGACAAGAAAAGCTAATATGAAATTGAGACTGGGAATGATAACTGGGACTGGAAGAATAAATATGATGATAATGAGCAAGAATGTTACAGAGAAGAATTGAAGGAGAAATATATACATTTTTGTGTGCAAAGAATATCAAATTGATTTTCTTTTCTCTTTGTTCAACTTTTTTTGCCTTCTTTTCCCTACTTGGCCCTGCTCATCATCATGACTTTCAAGTTTCAAGATTTTGCTTTTTTCTTCTTTTTTCACTTCTTTTCTCTGCAAACTCTCCATATCTACTTTTGTCTGTGTCTCCCTATTTATATTATTATTATATCGCTTTACTCATCTTTTTGCTTTACTGGTTTCATTCAGTTCCAGTTTCATTGTCAACTTGTATCCGTTCAATGCAACACTCAATGTGCAATATTTGCTTTAGCTCAATGTTTTCCTTTCTTTGCCTTTCTTTGCCTTCCATTCAACCATCAAGTATGGACGTCAATGGAATCATGAAATTGATATGAAAAGACGAAATAAATGAACATGAAAAAGTCAATTTCCAATGAAAACTAATCCATTGTCTGCAGCACGGAATAGCTAAAGAACAGAGAATGCAAATATTCCTATTGAATATCTATAAATGGTTGAAAGAATGGAAGAAAAAATTCCAATTCTTGCATTAATTTTCCAGAATTTTTCTTTTCTTTTCCATCATGAGTTATGAAACTTTGCAAAAGCATTTTACAGCAAAAACAATGTAAAGAAATGATTTATTTGCTGTTAATTTTTCAAACCAAACAATGAATAAAAGCAAGATTGAAACGAAAAAATTTGATCAATTTTTATTCATTTGATTTGAAACTTTCTGAACATTCAAACTTTGGAAGAGCAACAAATTTCGATTTTTTAAACTTGAAAAGAGCAACAATTTATCTCATTTAACTAACCAACTTACAATTGTTACAAGTGTTTGAAGTTAAAGTCACCGATCAGTCTCAAGTGATCAATAGATCATTTTCATAAGCAAAACTCGATAATGAATTAGATTATCATTAATCCAAAAGTACGTTTCACTTCCCAGTCAAACTGGGAATTTTCAGTGTAATTTCAACATAATGATTACCAGCATTAACCAATATGAAGTTAACAGAAAATATTGTACAAGTGAGAATAGGAAAAGCACCCAAACGCAGTTAACTGTGCAAAAGGTTATCTGAATATGAATTTAACTTAACAGTCAATTAATAGAAGCTTAATGATAAAGTTTAGAAGAGAAAAAAATGTGTAAACATTTATCATGATGTATCATTAGAATATCTCTTGAGAATCGGAATAATATGCATTATCATTATTTTCAATAACAGTAAAGGTAAGGAAGGAAGAGGAAAATAATCTAATCGAAAAATGAGAAGAAAAGTAAAGGTAGAAAAAGATGAAAATTTGTTGACTTTGCAAGTTCTAATTCATGATGATGATGATGATGATAATATTGAGTAATAGGAACAAGTTGAACCACAAAATGTTAACCTTATATTAGTATCACCAAGTTACCTTGAACATGAGAAGAGATGAAAAAAGGAAAAGAGAAAATAAGTTGGAGAAAAAAAATATTTCTCTCTTTTGTACTGGGAGTGAAAGATGAATGGAATGAAAAGAGGAAAAAGTTTCAAGACTGGGAGGTTTAAGGGAATCCAAAATGTATGGTTACAAGGTAAGAATACAAAATGCTAAGAAAATAACATTCTTTGTTGATGGAAAAGAAAAGAAAGAAGAAAATTTTTAGCCAATTTAATCTAGCAAAATGTGTCTTACAACAGTATATAACATTTGGCTTCATCATTATTTCATTTCATGTTGTTCACCATTTCCAAAGGTTGATGAATTTTTTACTCAGGAAACCCCAATTTTTTGCCTCTCATCGTCGAGTATCATTCACAGTGCGCTTCAAGATGCTTCTTTAAAACATCTTCATCTTGTTTCGCCAATTTATTCATACAATTTTATTCTTTCCTTCTTCTTCCAATTTAGTTTCAGTTTCCTCGTTTCTTCAGTTGATATTGTTAACAATTTGCTTTTCGTGCTCAACATTTTCCTTTGATTTGCTTTCCAAACTTCGCTAGTAATACAAACAAATCAACATGAGATTAACTTTTTTACTGTTCATTTATGTTTACCTGTTCACGAGCATTTCATATAAGGTTCATGAAAAACAATGAAAATGATATTTTACCATTTACAAGCGTTTCTTTTTTTTGCATTCTCATCTAATGATACACTCGATAAACTTATTCAATTGTTTGGAAATGATATTCAATCTTTTATTTTGAAAGTTTTCTGTGTTTTTTGATGTTATAATGATTGGTGTGGTTGAAACACTCAATTTGTTTGTTGGGGAAACTCTTCATTTTTATTTGCTGCTAAATGCATTGGTTTTCATGTTAAATTCAAAAGAAAGTATCTTTCGTTTTGTAAGCTTTGCTGCAAATTGAAAAGCGCTCAGAGTTCTGTATTGTCAGTGGCAACTTGCGTCTGACGATGTTAAGTTATAATCAAGTTACTGTTTGACTTGAGTGACAGTATTATTGATTTTCAAATATTAGGTTAAATAAAACGATTGAAGCTGCTTGTCATCAATTTATTCATTAAATAGTTTTAAGAACCATGTTTTGGGTGCATTTGCAAGTGCATCGATCTCAAGTTGAAAGTCAAAAAGACACGCCAGTCCAAACTGAACGAAACTTGGTTTTAATTGTATATTTTCTGCTAAAGCTATCATCCATTAGTTTATTCTTATGCATGGACTCAACTGTGTTGAGCCATAAAATCACATTTATTGTTACCAAGAGAGTGAAATAGCGTAAAGTTGAACAACCAAGCTACTGGTAATATAACTGCATATAACATGCTGGACAGTCTTTCGTGTTGTGATTTCCATCACTGATCTTGTCACAAAACAATTGCAGTCAATTCAATGTGCAATTAACCTTAGTTCAACTCCAGCTTGCTTATAAATCCAGTCAAACTCGATGAATTAACACTAATTTTTAGCAAACAATTGCAAAGAGATTCGATCTTTGGGCTTTCATTCCAACAGCTAATCGCGACTACTGTTGATCGATTGCTTCCATTCAACAACAATTAGCCTTTAAAGTTTACTCAAACCTTGCATTTACAAGTAACTTCTAACCTTTCCTTTCGACCAGGAATCGAGTTTAGATTCATCCAAAAGATCAAACTGACATTTCCTCAGTTTGTTTCTGGTCCTTTCTTTTTACCTGTGATCATATTTCATGTACAAAAGCCATTAAATTAATCACTGCTCAACAGACTTCATAACTTTCCTCAAATTTCAATTAACATTAAACACTTTTTATTCGCCATAAACTGTGCAAAACATGTTCAAAAGTAAATATTGACATTAAATGAGTTAACATTTCCTCTTTAAATTGAATCGACAATCACAATTAGCCATTATAAATAAGTGGCACAATATTTCATGAAAAAAATTAAAATTTCAAACTTCTTTTGATGACTTTAATGCAAACAAATCAATTGAAGTAAAACTAAGAAACAAAAGCAAAACCGAAAGGCCATTTGTAAAGACTTGAAATATTATCATCAAGTTGAGAAGGGAACAAAAGTTTCAACTTGATAATATCATTAATCATTTGAATAAGAAATTTATTTTGGAAACTTTGATTTTGGAATATTTTACTATTCAAAAGTTGAAAGTAAACATGAAATATTGCACAAAATGTTACAAATTGAACAAAATGAGGCACAAAAGAAACACAAATTGCCATAAATATTGTATATTCAAACCAATTACAATAATCAATAGAAAAGGAAAATCCATTTTTTACAAAACACAATTAACATTTTCTCATTGTAAACAATAAATCAATTGAACACTTTGTTGGTTCAACTAAATTACAATCTAACGTGACTTTTGTACATTTCAAAGTGAAATCAAATTAATCATCGAAATGATGATTTGCTTTACAGTTTTGTATTTTATTTACATTTAGATTCATTTGAATAAAAAGAAGAGCTTTTTTCATCTCGAAAAGTTGTCTTCCATTGACCATTTACAAAGGTTTATCATCATAATTATTGCTATTACTGTGATTCCTATTGGGATTGGTCTTGGTCAAGTTTATGGAAAACCTTTTCGCTCTTATTCGAACTCACCTTTTCAATCAAAATCAATATCTAACCGTAATTATAGCGTCTTAAAGCATTCTGATTAACTTGAATGGATCTTTGTTCATCTATTATGTTGCTTTGTTTCGCTCAACTTCTTATAATGCTTGAAAGGCTCAAGACTCATGAAAGAAGAACATGGTGAGAGAAAAAAGGCTCAGTTGAAAAGGAAATTGAAGTTAACTTGTAACAACATAAGGCTATTATCAGTTCATATATTTTCATTATTATCTTCATGTTATTTTCTCTCTCTCTCTCTTTATTCTTCTCTCAGCCTTTTCTTTGGCGATCCTGAAATTGTTTGAAAAGAGCAAATTGAGGCAAACTGACCTTTAAAGCTCAAGATGAACACTACTTTGTTCATCAATAATGTTGATCATCAATTTGAATGAGAAAACATTCGCTAAATTATAATATATATCAATGACTTCCTTCAAAGTTTCATTAGCAAAGAAAAAGTCAAATTTTATCATTCCACTCGAGTTCCGGTTTCATTCCCATCCAATATTTTAGATCAACATACATTATTCTATCCATTTCACACAAACTTTCACTTTATCTTTGTTCCATTTCTCATGTCCGAACATAACACTGAAAGCAAAATACAGTACTTTTCCATGATTTGAAATCTCAGTGAATTGTCTTTTCTTGCCTTTCCGCTCTTCCAACAGCCGCTCAGAATGCTACTTCAGCTCGAACTCCAACTATGAACAGAAAGATCTGAGAATAAATGATGTTCAAAGCCTCCATCTCTAAAGTAAATGTCAAAAAGCCTTCCCAAACTCAATATTTCATTTCGATATGCATTGTAAATCAACAGTTCTTAACATTTACAAACGTAGATCTAAACAGTTTATAACACTTTGCTATGGTTTGCAATGAGCAAAACTTGACTGAACTCGAGTTCAGTTTGAAGGACAAGGTTCTCAAATGCAAGCATAATAAAATGGATCTTCAGTAAGAAAGAGGAAAACGATCGTTGAAATCGTTGAAAGTATCCAAATGAAACTCAAACAATTAAGAACAAAGTAAGTCAAAAACTTAAGCTAAGAGCTTCAGAAAGTGTTGCTAAAGTCGCGTGATTTTTGCAAGTTTTTGCATCTTTAATGGAACAGTATAATTATTGAAAATTGAAAACAAACCACAAAAGTCGAATCGATATACTAATTGCATTTTGTTTCTTTATTTTTCTAGTCGAGCAATTAAGACAAACCAAGATGTTCACATGGAAACTCCTTGGACTAATTTGTTTTACAACGATTTCTGGGGAACTCCATTAACTCACAGTGGTTCCCATAAATCATATCGACCTTTAACCGTATTAACCTTTCGCTTAAACTATTACTGGCATCAATTGAACCCCTCTGGTTACCATTGGGTTAACGTGATTCTTCACTCTCTGGTCAGCCTGCTCTTTGCCCACCTAACAACCTTCATCTTTCCCCACGACACTGCCTCTTGTCTCACCTCTAGTCTATTATTTTCAAGTCATCCCATTCACACTGAAGCTGTTGCAGGAATTGTTGGTCGAGCTGATTTATTGGCTGCCTTATTCTTTACCTTTTCATTGATAACTTACATTCGCTATTGTTATCTAGCTGATCACATTAATCAGCCAACAATTGTTTCCTCACCAAAATGGACAAAATCATTGGTTAACCATTCAAGTCACTTCTATCTGTACACATCGTTAATTACCGCAGCATGTTCAATGTTATCCAAAGAATATGGAATCACAGTTCTCGCAGTTTCTGCCCTCTATCACATTGCAATTCACCATAAATTAGCTTCTCATCACACAATTAAAAACTTGTCAACCCTTTTAACAGAGGTAAGAATAACTTTTTCAACAATTGTTCAATTCCCAGATTGAAACATTTTCCAAGCTCATTTCCTCATTGATCAACTTTAATTCCCTTCAACTTGTGTTAACCCTTTTCACCCATCAAATCACCACTAAATGTTTCCTAATTAAATAACAAAAACAAATTGATTCAAATTAATTTCACGGCTAATTAGGAAAGATTAAACTTTTCGCTTTTCTATTTTTACAAAGCAACTTTTCCCACTTTTAACCTGTTTTGCATAAAAAGTGATTCCAACAAATCACCACTTTTCAAGTAAACTAATTGAATCCAACAGTTTAAACCTTTTGTTCACTTGACTCTTTAATTAATAATGATGTTAACGAAACAACAAATTGAACCAAAAGAGAAAACTTGAAATTTGATGAATTTTATTGAACTTGTGGAAACGAAAAAGTTTCCTCAGATAAATAAAATTCTTGCAAACAAACCACTTGTAAAAAATGCCAATGATAATGTTGAGTCTAAATGTGAAAAAATGGTTAAAATAGCAAGTAGTTTAATCCGATTAGGAAGATGAAACCTTAGCAAAGGAATTATCGTTTACTTTTTTCAGTTCAATTTAATAATAAATTTCAACTGGGAGTGAGAAGCTATCAAAGGCAAAATTTTCCTCCAAACTTTTTTCCTCTTTTCCCATTCAGCAAACTTTTATTGCAAAAAGATATTTTTATTAATACTTTATTCTTGAATATTGATAAGTTGAAAATTAAACGTTATTATCTTTATTCTGAACATTATCATTAAACTTTCATTGTAATGGAAGAAATTGAAAAAGAAAAACAATTTTAAGGAAAAAATGACTTTTCAAAATGAAGTGAAAAGCAATCAACTTGAAAATGTTGACAAACACGTTTGCATCAAAAAAGATAGTAAACTGTTTATCGTCGAGTTGAGCCTTTCTGCCAAAGGTTATCAATGAATTATTGGTTCATTAAAAGGTAAACTTGTTACTTCTTCAGCTATTATGCTTAATATGCTTAGCATGCTGGCTTTTATTGAAAAGATTTGCTGGGAGTGAAAACTCCGAGTTTTCCCTTTTTCTTTCTTCTCTTTTTTGCTATTATAATTGATAAAGGGTTGGTGATGAAACTGATAATGATAATGATGAGCGTCTATTGAATGATCATTTGGATTCAGGTGGAAGCAGAAAAAGATTATGATTGATACAAATTGAAAGGAAGCAAAAGAAACAAATAAAAGTGAGAAATGATAACAATAACAGGCAAGATGCTTTATAATCTAATGACAATGTTTCAGTTTCAATGTTACCTTATCATCTAACTTATCATTTTGACATCAATTTTGCTCTTTTCCCATCATCATGTTCTTACTCATCATCATCATCCAATTTCTGAAACTTATATCTCGTCTTCTTGTTCGTCTTTTTTTCTCTCTTTCACTTGTCATTGAGAACTTTTTTCTTCTTCTTCTTCTTCTGCAGTGAAAAAGATGAGGATGAAGAAAAGTGATGAGACATCAGCATCAATTGGTTTATTTCTTTCTCAGACAACTAATGAGACGAAAACGAAGCCATTTTCTGTGTGTGTTTCTCTGTTTCTTCTTCTTCTTCTTTTCCATGTTATAACTTTTCATCCCTTCTTCCATCATCAGTAGCATTTGTAGCATCTTTTTCTTTCTCTTTTTGCTCAATCGGTTTGTGATAAATATAATGATAATAATAAAAAGGAGGAGATCAAGATGGTTGATAATGCTGATAGATTGTGTTCAATGTGTGTCAACTGCCACTCAATCGATTCATTTTTGTCTTTCCATTTGATTGCAGTGGAAAACGTTTGCTTGTCAAATTAAATGTTCAGTCTTGTTGGTGAAAAGAGTCGAAGAGGAGAAAAAATGGTTCTTCCATGATAATGGGTATAATGACAATGATGATGGGTTTGATGGTGAAAAAGGTGGATTTTAATGAACTAAATATCATTGATATGAAGCAACATCTAAAAAGGTCTCTTTAAAACTTTTGTAAACTTGAAACATTTTTTGCTTCTCTGTAAATAGTAAAAAAGATCGTGAGTTTTGCTCTTTTGTTCAAACTTATTTGACAATCTTGACAGAGACAATGTTCAATCTTTCATGATAATTTATTTGTTTCATTAAATTAAATTGAGTCGAGTCAATTGAGAAAATTGGAGTTAAAGTAATTCCAACTTATTCACACAAAGTTGAACTTATGCTCAACTCACTTCATTGAGCTATAATCGACGAGTTTAGTTGACTGATTGAGGCTCATTATTGGTTCATCTCAATCGCTATTAGTTGAAATTTAACTTTAGTGAATCTTCAGAAATAATAAAATCTTTTTTATACAAATTCACTTGCGAATCGTGAAGTTTTCCGTTTTTACTCGAAACTTTTCTCAACTTAAATCATCGAAATTTTCATTCCTAAACAATTTATTGAGATTTTAATGTTGATGTTTTTTCAATCAAGCTTGACTTGAATTTTCATTCCCTTTCAAGTGATCCACTGTTCAATTAGTGACTTGATAAACTCATCACTGGTTCATCTCAACATGAAATGTCAAACAAGACGAAAAACAAATTTCTCAAGTAATGCAATTCTAGCCATTCAATAGTGTATTAGCTGAGTATAAAAATGAAAGTTCATCTATCAACTGAAACTCAGAAACACAAGTCAGCATTTTTCTCTTCTCTTTCCTTCTCTCACCATCTTCATCATCCCTTGCCATCATCTTCATCATCTTTTCTTCTATTGACAATTAAATAATAGGAAAATAATTTTCCAATATTAATCGATTACTTTGACAACAAGTGAACAACAAAAACACTGAAAAGCAAACAAAGTTAATACTTTTTTTTTATTTTGCCGTTTATTAATTGATTTGTAATCATCTTTTGGCCCAAAAACAAAAACAAACATTAATATTGTAAAAGAAAAGATAAAATAAATTGATCTCAATTGATAATAACAGCACACATTAGATATTAACACTAATCATAATAATAGTAATAAAGTTATCAAGATAATTGTTTTTCTCATTTCGCTTTTTCTTCTTCTTCTTCTTCTTTTATCCATTTTGACAGGCAAAATATTCTGGTCTCCGTGAAGGTCTATTTCATCTAATAGCAAGTGCCATTCTCTTGATAACCTTTCGCCTTTACATTATGGGCTTAAGCACACCTCACTTTTCACCGGCCGATAATCCAGCCGCTGAATCGAGCTCCTTCTTTACTCGAACTTTTACCTTTCTCTATTTGCCAGTCATCAATTTTAACCTGCTTTTGTATCCTCGTTGGCTATCCTTTGACTGGTCAATGGAATCCATTCCTTTGGTTAAACATGCAACCGATTCGAGAAATTTAATCTCCATTTTGTTCTATTCATTTTGTGCTCTTTTCACCCTCAAATTGTACAAACATCAATCTCAATGGGCAGACTTTCAGTCCACTTTATCTTCACACCAAGGATCAAGTTCATCCCATGAAACTGATTCAGTCAACAATGCTAATTATCCTTTTGCTCAGTCAAAGTTTTACGGCAAAAGTAAAATGAGATTTCCATCAAAGAATCAGATAAATAGTGATCACTGGTTAACTCAATCCTGTGAGACTGATCATTATGTAAACAGTGAATTTCGCTGTTCTTCAGATTGGCCATTGTTCGCCAATGGTTCAAATGATGGTAACAATCCCGTGCCTCGTCCTTCATCTTCTTCATCTTCATCATCGTCCTCTTGTTCTGCTAATGATTTTGATGGTAATCCATTTGATTCCAAACTAATAATGATGATAAGCTCATCTAGCAAACTCAATTCCATTCCATCATCAATTCCTTCTTCTTCTTCATCATCATCATCATCTTCCTGTTCATCTCAATATCATCATCGATCATCACATTCAACTTCAATTGATTGTCTAACAATATCCTGGTCACTATTAATAATTCCTTTCATCCCAGCAACCAATTTACTTTTCTATGTTGGCTTTGTTGTCGCTGAACGAATACTTGTCATACCTTCAATGGGCTTCTCGCTTTTAATCACACTCGGCTTTAATTATCTTCTTAAACACCTAACAATTAGATACTCAATCAACCGTAAATACCTTTACTCAATACTGGCACTTCTCATTGTCACCTTTTCCTTGCGCACTGTTCAGCGAAACAAAGATTGGAACTCTGAAGAAGACCTTTATCGTTCTGGGATTCCCATCAATCCACCAAAAGGTATCATTAAACTTCTTGCAAACTCAAAAAAATGATCGACGAAAATCTTTTCCAACTCTTCTGTCAAAACTCATTCAGATAACTTCCAAAACCAATGAATCTCTCAACTTAATCTAAACTTATAATATAATACTAATAATCATTAGCAGTTTCAACTCTATTTGAATTACTTCAAACATTTTTTGGTGAAAGTTTCTTTTTCGACGAATTTCAGAATTCTCTTCAATTTTCTCAGATAACAGTTTAGATAGTTTTCTCGGTTATGTTATAAAAGAAAGAATAAATTGCTTGAAAACATTAGCAGAACTATTATTAACATTGATTTTGAACTCATTTTCTTGCAGCTTACGGTAATTTGGGAAACATTTTAAGCAACAAAGGAAACAAAGTTGATGCAGAAATGGCTTACCGTAAGGCATTGACTTATCGGTCCAACATGGCTGATGTACATTACAACTTGTAAGTGATTAAATTTTCAAATAATTTCAATTAAAGACAAGAGCAAACAGTTTTACATGATGATTATTCCGACGATGATTGCGATGAAAATGCTAATGATTTGGTAAATGTCAATTTATCCCATTTGTGGTCATTATCATCAATTAAATTGATTGAACCTTTACCACACCCTTTTGGTTTTGCTTGCTTCTTCTTCTTGTTGTTCTCGTTCAAGATGATCATCACATAATCATTAATTCAATTGAATCTTGAACCGTATTTGCCTTTTCCAATTTGTTTACTTTTCATCGAAAAAAAAACAAAATCTTGTTTATCTTCCAAATCAATCTCAATGACATTCCCAATGTTTTTCAAGTTACCCAAGTTTGATTCCTATTATTGTTCAGTAATCATTTTACTCTCACTGATAATGTAAACTCATTATCTTCTAAACAATTGATTCTCATTAGTGAAACAAATTTCACTCCAATGATTCCCAATGACTTTTCCCATTTTCTTATTCTTACCCTTTTCCCATCTTACATTTGCATCCCTCATTTCCCATGTTTCACCATTCAACCAGGGGAAAAGTCAAAGAAAAAAAGAACAAGATAAAGTTGAAAAGATTTCCAATGGAAGCAAAAGAGTAAAGCAAATCAACTAATTTACATTGGTAAACACGAAAAAGCTCATTAACACAATCAATTCTCAGTTTATCACTTAAAACACACTAATTCCGTTGATATTTGTGTCTCTTCCAGAAGAAGAAGCAAAAACCTTGAAATTTGTGATTAACAATGTAAATGTTTCTGCTTTATTAATCAAATTGTATTACATTGTTTTTGTTTTGTTGAACCAAAATAAGCCCAAAAGAAAGTGATAAAACTCATGAGATTCAGTGTGTTTACAACCAATATTCAATAAGGTTAATTATTTTCATCCAATGCATCCAAACCCAATAACAATGCAACTAAACAAATATAATAACTTGTTAGCCAAACAAGTTTAATCAGAAATCCATAGTTTCCCTGGTTCACCGAGTTTTCCTCATTTTCATATTTATCTTTATTTTCTGGTACAACTTCAGATGGTCATCTCTAGTTTCCAGGTGACAAATTAGCTTGACCATCTTTTTCCTCGCCCTTCATTTGTCTTCATCCTGTCCCTTTCATCTCATCAGGTTAACATGAAAACCTTGTTCGCTTCTCAACTGTTTTACATCACTGCATTCACAATTGTCTTTCAATATCAACAAAAGCTACATGAATGATGATCATGATTGTCACTCTCATCTCAAGCCATTTTCTTCATCATCTTACCTATTCAAAAATTTTCATCAATTCCACTTCACTTCACCTCATGTTTACCCTTTTCTCCTCATCTTCCAGTTCCATGAACAGTTTTTGTATTTTCATCATTTCCACCGTTAATTGACATTCCTTTGCTCACAGGAAACCCAACATTTTACCCTTAATTTTCATACAACATAGACTGGAATAATTTTCCCATGAGGTTATTAAAAAGATCTCAAGATGAAAACACTTTTTTTTCGTTTTTTTCTCATCTTCTCTTCTTCTTCGTTTATGAAGATAAAAGGTTACTCAAGAATATGCTCTTAAATAACTTGCCTCATCATCATTCCCTTCATCTTCACTCCCATAGAAATCAATATCAACTTTTTTTCTTCTTCCGAAGCTTTAAAGGCTCAAACCTAAGCTAAGCTCATGTTTTGGTAAAGATAAAAAAGTACAAGGATTGACATTTAGCTTGACATACAAGTCAAATGCTAAAAGATGATAAACATGATTACATTCATGCACTCTTGCTTCACTCAGTAAAATCTTTCAACATTTCAAAAAAAAGACAAAAAAGTAAATATTCACAGATTCGAAATGATCACTTTGTTCGAAAAAAAATTCTTGAGTTTTGAAAATGTTGCTATCAATTGCGAGGTTGAATTATCGTCTTTTAGCTCAATTCATTTGTTGACTTGGATTCGTCCAAACTACTTACAGGCTAATAAGATGTTTCATTGTGTAAACATTGACCATAAAATTGAACTTGAAGGCTCTTGAATCACTTGACAGTTTAATTTGATTTAATGAACAACTTGTAATCAAATTTTCTAATGCAATTGAGGAAACAAAAACTGTAATCAATTTAATTGTCCGATGAGTGTAGGGAGAGAAAGAAATGAAAAGACGACTTCAATCGAATCCAGTCGAGTAAAAATCGAATCTCTTTTATAGATTCAAAATGTAATTTTCAAAGTAAAAGCTTATCTTGGGTTTACCTTTGAAGTAAGTTTCATTGAGACAAAGAATGAGATTGAAAAAAGTATAAATAATCCTTGGAATGGGATTCTTCATCTTCTCATCATCGCCCTCTTCATCGAAACCTTTACCTTAAGCCTTTTCCTTCTTCATCAATCTGATCATCATCTTCTCGTTTCCAAGGTAATTGAGCTAATCTTAATTAAATTGATTCAAATTGATTACACCAATCATTCTCTTTCCAACGTTTTCCAAGTTTAACCAATCTTGATCCAACCTTTATCTCATTCCCAGAATAAAAGGTTAACTCAACCTTTTTTCACACACTTTACGCTGAGAGAAGCACATTTTTTTCCCTCTAAAATTGATTCCCAGTGCTGTTGGAGAATCCATGACAATGGTGAAAAAAAGAGTTTTTCTGCTTCATTTTTTTCTCCCTTCACTTGTTCACCTTCCTTCATGAACAATACATATTGATACTTTTATTGACAAGGAAAATGTTACAAGAATCAAGATGAACACAAGGTTGAGAGTAAAATGAATGAAAACACAGATAATGACAGTGAGACAAGGTGAGGGAAAAAAATGTTCAACAAATACATTGATATACAGTTTTCACTCCCAGTGACTGGGAGTAAAAAAAGTTGAGAAAAAATCTTTTTTTTCCTTTTCATTCTTTTCAATTCTGTTAACCACAAAAGGTGTTAACTTTTTTTCCTCCTAATCGCTCTTGATATCTTGAAGTACAATCAACTGTAATTAACCCATGATCAACATCAATCGTTATCCAAGACTTTAGTTACATTCCAATGAAGTAAATTGATAAAGTGGATTAAGAAGGGAAAATATTTTTCAACAATAAATCACTCGAACGAGTTGGAAGTACATTTGTTGAATTTAAAAGACAAAAACTTGTTGAGCAAAGTTGAAAGCCTCGAGTGAAAAACATTTTGTCCTCGAGTAAGAATAAAATATTCATAAGGAAGATCATGAAAACTTTGAAACACTTCCTGTAAACAAATGATGTTGAACATTCTGTTTATTCAGCTGAAGAAAATGTTGAACTGAATTTATCAGAGAAAATAGTTGATCGAAAACGAGTTGAAAATTTGCTATCATTGGCCATCATCAGGGCCATCATCATCATCGTAATCGCTTTCATTTTATTTTTACTTTTCACAATAAGAGTTGAAAATCTGGAAAAGAGATAAAAAAGCGAATGAATTGAATGACCATTGAAATGGATTCCCAGAAGGATGCTACATGTACATGTGTGAAACTGAATTCAGATGACTCAGTACCAATTGTCCATCAACATTAGCAAGTCTTTCTTTCCTCAACAATAACATCACCAAAAGCAAATACAGTTTCACAGAATCTTTACACTTCTATTTTTCTTCTTTTCCTTTTTTTCCTCATCTTCTTCTGATTCTCTGAGGAAATTAAGGTGTCAGTTTGTTCCCATGTTAAACAAGCTAAACACTGAATAGCGATACTCATGTAACTCTCATGAATCTTGAATAATATTCAGCTGGAAAAATCGATAACTTTTCTTCCCTTTTTCTGGTCAATTAATGATTTTTGCATAAAAAAAATGTTTTCATCTTTTGACCACAAAAAATGTTTCGAGCATTTTACTTGTGTCAATGAATAACCTTTCATCATTTAATCATAATTGTTGTTCATTATTATTGTTATTGTTTCAAGTATTTACATTTTCATTTTACTCGTTTTGTTTGATCAACAATTTACATCTTTTTTTTGCCCTCTTGTTGTTGCTCTCTGTCTGCATTATTTACACATTTATCCTGTTTTATGGTTTAACCTGGAAAATGATAATTTAATTATTTGTTCACTTGGAATTGCAAATTGAATTAATTTGATTAAATGTAAATTATGTGTACCACAATAAATGTACCATAAAAATTGAAGTTTAACCATGTTATTTGTGTGTTAACATTGACATAAGCAACTTTCAGAAGCTGATTGTTCAAATCTCTTTTCATCAACTGATCCAACAACTAACCATTCAACATTCACTGACTTTTTTTTATCACATAAACAACATTTACTTTTGCTATCAAATAAATAATTTTAGTTTATTCAATCCATTTAAATAACCATTTGAAACGAATACTTCATCTGAGACTTTTGTCACTAAAATTTCTTTCAACATGTTACACCACAATGAGCAACTCATAAATCGCCAATAACGGCTTCTGATTCATCAAATGAATTACGATAAATTTACCCATATCTTTATCTATCAATGCAACATGAAGCTTCTCATTGTTTGAGTTTCTCCAAAAATTTCACCCGAAAGCAAGTTTTCAATATTGACTTGAGAATTCAAATGAAATTTCGTCTCTTCAGGGATGAGACTCAGATCAGTTCTTTCAATATCTTCATTTTAACAGATAATATCAACGATTTTCTAACTTATAGAATATCAAGAAAATATAAAAGTTATTCTTAGCTCTTGATTAAAGGTTGAAATTATTTACTGATCGCATAGAATCGATAAGTTTATCAATATTAATGTGACTTCCCTGTTCATTGGAGTTGTTAATTTTGATGTCAAGACATTGAAATACCAAAATAGACTTCATCGATGTTTTGATTTTTCATTAAGAATTTTTCTTCTGATTCAGAATTTTATATTTGCAATCGACAGAATTAAGATTCAATTTTAAAGCCTTTAATCTGTTATTTGCTGTTAAATCGACGAGCTTAAGTTTGAAAAGTTTATCTATTCGATTTTCATTATTGTAATCTTTTTCAGCCTCGAATTCTTTATAAAACTTTTTCCCTGAAAAAATTTGAATAAAAAAGCGTCTTACAAGTTGATATGCAATAACAATAAACAAGTTTAATCTATTTTATCCTTTTCTTTCAAAAATTAGCACTCATTATAATTGCAAATGAAGATGAACTGAATTGATGAAATTGAATAAGAGAACAACATTTAATCACATTAATCATGTTAACCAAGCAATTATTGAGCCAATATTTCAATCAATTTCACCCTGTTTGGTTGAAAACATGAATACCAAATGATAAGTTGAGTAAAGAGAAACGAGAAGAAACTTTCAATTTATTTTTTCGATTGAAATGAACAATTTGAAAGAGAATCTGAAAAAAAGTAAAAACTTTTCATGTTCCATTCTATTTCCTCTTTTCCTTTTGTTTCTCTTGAAAATGAAGAGACGAAAATTTTGAACAAAATGCTCAGATTTAAAGTAAATTATCTAAAGGTCACTTATGGTGCAAGATAATAACAGAAACGAGGTCAATTTAGATTGACTCGAGAATGTTGAGAGAAAATGTATTTCAAAGAATATGAACAACATGATTGACCAGGAAATTTTTGGCCAAGAAAAAGATGAACAGATGAGACTATTGTTATATCCATTCTCATCATTTTTATCCTTCGACTGAACAAAAAACTCATGAATGTTAGACTGCAACTCCCAGCAGTAGGCAGTCGAAGGATAGTTTTTTTTTAAAAAAAAAGTTACCCAAGAGATGCATTAAGAAGAAGATGGAAAAGAAAATGGTTTAAGAAAGAAAAAATGTTGACTTTTCTTTTGCTCTCTTTATGTGTGTGTCTTGATGATGCATAAGATGATAATGAATAGAGCAAGAGGATAAAAAATATCATGAAACGAGTTATTCAGAAAAACATTTCTGGTCATTTTCCAGGTTAAACTGTAATGTCTTTTTTGGTTTCCCTTCCAACAGCAATATCAATGAATAAAGCTTACATTTGGCTGTTTCGTTCAACCTTCCATTATTATTAAAATGGAATCAATTTCCAAAAATTTCATTTTCTTTTATTGTCCTTCTATTTACACCAAATTATTTCAAACATTTTCTCATTCAGCCTTCTGTTAATCTGTCGATTACAGTCATTGGCTTTTTTTCGAATCCAATTTTCGCCTTTATTGGCTGAAGAAAAGTTGAATCAAATTTTTCAATTTTTCCTCCTCATCATCATCATTACCAACTTTTACTTATGTTAAGGTGTTGCCCAGTTTGTGGCTATTCTCTGTCCAAACATCATTATTATCACATGATAATGTCTCAATCTCTTTGCTTTCAATTTTTATCCATTCAATTGTCTAATGGACTGAGCTTTCTTGTCACTCCCAGTTTCTCGTCCATTTCATCATTGGATAGTTAACACTGAAATTTGCTCATTCAACTGCAATTTCAAATTTGATTTACATTTGAAATTATTTTGAGGAAAACTTTCAGACAACCACAAAAAATTTAATATCGTTTTGATTGTCATTAGACATTTCAATGAAAACTCTTCGACTTGTCGATAATATTCATGATTCTTGGATCAATCTTTTCTCAGAGCAAAGACACAAAATTTTCTCTCTCATAAACAGTCAATCCAACATTCATTTTCTGAACTTTTCATTAAATGTTCATTAAAACAAAAGATTTTCATTTTACAATCCAACCAACTTTCGACAATAAAGTTGTTAGAATTTCGAGATTTTCTTTTCTATGGAAAGTGACTCAGTTTCTTTTATTTATCTGTGAACATTTATTTTTAAGATTTTTAGAAATTCGCTTAAACTGAATCTCGAAAATGAAACTAGGACTAATCTATAAAGTCTGTAATGAACGAATCTGAATCGAATCTAAAAAACTCGATCGTGTAAAAGACAAACTCTGTTTATTGAGAGAAATGAAATCAAAAGATGAATTAGTTTGAAACAAGCTAATAACTCTCAACTACTTTTCCTTGTTCAAAGTAATCAACTATCAATCCTGATTCAATCCATCAAAAGAACGCCAAATGCACTTGAATGAAACATGGCAAAAGCGCAAATTTGTTTACAAAAATATATCATTTCTCGTTTCAAAGCATTTTGTTTGCTGAAACAACGTAAAAGTTTGAAAAGTTTACTGAAAATATCAAATTACTATGCAACATCTTTAGACTGGTTGTCAGAGTGTTTCATTGATATAACCAATAATAACGGATGAATTATGAAGAAAATTTCATTTCATTTTCTTTTCAAAAACTTGTGTTATTCTGGTTGTTCCCATTGAATGTTTTTTACTTATTAGAATGAGAATGCTGATGAAAGAAAGGAGGAGAAGGATGAGAATGAGAAGACAAATGAAGAGAAACAGGATCCATCAAAAGCACACAAAACTCCAAGTTGTCTACCATTTTTAAGACATAATCTCACAAACCATTTGGTAATATTATTATACAGTTAAAGCCCATATTTGATAACCTGTCAAGCGCACGATTCATGTTATATATTTTTACTTGAATAAACTTGCAATATTACAATTTGTCTTCATTTCTCATCCCTCATCATGATGATGACAATTTGCATGGAAGGCAAGAAGAAGAGCAAAAGAAATGAAAATTTTAAACTTAAATATCAAAATGAAGGGAAAGAATGAAAATGAAAAGATAATTACATTAATCTGAATTGAAAATCAATTTAACTTGCATTGCAATGTTCACTTTCAACACTTTTTCCCTTCTCATTACTGAGCAAAACAAAAGACGAAAAATTCACTCCCAGTTGCATTCCCAGGTGAATGGTCATGAATAGTGAATCCTCCCTGAGTTAAACTTGGAATGTTGAATTCAATATTAATTATAGTTGTTCCAATCTTCCCAATTCACACTTCAAAGGATAATAAGGTTTTTTATTTGGTTAAACATCTTTTGTTTAAACATAACAAGTAAAATATCATTTTCAAGATATTATCATAACCTTTTGTGATAAGCCCATTTTCATCATTTAAACATTTGATTATCTTAATATTTTGTTCGCCTTTCTTTTCATGCTCTTTTGTTTCACCTTCATCACCATTATCATATTCAATGAAATGAATAAGCAAAAGAAAAGTTTTCTCATTGCGTGATTGAATAGATTGATTATCATTTAATGGTTAAATTTTTATCGCTATTAGAGTAATAATCAGTTGAATGTGTGTCTTCAATTTGCAAAATGGTTCAACATTTGGAATAACAATTTTTTTCACTTGCCTTTAAATTGATTGTCACTGTGAATATCAATAACATCATTTTCAGTTCATTTCAGTTAAGATAAAGTAACTTGCTTAATGTTGCAATTATTACATGGAAACACTTCGACAAATTATAGCCATTAATATTGTTTCTTATTTGCTATTCAAGTCACACGAATTTTAGATGATTTCTCGATATTTGACTTTCGATTTTGAATTGACCTTTAAATGTTTTAAAATATACTTTTGAGAAAATGAAATTTTCTCATTTTATTTTCCATGATTCATTCCATTATCAGGCGTTAGGTCGAGTCAGTTGATGTTCACCTTTCATCATGTGATAATGAATTTTCTAAATGAATTCAGGGAAATTTTCGTGTAGAAATTTTTCTTCATTTTTCTCTTTGAATGAGAAACATTTTAATTAGTGATGCAAGTGATAATGAGCATGAAAATTTGCCTCAATCAATGAGTTCGTCTTTTGTTGTTTATTGTCTCGCATTTTGTACCATTTGGTTTATTGTGTTAATGACCCATTAAATGGTCAAACTAATATTATAAGATAATCATTGATTCAGATGGTGTCAATTTGTTACTCAATAACAGCATCATGAATCAATTGATTCCTTAATGATTCCCAATCATCCAATCAACCATTAACAATGTCAAACTCAATTTTACGTAACAATAAAGATTGATAATGAAAAGCTTAACCAATTGCGTCTTTTCAAAGGAAAAACAAAACAAAAAAACGCAAAAATTCAAATAAACTTTTCCTTGGAAATAAATTTCACTCCCAGTCTAATGGTTAAGATAATGGATTAAATAATGAATCATTTTTCTAGTGGATTTTGTTTTATCGACACATTTCCTTGATTCCATGTTTCTCACTAATTTAATAACAATTGCGATCAAAATGTTTTCCTTTTTGTTGGCGGTTTCTTTTGCTTCTTATTTGGTTTATGAAAGTGAAATTGAGGCTGAAAGGGAAGCAACAAAGTTTTACATTTTTTCTTGGAATATAAAAGTTTTTCTTATTCTTTGCAATTTCACTTTTGTTATACTTAGTATCCAATTGCTGTTGCACAAACACTGAGAATATGAACAATTCCTTTTGACAGCTTCCAATATATCAAATCATTGACGTTACATTGGATGAGGGAAGAAGAAGGAAACAAAACTGATTCTTGAAAGTTAAATGTTTCAGCTTAAATTTTCTGGAAAATCTTAACAAATTGCCTTCAATATTTCAAACTCTATCGACAGGAAAAGTCTCATACATCATTCCTGTTTCCCTCATTGGCTTGTACTGGTCTAGCATTTTTCATCATCATTGTCTTTATCATTCATCCTTGTTGCTCGTTTTTACTTTGATGTTTTTTTATTTCTTTTTAATCTAACTTTTGCTCTTTTTTGTGTTTCTCTTTTTGCTTCATTCAGAGGTATTTTACTTCAAGATCAGGGTCGTTACCATGAAGCCTTACAGAGTTATACGTTTGCTGTTAAATTTAGACCTCGCCTGGCTTTGGCTTACCTCAACATGGGCTTGGTGTTGACTCGGTTAGGTCGCAAGTCTGAGGCTATAAAAGTGTATCAACATTGTACTCGTCTGGATGGGTCTGGCTTGAAGGATCCCAAGACTCATGAGTCGACCAAAATTTCTGCCTACTTTAACTTGGGTCAACTGTATACAGATGAGGGTCACCATGAGGAGGCAATTAAAGTGTTCAAAGAGGCAATTCAACAAATGCCGGCCCATTATCAGGCTCAATCCTTGTTCAACATGCTTGGTGAAGTTTATTATAAACTGGGTCGATATCCGGAAGCTGAAAAATGGTACAAGCAAGCTTTGACCATTAAAAAAGATCATGTGCCAGCTCATTTAACCTATGCCAAGTTACTAGCCAAATGGAATAGACCGGAAGAAGCAAAACAATGGTTCCTTAAGGCGGAAATGTTAGCTCCAAACGATTCAAGTGTTTATCAACATTACGGTGAGATTTTCATTTCTATTCACATTTACATGAACCAAAAATAAAGTGTTTACTTTTCACTTTTCCCAACACAACCAGCCATTTTCAGCATCAATAGACGACACTTGTCGTTGATGAGTTTGAGTGTAAAGTCAATTGCAATTGAAAATGGATCAAAATTGAGAAATTTGTTTGATTTCAGGAATTTTTTTTCAAAACCAAATCAACTTTTCATCCCGAAATGAATCTTTACAATTTGATAAAAGCTAAAAATTTCATTTTTGTACTTTTTTCTCATTCTGACGATGGTTTTCATCAAGAATTTTGGTCTTTTCGATGTCGATTGTTTCCAGTAAAAAAATGACTTTGATCATGATCTGATGCTTGTACAGTTGAAACTCTTGACAATCTTTACAATAACAATGCAAAATAACCTGAAGATAAAAGGTTGAGTTGACCAGACTTTAAATAAATAATGTTTCAATCAATAAAGTGCTATCTAAGTAAAGACTGTTTTTGATCAAAGGCTTTAGCTTTTCTTCCCTGACAAGCCTATTCCTTATCGCATTAATAATGCAAAACAACCCAATGATTCAACTTAAACTTGGAGTCAGTCAAGTCAACCAGTTAAACTTTGAGTCTTTTGAGTCCATGAGCCTGGATAAAAGTGGACATTTATTGTTCATCCCAATAACCTTTGACTAACTTTACATTTTCCAGTTGGCTTAACCAGATGAGATTTAATGCATCAAATGGCCAACAGATTAAAAATTAATGTTTAATTATTGTGGGCTTAAAAAGAGGTTAGATAATCCAATTAATTAGCAGGAATTAACATTATCCAACCATTTACAAACATTTCTGGTCTTTTCCTCGTCGCTTTTCTGATCAATTTTTTCCCCTCAAACAATTCACTGAACCTAAGCTTTTGTTCAACCCAACGAAGCAAAAAAGTCGAACCAACAACAGCAAAAAAAAGAGGTTCAACATATTGCGGTTAATTAGTTGATTATGGAGCAAAAATGCTATTAATAGCAAAACAGGGAAAAAACAGAATTAATCTGGTCGAGATAATAGAAAAAAAATGTTAAAGTTTAGGTCATTATCGTTATTAACCATTTTTTACTCGACTGATCGACAATTTGATTTATGAACCATTATTTGGGAATCCATCACAATGTTCATCAAAGCATCGAAAGGCAAACCTGAAAGAAACCCAATGTTGGTTTAGTTGTCATTTCAAGTGGATTGAGTGTCTAGGTGAATCGGTTAAAGTTATGATTAAAAATGAAAGGTAAGGAAATTGAAGGTAAAATGATTGGAGAAACTGTGAAAGTTCATTATGATTATTAAATTTTTACCTCCCAAGCAATGATTATGATAATGGTGGCAATAACCATATCAAGACCCAACCTATTACTTATTAGGTACTCAAATAAATTAGTTTCACTCACAATATTAACTTCATCATCATTACTGTGCGAGAAAAAAAGTTAACCCAAAGAAAAGCGGAGAAAAAAGTTGATCGTGAAAATTTGATTATAAATTAGCTTGAAATTTTAATCACTTCAAGACTTAATTTATTTGTTTCAATTATAATGTCACTAAATATCAAACATTGTTGCCATTTTAAGGAACTCATTCAGGATAACTTGAGTGAATAATGGAAATTGCAGTCTACATTAATCTTGCATTAATCATTTATAATTAATTTGATCAACTTGGATGAGCTTCTTTAATGTTTCTTGTCTTTGATAGGAATATTTAGAACGGAAAAAGAACAATATTTCTTGCAACATTTTCAGTTATCACTTGATTGGAATGATATTAAATGATTAAATGCAATGACATTAAACATTAATTAATCACAATCAACCACGAATTTGAAAGAATGACAATTTTCATTTCAACCTTTTCTGATGAAATTTCAAGATTTAGATTTATTTAGATTTAGATTAATAACTTTGACAGGAAAAAGTAGAACAGTTTTGAAAACTTTAATATTTAGTTGAAATGAAAGTTCAACAAATGGATTCAAAAATATTCATATTTATCCTGAAAAGTTGAGAATTTTATTTTGAAATATCATTGGAATCCAAAAAATGTTGATTAGTTTTCGAAGATCGAAAACTTTTTTAAATTGAGTTGAAATCCAGTCTGAAATGAGGTTTCTATTTAAAAGAAAATCCTAAAATTTGGAAAACTTTCAAATCCAACAGAAAATTCAAAGTTAATATCGCCTTAAACCAGGTAAAGACCAAGCAATTGATTGTGAAAATCGTCAATTCAAACTGATTTCCTTGCAATAATCATTTGCCAGACATTATGAGTTGAAATGGAATAAATTTTTTCTTTGAAAAGTTCGAAGATTGAACAAAATTAATAAAACAAGTTGATGAAATTGATTTACATTTCCTGGAGTCGAGTTTGGTTTCGAAAGCCGCATTAATCTTTGAAAAGTTTTTTCCTCACAACTGGAAATGGTTAACCTGAACTTAGAAAGTTAATCCAAGAACAAGGCTGCTTTTGAATGATGATTAATTGATTGCAGTTAAATTTTAATTTTCATCTCTTTTTTCATGCGATTCTGTTGATGATATTAAATTTATTGCAAAGCCTTTTTTTCCTGTTGCATTTTTAATGAAATATTAAACAAAAAAGAAGTGAAACAACATCAATTTTGCAGAGTAAACCAACTTTTCCATGCTTTTCCAAAGCCTTTTTACATTTTTACATAATAATTGTAACCTGGAAAATGGAAAGTGCAAAAAGCGAAGAGGAAAAAAAAGCTGAAAAGATACAAAATGAACTTAGCTGAATAATATGATATGGAAAAAAGAAGATAAACAAAGAGAAGAAGAAAAAAGATAAACTCGAGAGTGAAGATCATTATTTTTTATTCTTAACCATATTCATTATAATACCTTTACTCGTCATCATTCTGTTCAATCCTTTTCTCTTCTTTAACCTTTCATTTCTGGTTTAAATTTCATTCTTGCATCTGTTCAAAGTTGATCAACTTGATCAGCTCTATTGATTGATTCGGTGAAACTTGATTTCACTTCTTAATTACTGTTTACCCGACTCTTGAACGTGTTTTCCAACTCATCCAATACTTGAGATAATTCAAGTGATTCTCTTGAATTTTTGATCATTCAAATTTACATGTTGACATTATTCTTGGTTAACTCTTGAGAAGTTTTTTTTCACCTTTTCTTCCATTTTCATATCATATTACAAGCTCCCTTCTGAGTCACTCAATGAATCAACTGAAACCTTTTGTTCTCCTCTCTTCTTCCTCATCATCATTCGCATCTTCCCTTTTCTCATCTTCTGTTGTACAACTCAATTGAATTTGGTGAATAGTTTGATATAAGGAAGGAAAATGCTGATTCAAACAAAATCATCATTTACCTTATTGATACACATAAAAATGGTTTGAAAATTTTACTTCAAAATCTGCCTTTTCTCAATTCTCAAGCAAAATTTCATTCATTTCTTTTCTTCTTCTTCTTTCCTGCTTTCATGGGTAATCTCATTTTCTTGCAAACAGATTTATCTTTTTTCATCTAACTTGGCTTTTTGCTTGTTTCTCATCATGGAAACCCTTTTTACTCAATATAATACCATTAAAGGAAATGAAAATAATGATGATGATAATAATAATACTTTTAGCTTGAATACACACATTTGTCTCTTTCAACTTTCACCTGAAATCGGACAAAATTTACTCTCAAAAGCCATTTAACCCTTTTACCAGAAAAAGGCAAATTTCTCATTTCTCTTTTTTAATGCAATAAAACTATTGAACAACAAGTGAAAAGGAAGAGTAAACTTTGATAAAAAATGAACTTTACTGATCATTTTCTGTTTTCCAATTTACAGGTCAATTTCTGGCTGAACATGGTAACTTTGATGAAGCAGCCGATTGTTTGGTTAAAGCAGCTCATTTGTCACCCAATGATTATGAGATTGTCTTTGGAGCAGCCAATATACTTCGTCAGGCTGGACGCAATCAACTGGCTGAACGGTATTACAAGGAGGCAGTCAGGCTTAGACCCAATGAGGTTACAAGCCACATGAACCTTGGTGCCATGCTTCACGTCAATGGTAAACTGGACGAGGCCGAGTCAAGCTATTTAACTGCACTTAAACTTAAACCTGATGATCAGTTAACTCAGAGCAATCTTGCCAAGTTGAGGCATTTGTTGAGTTCAAGGCGTTCAATTGGAAGCTAATATTGTAAATAATTAAAATTGTTTATCTCATGAATTTCATTGAACTCGCCAAATGTTATGAAAACTTGCAACAGTCAAACTTTGAACGCACTCAGTCAATACAAAATAAATTTATTGATAATTTAATTAACGCAACAAGCAAATAAATTGAATTAGATTTAAATGTCATTTTAAATTTTTCTTAATAAAATGAATTTCAAACTAATTTTTTCTCTCAATTTATCGAGTTTTACTCAAATTTTCAATTTTCAGGTACAATAAGTATAATATAAGTTGGTTTATTGTTAAAAAAACTGTGTTCAATATGCACTTTGCATTGGACGTCGATTCATTAATGTTGACGATTTACAATCAATGATTGACTGAGAACATTAAATTATGTTTAGAATTTTAATAATTTATTAGGTAAACCCAAAAGTCTTTGACGGTTTTTTAATAATAAATTTAAAGGTTGATAAATATAGTAAAATTTATTCGATTGCTTTGATTTTTTCAAAAGAATTGAAGCAATATCTGTTCTTTAATTTCGTCTAAATTTCATGATTAAAAACAATGATAGACGAACTCAGATTTTGATTTAATTAGATCATCATTTTTTGAAAATTTCCACAATTTAATTAAATTGTTTATTAAAAATGATCAACAGTGCAGAGTTAAGAAAAATTAGGATTTTTCCAAAGCTTGAATTCCATATAGTCTCTGATAAAAATTTGAAAATTTCCATTAATCATTTCCATTAGTTAATTATTTCAATATAATCAAGGCTTCATTCAACATTGAATCTCCATAGAGTCGATATTTTTTAATTTTTTTAGATTTTCACAAAAATCCCATTGAAAATTCTCATAGAAAATCGTGAAAAAAACCCGATTTTATCACCAATCAGACAGAATAATTGGCTAATGGTAATGATTAGAATTCTCAATTTTTCATAAGTGATTATATGAAATTCAAGCTTTCGATTAATGTTCATTTTTCTTAATTCTGATTCGTTAATCATTTTTATTCAACAATTTGCTTCGAGGGTAGAAATTTTCAAAAAAATGATGATTCAATTAAATCAAAATTCAAGTATGTTAATCAATGTTTTTAACCATGAAATCGGTGCAGATTAAAGAACAGACATTGATTGAATACTTTTGAAAAAATCGAAACAATTGAAGAAATTTTACTATATTAATTAACTATTTGGAATCAAAAATTAGGCAAACCGTCAAAGACTTTTGGGTTTACCTAATAGTATTTCTCTTTCATTTTTCAACTTTAATAGTGCTTAGATTAATGATCGTTAGTCGAACACAGAATCAATGATCAATGAAAAGTATAAACATTAAGTCAACTTGAACCAATTTTCTGATCGATATTGCACAGTTGATTGGATAGTCCTTATGTAAGCCTTACAGTCAAATTTTCATCGTCCATGAGTGAAATATAATTTCAAATTGCAAGTCAATCAAATGATTGTTTTAATTCTTATTGTGTAAATCGACTCCTTTAACCTTTTGGGAAAAAATGAACCATAAGTTTCTGCAATTTAGTTTATTATTTATTTTTGATTTGATTAAAATTATCAAAGTTATATTCCCCAAATAGTTCCATGATCATGATTTTAAGCAGCTTGCATTTGAATCTTTTGAAGCGCTGGAACATCGATTTGGATTAATTTGCATTTAGGAATGGTTTTGATCAGAATATCAATAAAATTAACAAAACGAATTGGAAAAGTGACTTTGGCATTTGGTTGATTCGATTCGTTTATTTAGTTAACATGTTGAGAGGTTATTTGGTGCTTCAGATCAATGATGAAACGGCCATTTATTACGGTGATGTTCAAAGTCAATTTTGGATCCTTTTTTGCAAAACAATGAACGAACACTATTTTAACATCGCGAAATTTATGCAATTGTACTCTTAAACTTAATTAGACATTAAAAAGTTGGATGCTAATGTCCAAATGATTCCTTAGATATCATTTTTCTTATCAATGTTAATTTCTCAGGGCATTGCAGCTATCTTTAACGATGTTGAACGGTTATTACTTGGTCAGTGAGTGATCTATAGACTTAAGACTTTTTTCAGGTGAATTTCACAAATACTCGTTTGGGCATTTCAAGGTAAAGTTGATCCAAAGTTATTTTGTGGGAGTCTCAAAGAGTTCCATGACATCGATCAAGCGGCGTGCTGTAAAATTTCAACTTGACTCAACGTTGGTAGACTGGGTAGCTTCAACGAAGCTCTGTGATTTCAAACAGTTGAAGACTCAGATTTTTCACCAATCTCTTTGGCCTTTATTCCTCACACGAAATACAAAGGTTTACATAAAATTCTGGTCCAACAATGAACCATTGACCTGAATAACAAAACAATTTTACCCCTCACTCAATGTTATTGAATACAGAATCTGCATTTTCCTCAGCCTTTATTTTCATGAACTTCTCAGGGATTTTTTATTCTGAGGTGAGGTTTCCTATTTTTTTAGTTGAATTAGGGCTAATATGCTGTGTATTTTTTTCTTGAAATGCGCTCAGTTTGACCACAATTTGACACAAAAGTTTGACGCATTGACTTAATATATTGTATGTATAGATTTATAGATTTAAAGTTATTGATGTTTGTTTACAGATTCAGTGTTTCATGTAAACTTGTTTGTTAACGCTCAGTTAACCTGGTAAACAATCAAAAATGAATTAGCCTTTCATGGGAATCAGGCAGAAAAGTGTCACTTGATGAGGAAAAATTGAAAATGATAGTCTCATTGGAATAACATTGCAAACTTCAGTTAAGTTGGGTAAACGTTGAGTGAAATGAGTAAAATTGAGTCAAGTTTAATATCAGAAGGAAAAGGAGAAAAAAATAACAGAATCAAACTGAATGATCATCATGTTTGTTATACAACAATCACCATTAACATGAGTAAAAGCAACAACAACCAGTCTGAATAGGTGAACGACATGAAATCAGATTAGTTTAGTTGTAACTGTCGTATCTGATTATCCATTTAATTTGTCACTCGAAACCTTTTTTTTATCTTTTAATGTTAAACACTGAGCCTTTTACATTCCCAGTAAACTCATGATTATTTGCTTTTTATTGCACTTTTCATTGCTTCTAAATTGTGTCTTTCAAATTCACTATCAAAGTGAGATTAAATATCTTATTTTGAGATTGAAATTAAAATAAAGAGCAATAAAAGGCAAAAGTCAAAAGAGTTGGGATATTGATTGGGAGGCAAATGGTCGGTGTATCGTCTTTTGCTTTGGTTTAGAGATATTGATTGATATTGTGTATTAATTGATTTGATTGTTGAACTTGAGACGGAAAGATTTGATAATGATAAGTTACTCTGGATATTCAGTTAAATTGATTTAGCTAATTGTGTTGGTTCAGCAACTTTTGCTCTGTTCAACTGAAGATGATTTGTCTTGCAGTGAAATAGTTTATGGTGCTTCATAAATTTTATTGGATTAATTATTGAAGCAAATAATCGATATACACTAACAGTGTTATAAGGAGTGGATAAATGCAGTGTAAATATGAAGGAAGAAAAATTTTGTATTGTTAAGAGAATGCTTGGTTAGTTGAATTGTTAATCAGCTAGATAATGTAATTTTACAATAACAGTCGATCAACTTGAATAGATTCAACATTTTATCTCATTACTGAAGGATATTGAACAAGGATAAGTTCAATGATGATCAGGATGAGAGAATGGTAAAGAAAGATGAAGATGATAATGATGGTAGTGGAATCAGTAGATAAGATGAAATGGTAAACAGAATGATGATTAAAGTTTTCAATGAGCTTAAAGTGCTTAATTGATGCTGAATTTGATCGGCTGCAAGTAACTCATTGAGGTTGAATCTTTCATGAGCTCAGTTAGAATGATACCATAAGTTTTAACGAAGGTGATACAAAAAATGAAGATGAAGAAGATTATTATGAAATTAGTTGACAAGGGAAGGTCCTCAACCTTACTTGAGGGATTTTAATGTGACATAGTGATCGAAAGGTACATTCCATACGAATAGAACAAGTACAGTTTTCATTTTTTACCGAATCGATTGAGATGATTATCAGAACGAAGCGAAGATTTCAACTCACAAGGGAACTATTTGAGAGACCCGGAACAGATTGAGATGGGATGGGTGTCATTCGAGAGAGCGTGTTGAGTTATGAAAAACTATGTTGTACTTTTTCTGTAAAATAAGGGGTTCCTGAGATATTTGGGTTTGAAATTTGGGCATTTTCATTGGAACTATTCATATTTTTCAATAAAAACTTATAAAATCCTTCAGGTAAGGTTGAGACCTTACCTTGTTAAAAGGCAAAGAAAATGAAAGTTATACGAAAATACCTAACATGGTGTTGAATTCAATGCTATGAAAGTGACTCCTTCAGGTTGAAGTATCCATGTTCTTCGGCCTGATCAGTCTGGCTGATCGATTGCAGAAGCAAACGAAGATGATGATAAAGATGAAAGACAAGACTAATGAGTATGATGAAAATTTGGGATCGCGATGAGTTTGAAGGAAGTCAGTAATGATTTTGGTAGTTAGGAGAGGAAGACGATGATGATGACCAATGAAGGAGACAAATAAATTAAATTGATATCTTATAAATCATTGGTTCTCAAGAGATGAGATTCAGTTAACAGTTCAGTTCTGTTTTGTTGATGAGCATGATTTGATTCCAAGTATAAGATTCTTGGCAATCCTTTGAATCAATCACTTGGACATGATCATCTTCATCTCTTATCATTTTACTCTCAATTTTCCTCTTTTTCCTTCTCTTGGCCATCTTCTTCTTCCTTCTTCCCCATCCTTTTTACTTTGCTCCTTTTCCTTTCCTTATTAGTTCAAATCTGTATGATTATATTCATTTAATATATCATGGAATATAAACCTATTCAGAATTTATTTATCAATGATACAATCATACTTATTGAATTGTTTCTGTGTTTTTTTTCAAGACAGTTTGCCTTTCAGAATGTGAGATAAAAAAAGAGAAACTTGATTGATCTTACATTTTTAGTGATACATAATTCATGATGATGATGATGATTGTAGTAATTTTTCTTTCATTGAATATCTCAACACTTTTTTCATGTATTACTTGGACTATCACATTTTAATTCACATCATGATGACTTTTGGGCAACTTTTGACTTCTCCTTTTATCACAATAGAGCTTATTTTGAGGCTCTTTTTGTTGTTCAATTCAAATCACCTTTTTTGGTTGATTTCCATTTTGAAATCAATTCATAATAATTTACAATTCACTTGTCATGAAAAGTCAAATAAACAGATTCTTTTGTTGTATTTCATTTACTTTTCATCATTTTCACATTTAGATGAGAAGAAATTTTTTTCCTCTCTTTTTTCCTCTGGTTCATATCACAATCTATTCATATGATAATTGCAACTTTTCGGGTTATTTTTTCACCCAATTGTTCACATTTTCAAATATTGTCAACAGTATCACCAGTTTGATCAGTTTTTCATCGAAATTTTGCGGTTCCATTGATCAAGAAAAAAATGAGAATTGAGCGACATCAAGAGAAATGAAGTTTATCTTGTCTTATAATCACACAGGATCATTGTTACATCAAGCACATTGATTGACTTGTGTAAATAATTTATGAATTGAAATTGAGCTGGTAATTAAGATTGCTTTGACTGATTTTGGGTTGACCTAAGTTGACTTGAAATCCTTTCTACTCTTTTGATGACTTTGCCATTGGATTTGAACTGAATGGATCGGCAAAATGTATTAATCTTTAAAGGTAAACATTATTTGTTACAAGTGATCATCGGTTGCTTGAAAAGGCGATGAAGTAACATTGAATATCCCGTTGACTTGCTGTTAAATTTTCACTGTTGACAGACAAGAATCATTATTTGCCTTGAGCTAATCAATTATGGCTTCTCCTCACAGCAATTATAATAAGTTTTGAGTTTTTTTGTCTTTTTGCCATCTTTGTCTTCTTCTTCATCTTCTTCTCCTTTCATCGAATCTTCCTCCTTTACTTTTGTAACTTTACCCGAATTGAAGATGGGAACAACTTTTGTCTCCAGGAATGATCTAGATTCTGTAGCTTAAGTTATATACATTTATAAAGATATATACCTCATATATCCAATTAGCGTCATTCATCTAAATTGGATTCATATTCATTATTGCATGGATCCTAGCTTAAGGGCAAGAGCAAGATGAAGAGAAGGTAAAAGAAGATGAACAAGATTGACTTATTAGGTGAAGGTAAAGAGATGGAGAAGAAGGTGATAAAGAAAGTATATACTTTGTATAATAGATTGCCAATGAATATAAACAGGATTCCCTTGTTATTTCATGAAATTACATGATATCATATTGTTAATTATATCAGTTAATTTAATTTATCCAAAAATGCATGAAAAAAGTGAGTAAAATGGATGAACATGCAGTCGATTTGAAACTCGATTCTCATCATTATTCCTTCCTTTAGTCTTTTCCTTTATCATTGTTGTTTCTTGATTGTCATTTTTTTAATGTCTGTGATCCGGGTTGATATTGACTTGAATGGTGTTTCTTTGATTAACTTTACGATTCCATTAACTCTCCATTTGCTGGTGATACTGAGACTGATATCTATTGAAATAAATATATTGTTTCAATATCAGTAAAAGTGTATTACGACTTTAAGGCTTGTAAACTGGATCAGATGATTACATTAATGATTTCTGTTGAAGTAGTTTTTTGTCTATTGATGATGATAATGATGCTGATGGTAAGGGTGATGATGGTCATGGTCATGGTAATGATGAGAAAATGGTGATCATCGTATAAATTCATTGTAATGGTGAAGAAGTCTGTGGAAATAAAAAAGGCATTTTATCAGTAAACATATAATAATTTTATGGTGATGTTTTTGATATTTGAAGTAAATTGATGAAACATGATTTTGTAGGTTGACCTTTTTCCAGTTTTCACTTTTCATCGCTATTATTTTAATATTAGAGGTAATTGATTAGGTTGTGCATGGATTTTGATAGTTTTTTTGTTCAATACGCTCTATTACATTGTATGAAAATTTCATTAAAGGTAAAGTCAAGTCAGCATTTTGGGCAAGCTTTCTACTTTTTTATGCTCTTCATACCAACTCTGCATGCATTTGCTAATATTAGTTTACTCGATTATGCAGAACACGAAATTGGTTTCAATTTTGGTATAACCTTTGCTTGAGGTGAGTTTGGTGGATTCATCAAAACTTAACATTTGAATATGCAAGATTAATTAAAGTTAATTTTCATAGCAATTGGAATATCCACAGAAAGCAGACAGTCGACTCAATCTAAAACTGTTTCGACAACTTAGCTTCTCAAGGTGAGATTTAGTCATTAGTTGAGTTTACTCATAACCAGTTTTCATTGAAATTTTATCAGTCGATCTATAGCTACTTACATTGGCTTGCTTAGGTGTTTAAAGTTAACATTATCAACTTTGACCGATCAAACATCGAGTCTTATATAAGATATTGATGGCTCCATCTTGAGACTTGATGATTAAATTTGCTTCAAATTGAAAAGTCCATCAATTTGCTGATTCTGGTTCTTCACCTTCTTTGATTCTGACTTAAGCAATGACTGTAAAGTGATCTATTAAGATATGTATTAAACATCTCGCTGAATCAAATTTTAAAACATGCAAAGCTTATAATTTCAGATCATTTCATTGTTGAGATGAAAAATTTGACTGGATTTATGTTGTTGGCCAAGTTGATTTTGCCTTTAATGGATGAAATTTGAAAAAGTGAGAAGATCGTCTTTGAAATATTGAAAAATTAATTGATTACTTTTATTAGGCCTCAAACAACACTATTTAAGGATTTAATGAATCAAAGATTATTAAAAATATCAAGAGTTTGAGTTAATACCATTAGCCCGCCAAAAGACGTTACTAACTCCCTCTTTGGTTCACGCTTGTAAGCTGAATCAGCTTTGCTCATTTGGCGCTAACTGTACTTTTTCCTTATGTAAGATCAGTGTGAAATCTCATTTTAATCTACGACATTTACCTTGAATCTATTAACGTAATTAATCATGTCTGGTAAGTAATTAGCATGCAACTTCTTTGGCAACATTATCCCAGTTTTTACCTGAACATTATTATCTTTTCTTTCCTTTAGAGTCATTTGTTTATGTAACCCTATTTTCCTTATATCTTGTATAACCACATTTACTCTTCTCCTTTGAAAAGACTGAAGTTATATTTTTACGTTGTTAATAATAATTTCTAATTTTTTTTCCTTCTTATTATTCCATGTATTTTTCATTTTTTAGGCTCTTTTGGCTCGGTCAAAAACTATCTGGACAGTTTCGTGTGTAACGGCAATAATGTCATCTATTTTAAACTGATCCGTGATATAAAGAGTATTGAGGATGATGAGGTGGACAAAGAATTTACCTTCCAACCGGAGTTTTGTCACCAATTGTTCGGCCAATCGGAGAATATTTTTGGCTACAAGAACTTACGCATCAATTTATATTATTCAGCCTGTAAATTAGTCAGATTCATTTCCATCACCTATTCGGACAAGGTTGACCGTGAGAAGAGTCAAGGAGTTCCAGCTGATGATGTCTTACAAATAATCACTGAGAAGTTAGGAGGTACCGTTTTAACGAGCATTGATCAATTTTCACAAGAATTAGCTCATGATACTGATTTCAAGCCATACGGAACACAATTGGATTGTTTCAAATTAAAGAAAAAGGTTTGTTGTAGTCACGCGCCAAAATTTTCCCGGGTTAATTTGCACCCTTGATTTTGAGGTTTACTGACGATTTTTCGGATTTTATTTTTTTTTATTTATCAGTTTTATATTGAACTAGTCAACCTTAGGATAGTAGCACTTAGTTCAAGATTTAAAATAATTACTCGTCCAGTATTGTAATTTATTTCATGTCTTCTTTGTATCTTAGGCATCTAAGTCAAGCTCCAATTCAGCACCTACGTCTTCGTCACTTACATCTTCTCAGAATGCGGAAAACTCGGAATCTTGCTTCGAAATTTATCGTGCCGATATGGATATTCCAGGATTTGAGTCTTATCATGAAAATATGCAAACATTTTTAACCTGGTTTATCGATGCTGCATCTTATATTGATACTGAAGATCGAAAGTGGGATTATTATCTAGTTTACGAAAAATGTCCAGATATCAAAAATGGAAGTGATTCTCCTGTTTTTTATTTTGCTGGTTATGCTACAGTTTACCGGTACTACGCGTATCCTGATAAAACAAGACCTCGAATCAGTCAATTTCTTATTTTACCTCCATTTCAAAGACGTGGAATCGGGGAAAGATTATTACAAAATATCTACCACACCTATGCTGGTGATACTAATATCATAGATATAACAGTAGAAGACCCTTCAGAAGAGTTTACTCGATTGCGAGATTATGTTGATTGTAAAAATTGTGCACATCTAATGAGCTTCCAAACAACCGAGTTAAAAAAAGGATGGAACGATGATATGGTGAAAGAGGCTCAAGAAAAGTTTAAACTTGCCAAGAAACAAATACGTCGTGTTTATGAGATATTAAAATACAAATCAATCAACAAATATGATGAAGAACAAATGAGAAATTTCCGTTTAGAAGTCAAAAACCGATTGAATGCTCCTTCACTGAAAATGAAGCGATCAAATTTATCGGAAGATGAAGAAAGTAGTGTTCTAGGTAACAAAGAGACTCGATTACAAGAATTGAATCTTCTTTACTGTCAACTGGAAGATGATTATAAGCAAGTCATAAACAAATTAACTTCCGTAGCATAACCTGGATACTGTAAAAATTTTATCATTTGAAAGCGCAAACAAAACTAAACTCAAAAATCACCTTGTCAAACTGTTTGTTTTTTTTATTTGTGAACTCCAATTTCTGTCAATACTTAAATTCATTTCTTTCCCTTCCAATTCCAATTAAACTACCAAGTGTTTAACCATCAAGAGAGTAATTAACCATTTTATTTCACCAATATGACCAATAAAGTGCAGACAGGCAAAAATTTAACTAATAATTGACAAATTTTGGGATAAGATTCTAATTAAAGATAACAATCAATTGAACTGCATGGTGAGAATGAAAGGCTCAAGATGATGATTAATGAATCCGGAATTTTGTCATCATACTTATACTCATCAATTACAAGAAAATACTTTTACGGTTGTCCAACTTTCCTCTTCCTCTTAACACATTGTTTTAATAGTTTTTCACTATTTTAATCTTATTCAATTTTTACGGGCAACATTTTTGTTCCTAAAAATCAATATACGTATAATATACGAGTGTTGAAAATATATTGATAAAGATTGGTACTTGTCAACCAAACTGATAGAGAAGGGAATATGATGAAGAAGATTGGACATTGTTTATCATTATTATTACTATTATTGTTTATGATTGTTCAATCATCAATAAACAAAAACAAGACAAAATACTTGACACGCGCTTCGTAGTTGATGATCATCATCCTCATACTTTTGTTTATTACTTGAGCAAAACAAAACAAATTGGTGACTATCCTTTCTCCTTTATCTTCCTTAGCCATCCATTTTGCATTCTCATCATCTTTAAGTTTATTTTGGTCAAAAAATCTTCTCCTTCTTCACCTTCATTTATCACTTTTCCGTTAACATTTTTTTTTCGTAAAATGAAATGAACAAAAATTTAGGCCTATTATTATTAGAATTAGTGGTATTAACTTGAAAATTATAATCATAATTATTACTCTTTCTTTTACTTTTTCTTAATATTATTATTGTTATTATTATCTGTTCTGATCTTATCCAACTTGAGCTTCTTCTTGTTTAGGAATTACCATCACCATTATCAAATCTCATCTTTTCTTATTGTCGGTCCAAAAACAGAGGAAATGTTTACTAATTCAATTTTAACAACCCGCAACAATTTTTCAATCAAATCAATCATGACAACGAACTGGTGATTAATAGCAATAATAATAAAAAAAACAAGCCGATTTGTGTTGTTTCAATTTATCAAATTATTTTAATACCTCATTGTTACAATATTTTTACAATTTAGCTTTTTTATAGTGATTCTCATCAAAATAATGATGATGATGATGATGATATTGAAACATCATCATCGACTTCAGATTTAATTAATGTTTCATCTTCACGTATACTCTCCATAGATATACGTAACATTTCCTCATATTCTTGATCACTGATAGGAAAGTTTCTCTTGTCATAGGGATGCACTTCAATGAAAGCATCTTCATCCACAAAATCTTCACATTTGGACGATGATGAGGTGCGGTTTCGATTTTGTGTTTTACCGGGAGGCCCATGCATTGTTTCATGATCAGTCACTAATTCCATTATTGTATTACTATTGGGCGTTGGTGGAGCTGTCATAGAAACTGTTTTGGAAGCAAGTTTCAATGAAGGTAATGAAGTTGAGGTTGTAGTTGTAATGCTTGTTGCTTTAGTAGTAACTGTAGCTGCAGCTGTTTCTGTGGTGGTTGATTCCGATGATTCAGTAGATGCTGTTTCAGTTTCATGAGCTAATGCGAGCATCGATAAAGAAACTGGGGTTGGGGTCGACACTGCTATTGGTGCTGACAACGGTTCTGTTACTGATGTTGGTACTGGTACTGTTTCCGTTGTTGGTGCTAATGTTGGTACATTTACTGGTGCTGTAGTTATCATTGAGTTTGTTAGGGTAGTTAATGTTGTTGTTGGTATTACTAATGATATAGTTGTGGTGGGCACCACAGAGGTAACAGTGGTTGTTGTTGCTGTCGATGATGATGGTAAACTATCATCATTGGTACACATGTTTAGATTGATCGGCGCTGTTACTAAAGAATCTTGACTGGAAATATCAACATTCTGTACAGAGTCATTGATATTATGATTACTGATTGGAACACTTGTAATTTTACTATTAATGGGATTGCTTTTGCTATTAAGAATATTTTTCCCGCTATTATTGTTGAGTGTATTTTTACCCCCATCGGATCTTGCACTGTCTAAACGTGTCCTTGCACCACGACCACGACCAGGTCCAGAACCACCTGGATTTTTGAGATAACTTGAAAATTGTTTTCTCTCATCAATTTCACATTTTAAATGACGAATGGCAAAGGTTTCATCTGAAGTGTCCTCATCGGTTTCTTCAGCCTCATCAAAATGGAACAAATTGTTATGAGAACTGCTGTTACTACTATTATTATTGTTGTTATTACTGTTGCTGTTGTTATTGTTATCATTGTTAGCATTATTATCGTTGTTAGTACTAGAATTAGCATTGTTGTTGACCTCAACGTAACGCCATTTAGGTGTGATAATCTCTTTATATTGTAATTTTTCCACTCTGGTGGTTGACGCAATGCTATATGGAATCACTATGTTGTTAATGTCATAGGCATATTGTTCGCTACGACGTCTCCTGTGGATTGGAACATTTGAATTTTCTGAAGAGAGAGGTGACGGTGATGGAGATTCAGTGCGAGCATCATCGCCAGAGCCGTTGGCTTGATCATTCTTTCCTCGCAAAGAGCGTTTCCGCAAATTACTGTTTCCTTTAGCATATTTCTTTTTCGTTGTGCCATCATATTTTTTCTTCAATTCTGTGATAATTAAATAAATCGCAAACAATGAATAGATAAATGGGTATTAGTAACATAAGCACTCTAAATCAAGTTTGTAATTGATTTGTAGGTGTGAGAATTAAATAAAGAAACTTACTGGTTGAAGATATGACGGCCTGAGATTTGCGTCGGTTGATCTTTTTATTATCTGGACCAAATTTAAAAGAAAACTCTGAAGTATGGTTGGACCTGCTATAATAAACGGAAAGAATAGAAGATGAAAATTAAATTGAAATTAAAAACAAGCTTACAATTTCATTATTATTCAATACTTACTTTTTATTAGTAAATTTGGCTGTTGTTGATGATATTAATGGTTTCTGAACAGTTTCTTTTTTCAATAGTTTTGAGAAATACAATCCTAAAGCGACATCTGAAATGAAAGTAAGAACAATGAAAATCAATGATACCAGTGATGGGAAAAGATTTAAATTAATATTATTCGTGAAAATAAAAGTGAATTGTCCAACTGAGTTTGAAATTGAGAAGAATCGGAAGAGTAATGATTTTGATGAATTGACAATATCAGAATTTTAAATCAAATTGACAATCAAAGCAGAGCAAAGTATATAATTTAATTTGAATAGAAATTTCGCTCCCAAATGAAACAGTATTGAAAATTTGAAAAAACAAAAAAAGAATAGAAATTTTCATCAATAAATATTCTTATTTCTCACTTTTACATTTAAAGGTAAAAATTCTGAACTTATCAATCAAAAAAATGAATATTTTTCATCAATAGATTATGTTGATGAAATATTAAGCCCCCTATAAGGTTAACCGAAGATATTTTTGTGCTAACATAATTAATTAAGAGATTAAGACTAACAGAATAAATTGTGCAACCAATTAGAAACAATGATTAGTTTTTCCTTCAATATACTGACAATTTATCGATTGATCTATTTTATAATCTAAACGTTAATCAGTATACAGATTAACCTCTACAATTTATAAACGCAAATTCAATTTTTGTAACTGCCTGTATATCTTTAAAAATATAGTTATTCAAACATCACAGGAATAAAATGTTTGTTTAGAGAAATCATCTTCTTGTAACTTCATCATCTGCATCCGCATCATCAATTTCATCTCTCTCTTTCTCTCTATCTTCCTCCCTCCCTCCACCTCTAACTTTAGGTATTCTCTCTCCACTATAGTTCACGCTTGACCTAAAAGAGCCTTTAAAAGAAATGGACTCATCGATATCCAAATGAATACTCATTTGTCTTCCATCGAAACGACTTTCTCCTTCTCATCTAATTCTGATCAATACTTTCTCCAAGTTTTCCAATTTTGCTTCGTTTGTATCTTGCAAAACTGTTAATCAAAATGCGGACTATTGTGGCTATTATTTTAAGTGTTAGCATATTACTTATCAACTTTAGCGATCAAGCCAATGGATTTAAAAAGAAGAAAGTTTTGAAAAAGATAAAAGATGCTCTGCCGTTCATGTTAGCTTTGAAGCCAAGGAAAAAAATTCTGCTACTTCCAATCCCTTTTCCGTGAGTAATTATTAAATGTGACAACTTTCTTTATTCTAAGTAATCAATTTCTTTTACTTTTTCTTTATCATCCTGTATTCCTCAGAATGAAAGGAAAAGGAAAAGGAAGTGAAATTTTATCATCATTACGAAACATGCGACCTTTTGGCAATTTAATGGACTCAGATTCTGGTTGGGGCTCAAATCAGCAAACAGCAAATTATATGACTATCCCAGTACCAGTGCAAATTCAAGCTCCTGCACCAATGCCACCGCCACCACCACCTCAACCCATAAAATACATGATGGTTCCAACACCAGTACAGATACAAACTCCACCACCACCACCACCTCCTCCTCAACAAATTATGATGGTTCCGATGCCTATGCCTGAATTTACACCCCATCGACCTGCACCTAAACCTTCTGCACCAATCATGCAACATTATTCAAGCCCAATTGATCATCTTAATAATCAGATGATGAATCAAGCAATGGACACATGGATGATGATGGCGGCAATGGACTGTTTCGGTATGGATAACATGGGACATTCACATGGTGAAACTCCAAATATTGTGAGTGACAAAATAATTTACAGAGAACCTTCAAAACAATCATATCGAAGTCCTGCTCAAATAGTAAGAGAGATTCCCTCTAAAACACACTCATTACCACCTCCACCTCCACCACCAGTCCCTGAGCCAGTTCAAAAGCCAATCACACAAACATTTTATGAACCAATTCAAAGGCCAATCACACAAAACGATGACTCTTCATTCGACCATGATCCAATCAAGGGTGAAAAGGTTAAAGAATACTCAGTTCCACAGCAACAACCTATCCAACAACAACAACAGCAGCAACAACAACAGCAACAACAACATCAAGAACAACTACATGGCGGTCAAACCTATTTCCCTACATCCGACTTTGGGACCGGTAATAGGTTTGTAGAGCCAATCAAGTCAAGTCGAGCTCCAATCAAAGGAGGTTATTAAGTTATGTAGTCAAAATAAAACCAATATAATACAAAAGAGCAGAAAGCTAGATTGAATGAGAGAAGTATGAAGAAAGATTGGACATTTATTTGGAGATTGAGATTTATCAACATTATTTATATTCTCTAATAACAACTATTCAATCATCAATAAACAAAATCAAGACGAAATACTTGACATACACCTGTGAATGTTGATTGTTTATACAAAAAAAACAAATAAATTGATGATTATCCTTTTTGTTAAATCTCAAGCCTCAATAATCTTCAATTCTATTTTTGATTTTTTTTCGATACTTCACCTAAGCTCATCATTATCCTTTTTTCCAATGAATTTTCTCAGTTAATGTGTCCTTTTAAGAATTCAATTCTATTATTAAATTAAGAGCTAATAGCTAATAGGTTTAAAGATTTAAAATATTGATTAGATCGTCCATTATAAAGGTCAATAATTATTAGATAAAGTCTTATCGAACGGTATTGACGATTTTTTGACAGCCTGGATTATATTATTTTCGGGAATCTAATCTAAAATTTAGAGACAAACTAATTTAAAATAGGTCAAAAATTAAGATGAAAGTTAGTTAATAGAAAAACCGGATCTCATTGATTTAAATACACTCCCGTAGTTCTACTTAATTGGCATTTCAAATAAGTTAATTGATGGATAAATAAAGAAAAAGATTTGTCGAAAAACAATTAAAAACTTACCATTAGGTAAAGATAAAACGGGATGATAACTTGGATCCAGAAGAGCATACCGTTCGTAATTAGGCATACAATCGGTATCTATCATCTGAAGATGACTAAAACGACCATTGCATAAAACACAAGGCGAAACAAATTTTGGATAATTTGAACATGTACATTGAACTGTTGAGTAACGAGCGATTTTCCTTGAAGCCATTGTAATAGCATTACAAGATCGGACTAGTTTCCTTTTCCTCATCTGCTTCAACGGTAAGGTTCGGGCACAGTGGTGAACTTCTTTCTCACTGTTGTTATCCTCGGTGGTGGTAGGGGTGGTGGGATCTTTGATAGACTGCGATGCTTTTTGGGATGGCGATGAAAAAGTAGTTACTAATGGTGTCATCGTGCAAGGAAAGGTTGAATTGAGGGGCTGCTGTGAAGATTGTGTTGATGGTGATGTTTTCGCCGTTGAAGCTGGAGGGGACAAAGAAATAGTTGAATCACTATTGACTGAAGGTAAACTACATTCACTTATTCCATTACTAGTAGGAGCATTTGCAGAAGTGTTCAGTGTCCCATTGCTGACATTCCCAAGAGAATTATTGGTACCCAAGGCTTCACTCGAACAATTTGGTATTGAAGACGCATTTGGTGAACTTTCTTTACAATAAAAGGCGATTGAGCCTTTGCTAGCACGAAGCTGGCGATACATTTCATTCTGTTGTCTAATTTTGAATTCTAAATCTGCCACTTGAGCCTGGAGCCAAGTCCATCTAGATGCAATCGCACTTCTCTCGTTTAACCAACGCCAATTTGCTTTCCTTTGTCTAGAAAAAGAATGGAGAATGAATTAGATTCACATAGATAAATGCATATATGATATATCGACTCGATGGTACTCACATTGGTTCATAAAAATTTGAACTAGAATCAGGTCTGGGAAAATTGTCAATGAAAACATTCTCAAATTCATCACAGCTTTCGCCACCTGAGCTACTCTCTGTGGCATCAGAATCATAACTATACTCGAAATGTTTGAGATTTGAGGTAAGAATGCCAACGGCGGAACGCAACAATTCATCTTCTGGAGAATCTAAAAGGGAGGGTGCAAATTTATTACATGTAACTAGTTGATTTTCAAACGACTGTAAGTCTGCAAACGAGCGATCAGGAATAGATTTCAAGGTTAAATGTGCAGGCATTGATTGTAGAGTGACCTCATCGGTAAATGTTAATTTGTTGGAAGTGTAAGATTCAGGAATCATTGTTGGTTCAAAACTTATAGTGTAACCACCCTCCATGATATCAGACGAATTAAGACCAGAGGTTTGTTGTTGTTTATCAACCAAGATTACAGGAGGTGGACCACTATTGGTTTTAATTTCTTCAGAAGGCGTTAAATTAGTCTTTTCCGCATTTTTAGATGAAGCTTGTATTGGAGAGCTAGTTGATGAAAACACAAGAGGTAAAGGAGAATCAGTTGGTGGTGACAGTTGTGCAGAGGAAAATTGTGAAGCTTGTTCAATGCGCAAATTTGATTGCGATGAAGGTTTTGGTGGTGTAGATGGTTGTGATTGTGTCTGTGTCTCCTGAGATTCTTTGTGACATGATTGTGATGATGGGCAATTAGAAAATTTAGATGAGAATGGTTTATCGATTTGACTATTTGGTTCTTGTTTGGTAACATTTTGACAATTTTTGAGGATTATGTTCTTTTGTCTTGTATAAAATGCTTCAAGTTGCTCTGTGGCATGTTTCTCCAATTGTTTCCATTGTAATCTTTTGATCCTTTTTATGAGTGACTCTGTCCTTTTTTCAGGCAGATTACGATAATTTAGTTGCCCATCCTCTGAAATATAAAGAAAAAGGAAAAATATAAGTAAAAACATTTTATAATAGTCGCCATTTTAGCTCGCCCATAGAAGTACAGTCGTTTGCTGTTAGAGCCGCTGAATAATCAATTACAACAAGGATAATTACCTGAAGCGGACTTAAATCCATTTATCTGGATGTTGTCCATGGTTATACACAAAAATAATCAAACACTTAATTAATTAATTAACAAAATGATGATAAACATGCACCCATTCTGTTTTACCACTTACTACCTTTCCATTGTGAAGGAAGAAAAAAAACGATCGAAGAGTCATCTACCGTCTATTCAATTCCAAGAAAACTGTTGGGAGGAGGCAACCAAGAAATCGCGCAGAAATCAAATTTAGTAGAAGACTAATAATCTTTTGATTCATATTGTCATTTATTAATGTTAGTTAACTCAACAATTACTTTTTGCCTACAAAATTTAATTTGAATAATCTACAAGAAATCAAATTATTATGCGTTTCCTGTAATACGGAAACCTCGGTGCATTCTCGAACATTGAACAATGCCAACACAGATCATCCAAACAGAGGTATTCAGCTACTTTCATCAATTCTGAACTGTTTGCAGCCGTAATACATATATCTCTATCATAAGCCCAATCAATGATCATGTCAAATATTTCCGTCGGATAATCCACTTCTATCCAGCTGGCGGTGGATTCCTTCATTCCAGATGAAAACATTGCCTTGAAGTATGGAATGAACGAGCACAGGATTATTTTGTGGACACGATATTCCTTTTCTCTGTTATAAATGGTCAAATCACTAAATTTATTATCCAGGTATTTGTATAGCGGATAAAAATTTTGACTTATCCGCCTCGGAATATCAGAAGCGTATTGCCAAAGAAGCCCATCCAGGCTAGTCATACCCAGGTGGTTAGCAAGTTTCTTCAATTCTGAGCTATTTACAGTCGTAATATATATTTTTCTATCATAAGCCCAGTTAATTATGATCTCAAATAGTTCCGTCGGATGATCCACTTCTATTCTGTTGATGCTTGATTCCTCCGTTTCCGATGAAAACATTTCAGCAAAGTATGGAATTGCAGAGCACACAATTATTTTGTGGACACGATACTCTTTTCCTCTGTTATAAATGGTCAAATCAATGAATTTATTATCGAGGTAACTGAGTGATGAATACTGAGTTCTCCTCACGAAGCCAATCTTTTGAACGGACATCTTACTATTAGTTTAAATACACTAACTTCACAAAATTATTCTTACAAACAATGCTTGGTTAAACTGAGGATATAACTAGAGCAACCCTTTGGGTCAATTTCACAGGTACAAGTATACTTTTTGACCTTTTGTTTGTTTTATGCTCTTCCTATTCTTGTCTAGTGTCTTGTTCTGTCCACCTGTCCGATCTTGCCCAAAGCTACCTTTTCTCTAATTGACAAGTGATTTCAAAATCAGTATAATACAAAATTATACTTACTTTGAAATGATTTATCAAGAGAAAAATTTCGTAACTGCAACATGGCAAGCTCTAACAATGTTGCGATTTAACTTTTTTCAACTGTTCAATCTCTTTACCAAAATAATTTTTATTTGCATCAATATATTTTGCACACCAATGTCGCCATTGCAACCCATGAATAGGACCTAAATCTCATCCTTCTCTATCTAAAAAGACAACTGAATCTAAAAACTCTTTCAAATTTCTTTTCTCTCCTCTGAGTTTGAGCGATTATTGTGTTCCTTTGTTTTTTCATTCTGGATTCCTCAGCATCAAAGCTACACGATCCAACTATAACATGTTGAATTTTTAGAAAAATTCAATCATTACCTTACGAGATATAAGAAAAAACCAAAAAGTCCCATACTTTTTCCCTACAGGTTAGCATTAATAGAAATGCAATATAACGACAGCATCATTTTTTGGCCTTCATCTTTTGCTATCTGACAAACAAACAGAACCTAAAAATTCTTTCGATCCATTAGCATTCCAAAATATCCAAGTGTTCCTTTTTCTTGCAATATTTTGCTGTTTGTTTCCCCTTTAATGAAACACTGAAGTTCCTCCAACACTCCTCGGAAAAAAGCTTTTTGTTAGTTGTAAAAAGTGGTAAACATCCGTCTTGTAAATTGTAACGATTTTGGATGCCAAAAACCTAAATGGTTCCAACGCCGGTGCGATCTATTTTTGTTGTGCCTTTTTCAAAATTTGGCGCAAACTTTTTAAATATCCCTCCACATCGACTTCTTCAACTGGCATCTGAAGAGCAATAGCAAAGAGCGAAGTTATACTCCTTGGTGGTAATAAGTTTGAACAAATATTGATAGCAATCAAGTGTCGACATTAGTGTAATAATCACCAGCAATTTCATCAGTTTCATTAATCTGATTTACTCATTACAATATTTCAATCAACTAAGAATGTGTTGATCAAATTTTCATTAATCAATGTTGAATTCACATTTAATATTCAATTTTTTTAAATTCATATTGTCATTTATTTATATTGGTTCACTCAACAATTACTTTTTTTGTCTACAAAGTTTAATTTTAATCATCTACAAGAAATCAACTAATTTACTTTAGACTTATTTTCAATCATTCTGAATGTGCTTTAACAATTAAAGATAGTTATAGTTACTCAAAAAATTATTAATCATTTAGTAAATTAAAAATATTCGGTTAATTGCAATACTCTGATTTATTTTGGTGGTTTCAAAAACCAGAAAAAGTATGACAACTGAATGAGCTGATCACAATGAATATGAAAAACTCAAAAGTAAAATGACTATTAAAGGTGGATTGATATTCGGAATTACAGAAGTTATACGAAAAAGTCCAATAGAACCATCCAATCATCTTTTCAGCTCAATACGATCTGCTACATTAAAATACAGAGACGAGCCAGTAATTTAGAGCAAATTTTCAATTGTCCCTATTGAATTAGGATGTAAATTCATTTCATTTTGATTTTTTAGTTCTTAATATACCTAATTTAATTTCCTTTCGTAAAATATCAAGGCAAAAACAAAATTAAAGCAACATTTTAGGTTGCAGTTGCTCGATTAAGCAAAATTGAAATCATGAATTATGCTGCTCGACGAATAGTGGAAATAAGCTATTTCAAGTCAGTCTAAATTGGTCGCAGGCGGCTGTAAAACGGATCCCTCGCTTTAATCTCTCATTGAAATCTCGCAGATCTTCCAAACAGAAATAGTCAGCTAGTTTTTTCAATTCTGAACTGTTTGCAGTCGTTATAACTATACGTCTATCATAAGCCCAATCAATGATCATTTCAAATATTTTCGTCGGATGATCCACTTCTACCTTGTTGGAGATGGATTCCTCTAGTCCAGATGAAAACATTGCATTGAAGTATGGAATGAACGAGCACAGAATTATTTTGTGGACACGATACTCTTTTCCTCTGTTATAAATGGTCAAATCAATGAATTTATTATCCAGGTATTTTAATGGCGGATGAGAATATTGGCTTATCCGCCTCGGAATATTAGAAGCGTAACGAAAAAGCATAACCAGGCTAAACATACCCAGGCGGTCAGCAAGTTCCTTCAATTCTGATTTATTTTGACGCGTAATATATATTGTTCTATCATAAGCCCAATCGATGATGATGTCAAACAGTTCCGTCGGATGATCCACTTCTATTCTGTTGATGCTTGATTCCTCTTTTTCCGATGAAAACATTTCAGCAAAGTATGGGATTGCAGAGCACACAATTATTTTGTGGACACGATACTCTTTTCCTCTGTTATAAATGGTCAAATCAATGAATTTATTATCGAGGTAACTGAGTGATGAATACTGAGTTCTCCTCACGAAGCCAATCTTTTGAACGGACATCTTACTATTAGTTTAAATACACTAACTTCACAAAATTATTCTTACAAACAATGCTTTGTTAAACTGAAGATATAACTAGAGCAACCCTTTGGGTCAATGTCACAGGTACAAGTAAACTTTTTGGCCTTTTGTTTGTTTTATGCTCTCCCTATTCCTATCCTGTCCAACTGTCCGATTTTGCCAAAAGCTACCTTTTCTCTATTTGACACGTGTTTTAAAAATCGGTTTAATAAAAAAATGTTAATAAAATGTCGGCATTTGTTGTAATAATTACCAGCAATTCCATCAGTTTCTTTGATCGCACTTACTAATTACATTATTTAAATCTACTAAGAATTTGTTGATCAAATTTTTACCAATCAATGTTGAATTTACTTTCAATATTCAAAATAATCAGATAAAGAACATGAAAATTTTTCAATTCAATTTATAAGTATTTAATCTTAAAAATCTAACATGAGCCATCATTGGTCTGTGACCAAGAAAGTGGAATGACAAAAAAAGAATATTTATTTCTAGAAATAAAATGAAAAAATATGAGGCCCAGCCTCAAAATTGAGATTCACAACACAGATTTAATGTGTTGCACAATTAGCCCCGGAGTCACTCAATCAGTAAGACTGAATCAGGCAGTTTATTGCACGATATAAGATATACGATTCAATTGCTTTAAATTTACTAATTTGTCTTCATCTACCGTCTTTCCAAAAATCAAACTTGAGTCCATTGAGTTGGAGGTGAGAATCGATGAGAATGAGGTGGCCTTATGCTAGGATTACCTGTACTCAGATAAAATAGAAACAAAAATGATTGTTAGCAAAAATGGTTAAAGTGACAATCGATTACTTTATTACCTTGTGGATTAGATTGCGGAACTGATTGTTGGCTAGGACTAGTTGTACCTTTAGCTTTTGTTGTCTTACGAAATGGGAAAAATGTACTGCTAAAAGAAAATGAATGTTTCTTGGTTTCATGGTTGCCTGGATTTGTGTCTTTGACAGCCTTTAAATCACTTTTACTGTTTGTTTTGGTCGCTTTTTTCTTGTCGTTCGTCCTAACAATCTCATGACTTTTATCATTCACTTTGGCGATTCCTGGGGTAGGAGTAGCTGCAACTGGAATACCACTTCGAGGAATACAGCTGGCATTGTGTTTACCATTTGATTTCATCTGGTTACTATTCATTAAATTGATTTTATTTTGTGCTTGAAACACGGATTCATTATTACTCTTGGTTTCATTACAGTCTGGTAATTGGTTTGGCGAACGTGGACGCGCAGCAACATTATGATTCATAGAATGGCTATTCAACCCAGGAAATACTCCATGATTGCGAAGTTGCATTGGACTATTTTGATGATTTAAAATGGTTTGTCTGGCTGGTTCTCGACGAACTGTTAAATTACCAAAACGATTGGGCTCAAGATTTCGAGGTGCTGTTATGAAAGGAGGCGGAGGCCCTCCACGACTAAACATTTTATTAGATTGAGGTAAAGGCATTCGAGGTATTGGTGGACGAAATAGTGATCTATTTGGCAGATCGTGTCCATTAATGGATGCTTGGAGACCACTATTATGTTTCAATCGTTCATAGATCGGTTGATTGTGACCCTCCTGGCTTGATTTATCTAATTGATGATTCCCTGAAGATGGATAACTGTAATACTGGTTCAATTGAGAAAGTTGAGTTGGTAGTGGAGGAAGTGGTGGTGGTTGTGATTGTAAATACGAAAATGCTGGAAGATTTGAATATGTGGAAGCCGAATAGAGATCATTATGACTTTTAGAATCCGCAAATTTAGTTCTATCTTCGTCAGGGATATGAATTCTTGGTCTTACTCTGAAATTAGATAAAAGTAATTGATTAGTAGTTATAATAGTATTTGTTAAAAATCAATTGGAAAATTATAGATTTGTACCAACACAAAATTCAAAGATAAAATGTAGATGTGAAGTTTGAATCAAGAAAGTTAGTTTAATGAAGAAAAGACTCACCTTTGAGCAACTGAAACAATGATACGACCACTATTATTGGAGTTCATTGGACTTGTGAGCGTTCGACCGTTCATTAGAAAAATGGTATTTCCTTTGGTTCCATATTGATATGTTCGTGGTGGCTTAGGAGGAGGAGGCATTTCATCTCTCATCAAACTTGAACGGTGTTTATTAAAAACATTGATCATTCCATCATCTAATGAACGTTGTAACATTGTATGAGAGGGATGTTGATGTCGCAAAATATCTGCAGGAGATTCATAAGTTGGTTGACCATCGATTTCATCATCAGGAGAGTTTGATTCATGATTTTTGGAGTCTCCAATTAGTGTAGGAGGTGGTGGCGGTGAAGGAGAACAAGGTGGGCGAGCTGTGAAAGCTTTCAATTGGTCAGGAGTCAAATAGGTGAAAGGTTTTTTAGGTTCACACAAAGGATTGGCATTTATTTGATAACAAGATGGCGGTTCACAATCCGGTTCACCTTCTTGATCAGATGTAGCAACTGAATCTGCACAATCAGAATCTTGAAAGCGAGAGGTGAAATTATTTTGACAGTAGTTACTATTACTGTTATTATTGTTGTTATTGTTGCCGTTAGTTGACGCTGTTTCGTTGAATCGAAGACGCTCCAAAGAACGTAGGTGAGAAGGGTTATGAAGATGATGAGGATGAGATTGAGAATGATGAGAGCGCAGTTGATGATGGGCCAACTCCATTGAACCAAACATTGCCTTAAACTTGGCAATACTTGGTCGGCGTATGACTGTTGCCTTTCCAATCAACTTTTCCTGTTTGTTATCGTTGCTACTTTGATTTTCATTGTACATCATGGAATCTGAAGGGGAACAGAATGAAAAAAAAGAAAGACCATAAAAGTAAGCAGAAAAATAATAATTGTCAAAAATTAAAAAGTGTACCACACTTTTTTTGAAAAGCCAACATGATCAGGTCACTTACCTGAAGGGTGTAAAGGAAGTTCTGTGGATGGAGTGGTTGTCATTTTTTTACTCTTCCAAGAGTCAACCAATTGTTTCATATCTTTACTTGGAAAAGTGGCACTCCTTTGAACTCGATAATGAATTTCCGCTTCACTGATACCTGACGAGCTTTCTTCATCAGAACTGGAATTCGCTGTAGCTGAATTTTCTTCCTCAGCAAATCTTTAGAAATAAAGAATTAAGAAGGATACAAGTGATTAAAAAAAATCATCCTTTTACTCAATCAATGTAATTTAAAGGCAGGAAGTGTATCATTAACAATTTTATAATCGGTATTTAAAGGTAGTAACACAATTGATTTATATAAAAAAACGCTCAATCAAATTAGATTCAATGGAATAGTCATAAAAAATTTGAGCATATGGCTAAATTTAATGTTTCTTAGCATATCTTTTTCACAATACCTTTTTTATACTTACTTGTGATAGGGTTCACCGTCTTCATCTAAGTTTTCATAAGTATGGGCATCTATTACTTTCAATTGTTGCTCAAAAAGAGCAGCAACTGCTCTATAGCAGAGTATGTATTGTTCTTGGGTTTGGACCATTGCAATTCTTTGCCTCCTCATTTCATGGATAATTTTATATAAACTGAAATCTATGGAAATAAATTAGAATAAAAAATGCTATTAAAATGATATCATTGTAAACGAAAAGGCAGATTTGCAAGTGAAATTGAGCATCAAGATGTGTTTTTAAATGCAATATGAAAACCTCATGATGTAACCATTTAGACAAGTTTTGATAGTTGAAATTTAACAGTTTGGATAAAGTATTTTTAGTTTCTCTTTTCCTAGCTGATGTTTTATATTGAACCAATAATTTTCAATCTTAATGTGATTTTCTTTATGAATAAAAGACAAAGACAGGCATTCATTGAAGATTGAGATTTATATTGAAGCTGTACCCACGGGCTATTGTTGTTTTTTTTAACTACAACATTTTGATGCCCGCTCACTGTTCAAGCTTGACCAACTAACCTTCTTTCAATTTTCCCGTACGAAGAAGAGCCCAAACATAATCTATACTACAAATTGTGCCCGTTCGACCACAACCTGCACTACAATGAACAAGAATGGGGGTTGCTTCGGTTGCTTGGACATCTCTCATCAACCGAACAAGCTCTAAAATTGGTCCGACTGTTGTGGGAACTCCATGATCAGGCCAGGTTGTATAATGAAATTGACAAACAATTCGTTCTTTATTGTCGCATGTAACCCTAAATGTACGAACAAGAAAGTCTGGACAAACTTGTCTCCAATCAATTTGTTGAGCTGTATTGAAAGTATTGAAAAAAAAGATAAGTTTAGAAATTCAAGTTAAGAAACTGCAAACCATCAAAATTGACACCGTCAAAACTTATTGTTATGTAATTGAAATTGTATCAGACAAAAAGAAACAGAAATAGAACAATTGAATGTTGAGAAAACTTTCTACATAAGATATAAAAGTAAAATACTTTTAAGCATAATATAAGTAAATGAAAAGTAAATCTTAATATGGACTTATAGAGAAATAAACTCTTACAAGTTGAAACTGACAAAACAATTGGTTTATAATGAGTCAATGTTGATGGACGAGTTCAATAAATGGTGGTGATTTGTATTCATTACGCTTTCACTTGTAAAAGTAAAGGATTGGGTAACATGAAAGCTAAATGATCATCTTCATTTACATACCAGTTATATTGCCATATTGTTGTTCTTGATCACTAACCAAAGGCCAGTACATTTCACATTTATATTTTCCTGATTCGGTTTCATTGCAAGCCATGACAATGACCCTAATTTCACATTCCCAAATCATCCGCCAAAAATCAACAACAGTATTTGGAAGTGGTCCTTGTGAAGCAACATAAGCACATGCTGAGCCAGTTGATCCACGGACGAAGTTGGCATTTATATAATCTGATCCAGGGACACCGGGATATTCACTTAATATTACTCTGCTATAATCATCTAAAAAGTTCACAAGATCAGGAAAAATTGCATTTATTATTAAAGTTGTTAAAACTATCAAATATACTATATAAATGGTTCAATAAGACTTACATGGCAGAATATCTTTGTACCGATTTTTCCTTCTATTGACGTCCTTTAAGCCATGTTTACAAGCATAAAAGTTGTCTCTTTTTAGAGATTCAGTCAACTCTTTAAGAGATTGAAATTCAACAGCATATAAATCATCATCATCATTGGGACATTTACGTCTCTCTTCCAACGTTTCAAAATGATTGAGAAAATTTCTCAAGATTGTCTTCAAATTCATGTTCTGTTGAATGGGTTAAAAAAATTTGAACACAAAAAAAATGTTTGACAGTGGACCAAAAGGGAAAAAAAGTTGAAGTCTGAAAGAAACAACAACTTTGAGTTTTCCAGAAGTCAACAAAAATTAAAACATCAAAGGTAAGCACAAAATAAACAGTAGAGAAAAAAGAAGAAAACACTTTTGTAAGAAAAATTCCTCTGGTAATGTCACAGTGATATGATGTTATTGCTGCTGTTTCTGATGATGGTGGCGAGGTAGGAAAAAAAGGTAACTTAAATGGTGAAAAAGAGAAATCAAGAAGTGGGAGAAGAAGAAAAATAAGAAGATGGAAGATGAAGAAACCAACTTGAACCAAGTCTATGGAACTTTATTTATGTAAGTGGAAAGAGAAAAAATGACGGCTAACAAGTCTCCCTACACAGATCCTTTAGGTTGCAGCTCGACCAGCTACAACAACAATAATACTAAGAAAAAGAAACGGAAGAGGGAGAAGAAGGAGAGAGAGAGAGAAGAAGAGAAGGAGAAAAGGCAAAAGATGAAAAAAGTTTAGTAATAGTTGAAACTACAGATTTATTTAATCAACAGGATAACATTAGGAATGTTTGTTGGTAGTTATTGTCGTTGAGGTTTTTTTATTGTAGATGTTGATGTTAATTATGATGATGGTGTTGATGATGATGGTGATGTCAGTATAATATATGGATGAATACAATAGCCAGGGAACAGTAAAAAAACAAACAATTAAAGTTATAAGAAAGCAAAGGAGAGGGAAAAGAGAGGGAGGGATAAGAAAGTTGACGAGAGTAAAGAGAAACCGGGCCAAGAAAGCTAAAAAACAATGCTGGAATGCAGCTCCACAATGTTGTTAGTAAGTAAGAGAGCGATGAAAGTGGAAAAAAGAAAAGAGGAAAAGAAAGAGAAGAGAGAAGAGAAGGCGGCCGATAAAGAAAGAAAGAGAAAGTGAGGCCGAATTCGCACCTCTTTTTCTCTTCTTCTCGATATTTATTTCATTTACTAGGTCAAACGATCGCTCGTCAATATTAAAGCGCGTAAATTCATTCGTTTTATTTTATACTTTCAAGCTTGCAATTATTTAAATCAATCTAATCTTGTTTTTAATTTGAATTTGGATTCAAGGTATTGATTGAAACGTAACTTGTTTGAGATTGGAATGTTATCAAACTGAGTAAACATGCACTTTTTCGAGGAAAGTTGTAAACTCAGTGACTGTTGAATTTCATCAGAAATTAATTATTAAACATTAAACAATTTGTTTTTTACCATCCTGTTAATTTTAAAATTAATTTCCTTGAATGTTTTGAGCCTCAAAATTTGAGGTTTGGAGCTTAATACAGCTTGTATTTCAACTGTTGACTGAAAGTACGAAAAAATGGAAAAGGGACATATAGTGACATAGCGAAAGGGATTAGTTTGTTTATTTTTGGGATTATTATTTACTTTTAGGCGCTTTAATTGTTTAATTTTTAATCAATTTCTTGTTGGATTGAAAAATTGAAATACGCGCCTCAAAGTAATCAGATATTTATCAATACTGGTATCGGATAGCTGCATGTTTACTTTTCTAAGAATAACATTAAAATTGTGAAAACTCAAGATTTATTACAATTGAATTATTTTATTAAGAATGGCAGCTTTGAAATCACTGTTTCTATCATCTAACAGATGTATCAATCATATTTCGATAAGATTGCTTGCGACTCAGAAAACGTCTATTGGAAAAAAAAGGTTTCGTTTGCCGGTTGAGCAAGATGCTGAAAGACTGGTCAACTATGTCTGTGGTTCAAATATTTATCAGGTTAGCTCTATTTTTATTCATCTTCACATTAAATACATTTTCGATTAAAAATATTATGCTTAATTTCGATTATATATTCTTTCCAGGAAGGTGAAGATATCAAACTGAAAGACGATAGCGAGTATCCTGATTGGATTTGGAAAATGAAAATCCATAGTTTTCCCAAATTTGATGATTATGATCCTAAAAGCAAAGAATATTGGGAACTTTGTGAGATTGAACATTTATTCAGAACGTTTCGACTATTATCAAACCGACCTAAAACCTCTAAGCCTACTGGAAAAATTGAAAAAGATTACGAAGAAAGGATTCTCAGAGCAAGGCAACGTGCCATTTTACCTGAAGCCATTGATCATGGGTATGACCCCAAGGACATTTTAGAAGAGCCAGTTAATGAAAGGATTCATCTTAGGCCAGAGGAAAGCGATACAGTTGTTCCTTACGACCAATTTGAATCTTCAATGATATATGAAAAAAATTTCCTACACAAACTGCGTACCAAAAGCTCAAATATCAAAAGACCTTTCATGGAAATATACGCCACTAGAGTTAGATTCAGAAAACCAAAGTTCATTTAAATATATTAAATAAGAAATCTTTTCCTATTATAGTGCTTAGTATGTATCATAGTTATTAATAATAAAGCTTTTTCGTTTAATCTAAATCAAACAGCAATGTTTCAATAAACGAGCGAAATGATACGGCTCACAGCCTCAGTAAGAAGGCAGCAAGTAAACATTGAACAGGAAAGTTCACTTTCCTACATTCAAAATATATTCTAAAGGGTTGGTTCATCACAGTTAGATTCGCGTAAAACAACTCAATAGGTTATGTCCGTTATAATGTATCAGCTGTGATTAATTTTAAAAACATGGCCACACGAAAACCTTTTACTTGGTTAGTAAGTTGGTCACCTTAAGTTCTTGAGCTAGCTCAAAATGGTCTCCATCAACAATTAATTTGAGAATATTAGCCATATTTAACTTATGATCTCCTTATCTATTGAATCGTCACCATTCACACTTTCAGTGGTTTATAATCTCTCGTTAATCAAACTTTTGAGCAAAGAGCTTGTATACAAAGATTCACTTCATTCATACACAGTGTCATCTAGAATCAGATTAAAAACTGTAATTCATTTTTAACGGTTGTATACATTAATTTTAATCATCAATTTATTCAGGGGACATGAATTTAAACAGACAGTCTATTGTTGTTTTGGCTTCTTCTTTGGTCTCAAATTGTTAGAATGACCACACTTTCGTTTTCTGCAGTTGGTAGCCTTAGCATGTAATCGAGCATAACATTTACGACAAACCATCTTGTCAATATTGTATTTCTTGGCTAACATCATAAGAGATGGTTCGATAGCACCTCCCCTTAATCGAAGAGCCAAGTGTAAAGTAGATCCATCACTAATTCCGTACTCTAAAAGAGATGAACCAGGTTCTAGTTGGCCACCGAAGATAAGACGAATATCTTCATATGGAACATTCTCTTGTTGTTGAATAGCGTACATCAATTCTGAAACATCATCTTCCTCATTGACATCAAAAGCAACGCTTTTATCTTCTAAATTTTTGACGTAAATCTGCATCTGAAGGCCCAACAAGAAAAAAAATAATCAGTATATGATGGAACAGAAAAATTTGGATTTAACGATAAAATTGAATCGTGATACTTACTTTTTTGATGATTATATTAATTACAAACACTGGAAACAATAAATAACAATTGAATCCCAAATCTTCACAGATTCAAATCAATAAAAACAATTACAATTATTGTTTACTGAAAATTACAAATTACAACCAAAAAACTCTATAACCTAAGTAACTTTCCGTTTCCGAGAGGTAGTCAGGGAAACACTTAAGCTCCCTCTCATTGATGCATTACCGCTCTGTTTGAAATTTCATTTGCAGTAAACTATTGAAAATACAAATTTTTACATTTGTACATTTGAGTTTGAGATATTAAATGATTTTATATTAAATTATCAGAAGTTAAATTACGATTTAATGAGTTGATTAGCAATTTTCAGCAAGATTTTGTCATAAAGATCTCTTTTTTAGTTTATCTTACCCAATTTATCTGTGTCCTGTACTTATCACACGAACAAGGATTTATGCTACTGTTTTGATCATCTATTGACAATCAGAAATTTCGTTTCATTATCACCATATTTGTACAACTCATCGAACTATCGCCGCTATCCAAAAAAAAAATAAAAATAACCACAAAAGTTTCTAACTTTTAATTCAGATATTTTTTTAGCTATTTAAAAAAGCAAGCTCAACATTTCCCTTCAGTCAACTGATTAAGCTCAAACTATGACAAAAAATGTTATTTCGACACAAACTTGGAGCTACGTTTGATAAAAAGCGAATTAATCTCATTTTTTCTCTGCGATTCAATGTTGATTTATCTTCGGTAAAAATTTCATGAACAAAATTTTCTTGAATTTGGCTCAAGTGGGTTTGATTTGATCAATATGGTAACCTTAGTAACAGAAAGCATGTGATCCGAGTTTGGTAGCGTTGGCCGATCAAACAGATCGATTTTTTAGATCAATGGAATCGATTTATTTAATCAACAAGTTTCTCCGCATAAATCGTTATCGAAGAAGGCACTTCTCTGAGGTTGCCCTTTGCGCTGCACTGATGACCGATTGGCTCTTAAATAAAACTCCTGTAGTTCGTAGGTAAATGTAGGTTTACGCTTCACAATGCATTATTCAAATTGGGTTTTATTATACAACTTGAAATAATGTCAGAAACCTGGTTTTCAGTCATTTATAGATCAACACAAATCTATACACGAGTTTTATTAAATGTGTATGGCGATCGATTCTATCGATTTTAAATTTGATTAACTCAATTCAGGTTTTACGGTATATCATCTGTCATTTTTGTATTAATTGGTTTTAATTAATATAAATATATAAATTATTTATTGATATTTTGTTATCAAAAAAGGAAATCAAGCTATGGATTATTTGAAGAATAGCTGGAAAAAGGTGGTTGGTAATCCTCAAGAGAGTGAACAAGAAACAGTTTCTGAAACGGTAATGTACAGCTATTTTTGTTTATCTTGTTATTATTCAACAGAAATATTAATGGTCAATTCTTGATCCGGTTTCTTTATAGATTGAGAAACTAATTGGTCGTGTTGAAACCTCTACCTTACCAGACGATCGCAGAGGTGCTTGTAGAGCTCTTAAATCGTTGTCTAAAGACTATCGACTAGAGGTTGGAGCCAGAGGATTGGATGTTTTAATTAATGTTTTGTCTACTGATCGTAATGACCCAGAAGCAATCAGTTATACTTTAGATGCTCTCAACAATATAATTTCAGGTCAGCTCATCTCCATTGAATTTATACTAATTTTTTTGCCATGATTTTGCTAACTATGATATAAACGTTTGCTTTTTAGGCCAAACTGAAGATCCTGTGGACTATAATGGAGTTGCATCGCCTAATGAAGAAACAGACGATCTCGGAATCCAATTTACCGAAATGTTTGCCAAAAAAACAAAGAATATCAGCTTAGTGATAGAACTTATAGAGGAATACGATTTCAAAATACGTTGGCCTGCTCTAAAATTAATTACAAATTTATTAAGAAATAAGCCCAAGGATATCCAAGATGGTATTCTTGCTAGCCCGATGGGTGTCTCCAGACTGGTCGACCTTCTTGCAGATGGTAGAGATATTATTCGTAATGATGCTATACTTTTATTAGTCCATTTGACACGAGGAAATGCTAATATTAAAAAAATTGTTGCCTTTGAAAATGGTTTTGATAGACTTCTTGAAATAATTGCCACGGAGTGTTACTGTGATGGAGGTATGTTTTACTCTACCAAGTTACCATTGTTTCAATTTCAATGACTCATTGATCTTTTTCTTTTGACTCTTTAGGTGTAATTGTGGAAGATTGTTTAATTGTTCTCCGAAATCTTCTCACCAACAATAACTCAAATCAATTTTTTTTCAAAGAAGGAAGCTACATTCAAAGGTTGATACCGTTCCTCGATGTTACTGAATGGAGTGGACACCGTTCCAACAACTTCCTTTTCTTTTTACAAGTCATAAGAGCTCTTGTTTCTCCTTCCAACCCACAACAAGTGACCTCAGCTTGCCAAAAAGTTATGCACTCATCTGGAATCCTGAAAAGGATCTGTGATATTCTTTCAACTCTCGGAATACCTTCAGATATCCTCACCGAGGTTTGTCATCAAAATTTATTTTTTCTTCTAGAAATTTCATAAACTTTTCTCCATCCATTTACTTAGGCTATAAACACTGTCGCCGAAATTATCCGAGGAAATGATCATAATCAACAATATTTCAGTTCTTTAGAGGCTCCAGTCGAACCACCTAAATCTCTTCTAGTTCTTCTTGTAATGTCTATGGTTGATGAAAAACAATGTTTCGATTTGAGATGTGCAATTCTCTACTGTTTTGAATGTTATCTTTTTCAAAATGAATTTATTAAAGACCAAGTTGTTCAAACGTTGTTACCGAATGCTCCAGAAAGTGAGTAAACTTTTCTTTATATTAAATCGATGAATTCTTAGGCTTTCTTCTTTCATTGCAGCATCTTCTGTTACCTTGGGTCAACTTTTATGCGGAGGCCTTTTTTCCAATGATCCACTCTCAAATTGGTTTGTTTCAACCGCTTTAAGTCATACGCTCATCGGAAATAATATCCTAAAAGAGCAACTTTTAAAGGTTCAATTGGCAACTGAAGGGAAAACAACTTCGACATCTCTCATGGAACAATGCTGTTCTCTTTTACATTCTTATTCAAAACACCAAACTCGTATTGGTTTGCTCATGTTCCTTAGCAATTGGCTATCTGATTGTCCGGTTGCTGTTTCGCATTTTCTTCAGATTCCTTCAAACATTCCATTCGTGAGTTTTACAATACATTAATTACAGAAACTATGTATCGTCACTAGATTTAATTTTTTTCATTCCTTTATCCAGCTTACTGTTCAACTGGGTAATATGGAAGACGATGACATGGATGTATTAATCTCAGGATTGAGTGCTTTCCTATTAGGCATATGCATACTTAATAATAATGACTCTGTCCAAAGTTACACTAGGTAAATGTTATTGATTGATGATTTTTAATTTACTTATATTGACATTTATTTTTTTTTACAGAGAAGATTTACTTGAATCGATAATGAAAAGAGTTGGATTGGATATTTTTCTTGATAAATTACGCTCGGTGTCTAAAAGTGAAAAGTTCAGTTCTGCATCGCAAAAACCTCAGATTAAAATTTTAAAAGCTGATCAACTCATCTTTGACTATGAATTCTGTAAATTATTCCGCACACTTGAAGGTAATTCTCCATTGAACTCAAGTCATCATTAGCATTGTCACTAATAATATATCACTTTTGGAATCTTTTTTTTCATATTTCAGCTTCCATAGTAAAATCCGTGCAAAATAACCCAGAAGATTCCGTCAATGGTCCAGAGTCAAAAATGTCTGCTGAGCAAAATAGACTTCTAATGCAATTGATCCGAGAACAAGACGAGTCAATTTCAAGTTTAAAAGATGAGAATACTTCTTTAAAAAATCAATTGAGCGAGTTAGAAGAACTCACAGCAACAAATCAACAATTGCATGATCAAATTGCTCTCTTAAAACATCAACTTCATCAATACGCAACAACAAATCAACAGTTGCATGATCAAATCAGACATTTAGAATCCCAATTGCATCAATATGCAACAACAAATCAACAGTTACACGATCACATCGCTCTACAAGAAGCTCAATTACACCAGTACGCGGCTACGAATAAACAGTTGCACGATCAAATCACTAACTCAGATATACCTTAAATCTTTTACAATTAAACGAAATTTAAACAAAATTATTTTATTGTGGCTAAATATTTTTTGAATTCTTCATATTCTTTACGCTCCTCTTCATCTGAAAATAAAATAAAATAAAATTAGTGTTGAGTAAAAAGGACAAACTTTCCATATAAATACCTTCTTCTTCTTCTGCTTCTTCTTCTTCGCTTTTAATTTCGACGTCTCTTGACTCGTTCTGCATCTGTTCACTGGTTTCTTCTTCAATAATAGATATTGTTCTAGGTTTCGTTCTAGTTGATTTACCAGGTTCTATGTTTTGTGAACCAAAAGACATCAATTCTTCACCAGATCCCGAGGACGACTCCACTTTTTTCATTTGTTCTTTTTTCTCATTGTTCTTGGCTTCCTCTGCTTCTTTTTTTATTCTTTCATATTCAACACGATAGACTTTATAATACTCTTCAGCTCCTGAATCAATAGACTTGAAAAATTGGTCAATTCCAGCACCAGAGACGGCTGAGAATCCTACTGATTTAAGATCTTTGTAAAATGTATCCAAAACCAATGACATGGATCGGGTAAGATTACTGATGTATGATGATTCACTTTCTAAGGCTGCTTCAAAGGATTCAAAGTCATTCATCCACTCCAATGCAAACTTATGACTATGAACATCAATCTTGTTCATCACAACAAGAAAAGGTAGCTTTGTTTTGAACATGATTGAGCAAGCATAGAGCATATTTGACATAAACGTAACTGGGTTGACATTTCGAACAATATCCATCACATAAACAATGACAGTTGGATAAGTTGAGGCAAGTGTCTCGGTGATAATTGATCCTGAAGCAGACCATGTAAACACTTCGATTTGCCCAGGAGTATCAATTATAACATATTCATGTTCTGATCGGCGTTTTTCTAGCAGCTGCATAACTTGATCGAATCGAGTTGAGAAGAGATTCAATGATGTAATTATACCACCATTTGGTCCTAGTCCATACTGTTTCATGACTTCTTTATATTTGACAGTGTCTCTTATATCTATCCAACAAGGAAATAAAACGTTTTAAAAGATTGATTCTAGCCATCAAAAGTAAATCAAACATATGAAAAAAAGCATTGATCTAAAGTAAATCTTACCAATGTTAGCTGGATATGGTAATTCTATACATGCTGGGTCCAAATTTAAAACATAAGGCGGTTTACCTTTAGAATAAAGATCACCAGTAAGGCGCTGGAATGATAAAATTCAGATTAAACAAAAGACGTACAAAATGACCAAACGAGTCAAAATAATTATCTCAAAGAATTACCTGAACGACACATGTTTTCCCTGACCCTGCCATGCCCATAACAATGATACATGTAGGCCTTTTCGATTCTCCGTCTTTATTGTCCATTTTTAAAAATCAGGTGAAATAAACAGACAAGAAAAATAAAACAACAGAACAAACATGTGATTTACATGTTAAACTTGAGAACCACGAAAAAGAATGAAACTACAGTAGTTGAAAAAGACACCATTAGATGGCGACCAAAAAATGCAAATTGTACATTTTTCGTTTATTAATTTTCATCTTCTGCTAAATTGAGTAAAACTTAATCTGCTTCATTTAATTCGCTTAAATCACCTTCCTACCCTTAGATGATCTCATTAGAAACAGTGTTCTCCATGAGGATAGAAAATTGACTACCAATATGAGAATAACAATCAACAATGTCTGTGATAAAAAGCGCCTTTTAATACAACCATCAAAAGACTCATTCAACTGCTGTTCATCCAATGGATTTTTGGATCAAATTGGTTACTAAACAATAGCCAACGGAAACAATAGACTTTTCATGGGCCAGCAATTTCTAAATTCGTAAAACCAAATAGTAGATGAAATCACTAAAAGCTGCTGTATTTCAACTGTGAAACTGGACGATAACTCCTACAATATATGATGTTCATCGGCATTTTATTAAAATCTCCGATTCCATGGCACTTGAAGGCCAAATTTTATCGTCTATCATCACAAACTATCACCATTTAAATGATATGAACCCTGTCCATGAAATTTCCGCTTCATTCGTTATCTTTTTGGCATCTCAAAGGATCTCAATTATTACTAATGGAACCCATTATGATAGCTGTTCAGACCAATTTCAGCTACCTTTACACAATTTAAACTCCATCAATAAATTGGAAAGGTTTACCGTTGTGATGTTTTAATGACCAATCTAAAATTTTTACCTTTAATTATATTCAAAATTTGTTACGCTCTTTGATTCTAATGGTTTCAATTGTTCAAAAAGTTCACCGGTTAAATTCAATTGCAACTCAAACCAAAAATCAATTTCATTGCATGCGATTTTGTGTGAAACATATCTCTGATTAAAGAAACGGCAACACATTTGACAATCTCAATGTTTCAATATTTGAATGGTTTAATGAAAGATCAACCTAAATGCACAATTAAATACAAAAAAAGTGAAACTCAAAACAATTGAACTCAACATCGTGTGTAACTTAACGTTAAAATGTTATGCTTCACTTTGGTAAGCTGGAAATGAAGCTAATTTGAATAAAGAAATTGTTACCAATATGTAAATGTCTTGCAATTAATGATTAATTTAAATGTTAATGTTAAAATGAATCTAATTGAATAAATGGACACTTGAATTAAAATGTGAGCAAAATATTGAAGTTGGTTGTGATGTAAGTTGAAGAGAAAATCATTTTTACTTTAATCATTTCACTAATCATAATCAATAGACAAGGCAACTAAATTGAATTGATGAAGATGGTGTAATGAAATGATTGACAGTTGAAGTGATCATCGTTTTCATCTCAACTTTTACCTTTTTTCTGATTCTTTGATCGTTCACTTTTCTGTGTTGTTATTATCCATTATAAGCCAAAGTTTGCAGTTAATCATGCCTCGCTGATTATAACCATCATCACCATCACCGTCAATATGGTGCTTACATGAGCGGCCATCAACACACAAACAACCAAAATAATAACAAATGGGTAGACTTGGTAAATTGATGGTGATGATGGAAATGAAAATGATGAGAATCAGTATTCTGATTGACTTGATTACCTTTTTTTGGGTTCATTTTGACCACACAATTTATTATTATGCGCACTTTTCATCTCTCAGTTTTTACAATCATAAATTATCTTAAATATAAATTAAATCTAGGCTAATTCATAATCGATCAACCATGAATTATATATTTTTGACCATCCATTGATCAACCAAAGCCTGGCCTTCTCCTACACCAACAAAATGCTCTCATCTGTATCATAATCAATCTCGTAAACTATTATTATTACCTTTTTATTATTATACATTATATATATACCTGTTTAGGTAGTAAACATCACAACAATTGTGAAAAGGTAAAAAATATCAGCAAAAAAATTCACTCTCTTCTGGCGAGAAACTTAGAGTCCCTTTCATTCCAACTAACCCTGAAAAATAGTGAAATGAAATTTTTTTTTTCAAGATCATGTCCAATCATGATCAATCTCGACTATTGCAATCAATTTAAATTGTTATTTTTGATGGCAAATCAAAATATTAATTCAGTGAATGAAAACCTCCAAATGTTTTACCCATAATTAATCAACAGTCCCTCAAAAGGGTCAAATGACAATGACGTCTGCTATTTTTAAATTTAACGGTTAAACTCAAAGAGTTGGTTTCGGCTTTACTCTTTGGTTACATTGAACGTTTGTTTCCAATATGTGAATATGTATTGTTGTTTTCAAGTTTATTAGTGATTAGGGAGTCGAAAATGATCAAGTCAATCAACAACATAATCATCTTTAATCCTTGTAATCATCAAATGGTTAACCCAATTCATCCAATTGACCTAAACTTGGTTAGAAGGAGAAAAACTGGTAAGGTCCTAGGATTGGTAACACTGGCGTGGCTTCACAAGACTTTTAAATTTTTATCCAATGGAATTAACTCTGAGTTTCTTGGTGAGTTGAAGTTTTATTGACACTCTTAAATTCATTGATATTTAATAATAGTTGATTATGCTAGTTAGATCGATATGAAAATAGTTAGATCGGCGAAGAAATTAGAGTCAACCATGCTTTACTCCCTTGCAAAAATAATGATTAACCCGCCTATATGCCATAGTCTTCTACCAGAAAAACCAGGATATTATAAAGTAATCAGTCATCACTTTGTCACCTTCATTTGCTTAATCCTCAAGCCACCCTTACCCTTTACTTTTGTTAACCGCGTTTTCTTGTTTTATTTTTCATTTAAGACTGTCCATGATCAACTATTATTAAATATCAATGAATTTAAGAGTGTCAATAAAACTTCAACTCACCAAGAAACTCAGAGTTAATTCCATTGGATAAAAATTTAAAAGTCTTGTGAAGCCACGCCAGTGTTACCAATCCTAGGACCTTACCGAAAAACTGATTTTAATTTGGACTCACCTTTTCTTGACTTGTTTCATGGTTAATCAAAAATGGTAAATTGGCGGCTATATTTTCGCTCTTTTCTGGTCATTTTTTGAGGCCAAAATATCTACTATCTTTGGCTGTTCAGTTTGTAATACTGCCTGTTGTGTATGGTGTTTATTTTGCTATAGTTGAACGTTATTTGGTTGGTTAATCGGCAACTGGCTTGCTTTTGTTGAACTGCTCTAACATCATCGTGATGCAAAGATAAACAATTAGGTGTTACAATCATGTTCTTAATTCTTTTCACCATTAGACAATAACAACATCAATATTGAACCATCAAAGTAAAGTTAATGAAAGAAAAAGAAGTGCAAACTGTTGATGTTAACAAACAACCTTCATCACTATTATCATCATCAGATCTTGTTTTCTTGGCGAGGAAAAAAAGAGTTTGGTTTACTTCTTATCAATTCTTTCATTCAATATCATTTGGTGTATTTGGTCAATACCGTGTTGATTGTAATTACCTGAAAGTAAATCAAGTCACGTAATTTCAATGATTAACTGGATAATCATAATAACCAAATAGCGAAGTAACACTGATCAAAGATCACTTTACAAGTACATTACCTGGTTCCACTCTCTTCTCCAATCAAGCAAACAAAGGAATAGCTAATTGTGTTTGAGTTAAGCCACAAAAAAAGAAATTATAATTCATGATTCTCTGTTGATTAAAATATAAATTGGAATCCAGCTTCCAGTTGTTTGTAATAATATTTGGTTTTACAAAAAAAAAGGTTGAAAACAATACAATCCGATATACTTTAAACCATGAAACCTGTTGAACTGAAGAATCGGAAAGCACCATAATCAAGCCAGGATAATTGGAATTAACTTGTAATCATTTGCCATTTTTCTGAAAAAATAAATATTTATTTATATAAATATTTCAACTCAAACAAGATTATCATTCCAATCTTCAGTTGTATAATATTAATTGATGAATCAAATCAGTTAACAGTTGTTATTATCTTAATTTTTCTGACAACATTCAATACTCACAATTGTGTGAATGGTGCAACAAGCTCAGCAAAACATATTAATATTGTTTATTTATGCATATTAGAGAGTGATTATTGGAAATCTCATTTTTCCGTATCATCATCTTATGGAAATGATGATTAAAAAGAAACAGGATTCACCATCAAATAATTGAGAGTTGAATTGATTCCGAGTTAACTTTCACTTATGCATTACAACTCAACGTTTACCGTAAAAAGAAAGTTAACTGATGATGTTGATGATGATGTTAATGAGGATGAAGTGAGTACTAAATAAAATCAACACAAAAAGCAAAATTAAAATCTAATAATAAATTGATGTTACGATATAATTTATTATACACAACTATATAAATAAATGAAGAGTACGGAAATTTTTTCATCTGCAGTTGAAAGCGAAGAGAAAAAAATTGAAAAAAATTGACGGATTTACATTACAATTTAACCATTTCTTCATTATTAATACTAATCAACGGGAAAAAATGTATTCATGACTACTTGTTTGTCAGTTAACAATATAGTAACAGCAATTTTAATGATAATTATAAATAAATAAAACAATTGTAATGTAATGTGTTTTTGATTACGCTTCTGAATCTTGCCATCAAAAGACTAGCAAATAGCAGCTTCTGAATAATCACCATCTCTATTGATGCTAATTCAAGTTCCTTCATGATTAATATCCATTTCTTAATTACATCAATTGGTATTAATAATTGTTAACATTTAAAGATAAAAATAGTTGATAGTAACGCTAATAAACAATCAAACCTTTACACAATTCTCGATTCAAAGCAAATTCTTGATTTACTAGAACTGTTGATCCTGAAGATATCTTGATCACAATTGAACCAGTTTTAACCTTTAACAATTGTTCAATTTAATAGCCAATTTAACCACCATTTCAACCATTAATTTAATCTTTAATTATATCACTAATCTAAGGACTATTTGACTGTTAATTCCGTCTGTTGATGTTTAACGTTTGAAATGGTTTGTTCATTACTAACCTTGTACTGATTTGAATATCCTATTTGTTCAATAATGAAATGGTTCAGACATTTTATCATTCAATCAAAATTAACAAATTGTTATTAATATGTTAGCGATAATTTTGTTCAAGTTTATTGTTAAATCTAAATCAAAATTTGATGAATATAACTCAATGGCTCAACAAACAAACCTTTTAATACAATCGATGATTTAAATGCTATTATTTACCGTTGAAATGAAATTAGTTTTTTTGGGTTCCCATTTAAGTGAAAGTCAAATCCTATTATGATGATTATAATGATAAACGTTGAAGGTTAATCAAATTTATCTACAAATCTGAATCACTTTTATATATTTTTTCAGGTCTAACAATGCACAGTAATATTATAATATCATTTCTGGTTTCAAAGGAAACTTGAATTTTTCAATTGCTCACTTACAATTAGTAAGTCTTGATTGTTGCAGTCTCGGCCCAAAGAAAAAAAATGATCAAAGATTAGTAATTAATTGTTGAGTTGAAGGTTCAAGGTTGATTTGTATCAACAGAAGATGAATTGAACTCAATTTGAAAAGGTTTATGAAAAGATTTATAATCTGTTTCAATTCAATTGTTGTTTAATCGTAAATTTTGCATCAGGGTCACAATCCACAAATCCAATAGATTAATCTAAAGTTATATCAACAATTTAGAGAGGTTTACTCGGGATAACTCAAAGTGCAATGATTAAATCAATGGTTGTTAGCAAGGATAGGAAACAACCAGATAATTAGTAAATTGTTGAGGCAAAAATTGTAAAATTTGGTAACACTTTTCACAACAAAATACAAGATCAGGATGACTTCCTGAAAGGAGATTAAATTGGAAACTTTCACTCAATCCCGAGCTTTGATTAACTTTAATTGTAACAGTTGCACACGTTGAAAAGGCTCTTCATTCAACCAGTTCTTTGTCCATTGAAAGTGGAAATCGGATAATTTTGATTTAGTTGAATGGACAGTCAATGCATCCAAAGTCTTGCTCTTCTTGACTCCAGTTTCAGCTCTTCATTGATTCCTGTAATTGTAAAGAATCATTAATTTATGTATTTAAGTCAATCAGAAGCAATTTGAACCTTAAAATGATTTCACTTGTTTCCAAGTCTTTACTTAGGCCTTGCTACGGTCTTTGTCTTGTAGGTTTGCTTAAAGATTTGGTTCTCTTTGGCTTTGGTTTTTTTCAGTTTTCAGATTTGAATGTGATGACTATCTTGATTATCTTGATGATTATCATGATACTGATCATGATGATGCCGTGCTTGGTAGTGATTGAATTAAGCTTAAGGCAATATCTTTTTCTTGTTCATCCGTTGATTTTTTTTGCACTTTTAACTCAAACTGTGAGTTCGCATTTGTTTTCAATGATGTTGATTAAAGTAATGACAAAATGATCGTCTTTTTTACTCACTCTTCCCATCTTTTGTAAAGATCAGTTTAATCATGTTCATTTTGTTCATCAATCGCCATCTGACTAGTTTCTTGAGAAATGGTTGAAACGATTCAATGAAATTACAATAATATTTTACATAATGTTTGATTGGACAAGTCAAAATAATACAAATGTATCCTGTTCAGGTTAGAAACAAGATTAAAGTTTAAATCATTTGATCAAGTTAACAGTAAACCGCTTGATTCGGGCAAATATTACTTTTCAAATTAATGATTGACATTAAGCAATCATAATTTGATCAAGCTTTAAATCATGTTCACTTTAATTATTTGGACTTGAAAATAACAATCAAACATTTTATTTTCCAAAACAACTTACATGTTTAATGATTAATCGAGTCACTTCCCAAGTCTTGTAATGAATCCATCTTTAAACCATTAATCAATTGATTAATATCATTTGTCATTTAATTGAGTCTCTTTATGGTTTTAATTTCCTGATTTTTTTCACTGAAAAAATCTAATCAACCTCACCTTTAACCGGAAAAATCTGGTCAATTAATTGGTTATTTGGTTAAAGCAAGTAATATCTTTTCAGCTGTCCTTATTTTCTTGGATGTGTGTGTGTGTGTGGATCCATAAAGAACTGGTCCTTGGTAGATTTTCAAGTTAAAATAAAAGCCAAGTTTTAACATTAAATTAACGTTGATCCGGTTATATTAAGTGACCTACGAACAAGATTAACCAGTACTTAATAAAATGTACATAATCAAGAGGAAGAATCAAAATATCACACTGATTTATGTTTTGTTAACTGTACTTTTATATATTTATTCAAATTGCTTACCTTGTTATTGGATTTTGCTTTTATACCTTGCGTTGGTAATAAATAATAGATTTTAATCATCTCTGGTTGAAATGTTGATTAACATTATTGTTTAACCTTAAATTAAAGTGTAAGGTTGGGCTTTTATGATTGAATTTGGCTTATTTCAATGTTTTCCTTTATCTGGTACTACTAACCTTCAAGCTATCAACCTACAACAGCAAATCTGGTTTAATTCACGGAATCAAATTAACAAGTTGAACCAATTAACCCGGAACCCAAGGGTAACTTTCTTGTTTACAAATAAGTAAATCTTCTTGATTATATGAATATTTCAAGCAAATTGTTAGATCAATAAGGCCATTTAAGTGAAATTTTCACATCCATTTGGTGTACAAACACAATTGATTGGTGAAAAATCAAAAGAAAAGTAATTATCTCGACAGTAATCATGATGACAACAGTTACTGATATTTAAGGATACTTGATTCACCATAATTTGTCAATTGTCGCCTGAAATTGTATAACATATGACCAGTCAGAAGATGTCAGCAAACACGATCGTCTGGTGGACAGCACGGATTATCGGAGCCAGTTGAAGCTGTCAGTTTAAATCATAAATACGTAAATTTGATGAGAAGGTTAATTAGTTAATTAGAGTTGAAAAGTTGATTATAATAATTACTTACCAACAATAAGATCAACAGGTAATCAGGCAAAAACCACGGGTACCAGAAGGTTCAATTGGTAAACTTTTAACCCTGAAAAAGATTCTTGAAGGCTGTAGACAATTGATGATTAACATTGCATTAAATTAGGTAACTCTGGTCACGGCTAATTAATCCATTCTGTACCATTATTAATAATTGAACAATAAACTGATTAATAAAGTGAATTACAAATAGTAATTAATATGAGATAATCACGAAGAAACAATGCAACAAAAATGTAAATGTAACTCTTTTGGCTATTTTCACTAAACCCAAACTTGCCTCTATTAACCTTTTACACAACCTAAAAAAAGCGCACAAATCAAATTGTAAAAAATCAGTTCTTTTCTTTTCTTTAATATTTAACAATTAAGGGAAACAATTAAGGGAGCAATTAATTGTTTCGTAAATTGATTAAATGTGAAAAATGGTTTCAATCAAGGTTAGTATCAATTGTGATAACAAATCATTGATATTATCCGATAAAATCCAGTGAAGATGGGAAAAGCGAGGCTTCAATATTTCCAACCTAATTGTAATTTCTTTCAGTCTGTTGATCCAATTCACTTTAATCAGTCATCATATTAATAACATGATAATTAAGAATCAATGATTAACTGCAAGAGAGTGAGAAATTAACAAATGTTGGTTAATTGAGAAATTAAGAGATGAAAAATGTTTGTAAGTTAATAGCAATCACATTAAACCTGAGAATGATGAGAAGATTTAAGATGGTCAATGATGATATCTTCAATGTAATTATTCAATATTTTAAGAGTCTAATCTCAATAAGTTTATAGATTAATTGGCTAACAACAGTTAACGATTGGAATCATTTACGTTAACTGTGAGAAGAAATAGTAAAAATAATCAGGAATAACAATCAGTTTGGCGAAACAGCAAACCATTGAAGTGATGAAGAGACATGAAAAACAACAACAGAATCGACTGATTGAAGAGAAAGTTTTGTTTCATTTATATGAATGGTATCATGAACATCGCAATTCCATCATTGTTGAGTTGTTGTTGATCAACAAGACAATCTTTGTAACAACAAACAAATAATCGTGATGGTTAACCCCATAACAATCAACAAAAAACTTGCTCTATTCTACTGATCGATGAAATAAAGTCTATCGTTGATATTGGGTTTACCAAGTAAACTGGTATAATAATTGAATGAATCTCTCACAACAATAACAAATTGTTGTTTCCATTTCATTGATACCCAATATTAAAATAGTAAAAGGGTAAAAATTGAAAGCCTTTAATCAAAAGCCTCAATTTTAAGTCTATGGCTAAGAAAAAAATTGAAGGCTTCAATGGGTAACAATCAAGTTGATAGTCTCCAAAGTCATTGGTCTTACATAATAACCTTGTGAAGTTAATGTTTAATGAATCAGGTTTAATCATCATCAATTGATTCTGATAAATACAAAAGCTTTCACTTTCCTTTTGTTATGCCAATCATGAGACTGACTTTCAGGTGAAAATTTGAAGTTGCTGCTTGAAAAGGTGAAGCTTGAAATAGGTTCAAAATTTTATATCTTTAACCATAAATCTATCAACAATCCTTTCAATTTCAATCATATCAATGAATTTTATTGTTAATTTATTAATTCTTACACTTACCATATTGGCCAGCCTTATAGGTATGGAAGGTTGAAAGACCAGAAATAAAAAGAAAACCAAAATATAATATTTTGACTTGGTAATGTAAATTGGCTGAGGGTGAATCCAATTCAAAAAGGTTGATGTTGATGTTGGCTATAATCAGGCTTTCATTTCAATTGATTTAATCAAACTAATAATGTTGTTGTTGGTGAACACAAATGTTAAACAATTATTAATAGCTATTAAGAAAAAAAGAAGCAAAAATATTTTGTTTATAAATAAAAGCAAGAAAATGTTTCTTATAAAACACTGGTTAATAAATCAGGATGAGTGGAGTTAAATGAAGGTTCAAGAAAAGTATATTATTTTGAATATTATTATCAAGATTAATAGTTTTCTTAATCATCTTCATATGTAAAACTATTTCAAATTGTACTCACCATTTAGAGGTATCCAACAGTTAACTGAATATTTAGTCAATCAAACAATTAACATTTAACAATTTTTCAAAATATGACTTTTTTAATATTCAAATTTCCCCCCATAACCAGATTGAGCGCCATAATTGCGAGGCTTCTGGAAAGGGTAACAATCAGCCATTGTTGCCTTAACCTTAAGGACAATTTTTTAATGCATAATTGTCTCATTTTAATTGTTTTTTCTTGAATTCAGCTCTTGATTGATAATTTATTTAATTATCTAGTAACTTATATCTTTTACTTTAACCATTTGTGATACTATTTGGATTTATTTTTAGTGTTAATTGGTTACAATCGTGAATGAAATCGGGTATATTGCATAAGCTATACCCTTTTGACTCAATGTGTTACTGTCTAAACGGAATGAAGCTAACGTAATTTGACTTTCATGGATCAGTAAATTGTTATTATTGACTGTTGATATTCAAATTAGTTTCATATTCAAGTTTTTTAACAAAAATTAAGAATTGAAAGCAAAAATCATTTTCTTCAAATGATTTCAAGTAGCTTTTTCACCTTTTTTTACTTCAACCATCATTATAATCAACTGCAAAATTCCTAACCTCACCTTTAAAATGAAGTAATCAAGTAGAGATAAAACCTTTTTTTCTCTTATTGTGATTATTGTGATTATTATTACTATCGTTATTATGATCATTTCACTCTCTTGACCTGATTGAAATCAAATTTCACTCTGAATTATGTATTCACATTTTTGAATCAAAACCTTATTTACCTTACCTGGTAAAATTAAGTTCAACTGTATTAATAAATTGCACTTTCTAATCGAACTTTATTATCTTCGATTAGTCCAGTCACACTTGACTTTTACAGTTTACCTATTCCAACCTTAATCTCTTTAGTAATAATAATGATAATAATTTCATTAAAATAGATGTATCAAGTGAACATCATTTTTATTACAGATAAATACAATAAAAAAGCTAAGCAGTTCTCAATGACCCTAACGATATTTTACTCCTACCCGGCCTCTTGTCGAATGGACTAAGAACCAAGATCCTGGTTTCTCTCTTGGTTATCCACTTATTCACGGAATCAGTCAGCAAATATGTAATATCAAGGAATGAAATTCCCATCCAAATACCAAAACAACTGGCAATGTAACAAAGATATTCAATCTCACCCATTCGAGCTAAATACTTATAAGTAATCTCAACCCCAAAAGGCCTTCTGACAAATAGTTTGGTTAAATTGGATGGTGTTCGCTTCTCTATTGCAGCTATCAACGTGGTCGAGTACCAATAGTTAGTGCACTGGTTTTTACACTCATCACTACACCTATTGTCACCCATCACAGCAGTACAATTTTTACCTCTTAAAGAAAAGCTTCTGTTACAATTTACATCAGCTGGTACATCCCAGGGCCAGATCTCCGAGCAAAGAGATTCTGCTCGAGCCTTGCGACAGTCAAAAATACAACCAGTCCTTCCATATTCTGCACCAGTATAATCATAGCAATCAGTTCGATAAGGTGATGGCAACAATTCTGTAATTATTTTGGAAGTGGTGAGAATCATGTTTTCCGTTTGCTCAGTATAAAAATTGAAAGAATCAGCTTCAGCAACATGAAGTATCTCCATTGGATTGTGGATGAACGCGACAACTGTAGTTTTATTTGTATTGGAAACCAGAATGTCCAAATAAGATGCAGATTCTGTGTAAATTTCTATTTTGTAGAAATCTTTATCATCAGCCTTGACCACCTGATAGGGCGAAGGTAGTGTCGGTGAAAAGAAGAAGGTTGAACAATGAAAAAAATCATCTTGTGCCGGGTTAAAATGTATGGTGTTTTTTATCTTTGCGAAATGTTCACAATTTTTTGGATCAGATTTGTACTCTTCTAGAGGTGTCAACTCGGGAAATGGTGCTTTACAAAATATCTTTACTGGTGTCGTTGGAAGTTTGGCCAGCACATTGATTGGTACATATCGAAGGGCAGAAAAACTCGCGTTCTCTTTGTTTTTCCAGTCGATTAGTTCCTCTGATTGTGGATAATGTAATTTCAAAATAGTTTCATTGTAAATAAGCTGGATGCACATTGTTAAACCTGGCATCGTGATATTTCGAGGAGATTCAATAATCATGTCAACCTGCGTTTGATATTCAAAATAGATGTTCGAGATTTGTTGAACCTGCCAGGCTAAACCACATGAAGATAAAACCCAGCAGAAAAATCGTATCATGGTGGTGGACTTATGATATCTTCTTCTGATTGCCATGATGGTTTCCAATGATGCTTTTAAACCGATCCTTGGTTTTCAAACAGAATGAATTTGTTGCCTTGATTGTTAAATTGGAACAACTTGATTACATATTATTTCCACTTTCAGGAGTTTCACTCTGATTAACACTTAAATCACTGGTTAACCTGACAGAATTCATTTGATTTCACTTTTCCAACCTGACCTGGTCCTGAGTTTTTAAATTGTTTTCTCACACCTTGTTGTTGTTTGCTAATTGATGGCAAAACTTAAATATCACCAAGAAGTCAATTGAAGGTTAATTTATCTAATTCATCTCAAAGACTCACAAAAATATGATTATTTCATTGTTGAACCTTTTCTGAGTCTAACATTTTACAAAACCAATTCATTATTTTAAGGCAACAATCGATTGATTTTTTTGCTATTCTTTGACACCTCTTTTATTACCCTGCTTATTAAGACTATTAATTGAAAAATACATTATTTATATTTTTGTCTGAAAAAAGAGTGAAAAGTAGGAGCAAAATGGAATACAAAATTGATCGTTTCAACTGTCTTGATGTTAGTCAACTTATTGATTGAAATATCTCTGTGATTTTCTTACTCTGATGTGAGAAGATCAATTAAATGTACAATTGATTGATTGTTGGAGCTAAATTTTCTTAACAGATTTTTCATTTGTAATCATTAATCTTTTGTGAAAACAGTTCTTTTACCCTAAAAATATCAGAAATAGTCAACGAAAGAACCGTTAATTTCATTTAATGTTTAAATTGTTTTCACTTTTGGGTCATTCCATTTTCCCTAGTAACTTATTTTCCTCCAAATTTGTCTTCAAAATTATAATTGCTTCAACGTCATTGATTGCAGCTATTAAATACTATTTGTTATATTTGATTTTGACACGAAAAACTTTCAGGGTTTCAGGGTTTCTCATGGAAAGAATGATTTATCAAAACATTTTTTCATAAACTCACACTGAGATACTTGTTGGAATTAGCTGAATATAAATCGTATCATTTGTTGATTAACGTCTGATTTTAGTTGATTTGGTTTTCGATTTGAACCAAAAGAACAGAAAAATCAAATCAAATTGAAACTTTGAATGATTTGAATGGTTGATTAGCAACAGGTTAGATTGATTTGTTAACTCTCAATTTTTGAAAAGTTAACCTGAACCTTTTCCTATTTTACAAGTGACTTTTTCTTGATTTTATTGTGCTTTCTGATCATTTATTTTGATTATCACCAATTGTTGGCAATAATCAGTATAACAATTGTTTAGATATAAAAGGATAACAGGAGCTTTAGAAAATGTAAATTGTAAATTGAGTTTTCAAGAAATATAAACCCGGATTTTGTCAGGTTAATTTGATGCGGATTAACTGATTGAGGTTCACAAATGAAGATGATGGTGATGATGGTTAAAAGATGGAAATGATGTAAATTAATGGTCAAATTGTTGATGTAAATGGGTAACTGTAAAGTCCATAACTGTATAAGTCTTTCATTTTTAAGTTTACTCATAATAATTGATAAGTTGAAAGGAAATTAATATCAATGAGAGAAGCTGAAACATGAAAATTATAATAATCGTATTCACTGTGATTTACTGATTAGAAATGTTAGTTTTTTAATTTTTTTACCTAAAAGTAAAAACAATTCAGTCAAATGTACATTCAATTGATCATTCATTTGGATTGACTTTTCAATTGACTTTTAATTTACTTGTCAATTCACTTTTAGACTGTATAAATAAACTGAATACATTAACAGTGAATTGATTAATTAACAGTTCACCAAATGGTTGACTCAAAAGTGTTTAAAGTAAATAACAATTTAAATGTTGAAAATTGAACACTTGTTGCTGTTGATGATGGAAAAGATGAGTTTAATAATGATTTTAAATGATTATTTGATGATGATGATTATGTTGTACATTTATTGTTACCAATTTGAATGGGAACAAAAATATTTGTGGTTACATTAACATGCATTTACGGTTAACTTAATGGTCCTTTAATTGGTTGAAATGGCTTTAACTTTTCATCAACAGTAAACGCAATATTTTCAAAAATATAAAAAGGTTGAGTTTAAGCATAAAATGAGTTTAATTGCTATCAAAGTGAATACACTAGTCAATACATTGTATGATATAACAATGTAGTTATGTTAATGTCGCTAGAAACAAGTGAAATCTAAATGCGAAAGTTGATTAAAAAGAGAAGAATCTTTATCTAATTTAACCCACTTTCACCGATAAAAATGTGTCTTTTCAACGGAAATTCTGAGTTTATTTTTGCATCCCAATTCTCAATTCAATTTGATTTTCTTTGAGATTGGTTCAAATTAAACAAATCAAAAGTTTGTTGTATTGATGGATAAAACATTGAAAAAACATGAATTTTCCACCTAATCGGTCAATAAATTATAATTTTAATCATATTCAGTTGCAGAATTGCTTGATAGACTTAAATTGTCACGATAAATCGATCAACATCTCATCAAAGCTTCAATCACTATCAATAAGAGTTGCCTTTAACACCAGTAATAAACATCAACATTAAACATTATTTTTAAAGTAAAACAGTTATTACTAATAGAGGCAACATGTGGACATTTCAAATGCTTTCAAATTGTCTCTAATCATCCAATTTAAGTCCGTTTTTGATAGATTTAATTCAGAAAAAGTTATCGATTTCCTGGAAATCAAAGTTAATCCAAAAGCTTAAATGAAACAATTGAAATCGTCTTTAGAGTGAACTGCAGAAATGGTCAATTAAGGTTACAATACAAGCTCATCAAATCTGTTTCATAGCACTAAAAAGTCTCGATTTTTGTGAAAATTTTTACAGATTGTCTGAGAGATTGGAAATTTCAGAAAAAGTCCAGTTTTTCGGTGACTTTTTAAAAACAAATGCATCACAAAATATTACAAATAATAATGAAAATTCGAAACGATAAAGTCTTATACAAGATTTCATGTATTAATAGATGAAAGTGAACCTCTTAAGATTAAAAAATGACAAAATGATAACTTTCTTTTCTCATTGAAATGCCGAAATCTTTTTATCCTTTATAAAGCAAAGTAAATCATTGTCAACACTTTTGTAGTAAATTGTATCCTCAATGAATTCATTTTGAGCAGATAAATTTCCATTCTCAGTGAAGATGGTTATAGCGATATTCATGTGAATCTTGATTATCAAGTTGCTAAAAAAGCAGCTATTTTCAAGATTGAAAAGTATCTCAGTCAACATTTTCAGCTGTCATTGAATCTCACCACTCTTGGTTAAACTTGCCTTGGGTTGCTCAGTATTTGCCTACTGAGCGCCTGATCCAACATTAGCCTCAACCTGACCGGGCAATGTTCAGATTAACAGTAAAAATATAATTTAATTAGCACCAATTATCAATCGGGTTTCATCATAATTAACAAGTTTCACTTTTAACAAACACTTCACTAAACCATTTTTTACCGTTTCACATACAATTAACTGTAATGCTTTAATCATTTTGATCAAAAGGTTTGGGAAAACTTGTTAATATTACTTTCACTGAAATATAAAACCAACATTGAAACTCTTCATTAATAGCCATTTGCTGTATTTAAATGTATAATTGTAAAAGCCTTAAGATACAATTGTGAACCCATTTTTATCACAATCGGCTATTATTAACATTACAGTTAATTTGTAAGCAATATAATAATGCTAATAAAAGGAGAAAGTTTTCACTCAATAATCAACAATTTAAAATATACTATTATTGATTCATTTTAATTCAATTGTTCAATAAAAGAATCCATTTTGTATACAAAATAAGAAATGATTTTCATCGATAATATAATTGAACCCAAAATCAGGAAAAGCTGAAAAACCTCTTCTTCATTGAAACCCATTTTAAATTGGTTAATCTTAATTTCACTATTATTAAATTGTTTACAGTTTAATCATTAATATCAACACTTGAATGCTATTTTACAAATCTATGGGTAAAACTGTTGTTAACGCTATTCTAACTCACGAATTTTGTTAACCATCATTAATATGATTAACAAACAATCAACCGATTGTTATAAACTATTACCTTTGCCATCGTTAAAACCAATTGATTAACAATCTTCAACCAACATTGTTAACTCGCATTTTGTTATATATTTATGTGGACGATTAACTTGATTCATTGATTAATAATATTTCCGTCTATCATCATACTAATCAGGCTAACTATTTATATTGAAATGATTGTGATCAACAATTGATTTCAACCAGCTTACAATAGTGATTCAGATGATTACACTAATCACGATTAAATGATTTATCGAGTAAAAAGATGAATCCCTTTTCAGTTAAACCAACAATTTTCTCAACAATTATCAAATCAATTGATATTAATTTGGATTTTCGTTCATTTCAATGTTTTTCATTGCAAACACTTTCATATTCAATCTTAATTGTTAAAGCTGAAGTTGAATATGCTTTAAATACAATTCATTGTTTTATGATAACATGTTACTTTGGTTTACTGAATGGTTCATTTGTATGAACTTGACTGACTATTATGGATACTTTTGCCTTTTGTTTCAATTTTAACGCTTTTATAATTTATCAGACAAATAATTATTATATTGCTGATTAAAGACAATCAACAAGTAAAATTTAATTCTATTTTTAGCTGATCACAATTAAAAGGTATCAATTTTTGTCCCTTTCTGGTTAAACATTTCAATAATATTGAAATATTTGAAGGGAAATAACGTAAATTTGACTTTTGTTGACACTTTTTTTTCTGTTTACTTTGGCGTTGATTGTTAACTGTTAACAACTTTGATGATCATTCACCTTGAAGGTGATATTCCCATCACAATCAACTTAATTATCACCTTCAATTATCATAATCAACAGCCTTTTTTGGGCTTGGAAAATGTTTCTTCTAATATTAACTTGGCTTTAAAATGAAAGCTTGAATTGAATACTAATTGTTGAAATATTTTCTTCAATTCATTTCTAAACACTTGATTCTGTAAATTACATTTTACCAATCAAATTAGATTTCAAATGTGATTTATGTTTAACTAGCAGCTTCTAATTGTTGATTTAATTGATTGATTGTATTGTTTCTTTTGCCTTTGCTGGGTGTTGTTCACAATTGAATCATCAATCAACATTCATCTAGAATTTTTAATTAGCTTTTCTGGGTTTTCTGGTTTACTCAGATTAACCCACGTTTCTTGTAATCAATTAAGATTCATTTCATTTCCTTTATGATTAAAATAATCCACTAATTATCAAATTTACGGACAAAATGATAAAAATATTAAACGAAGATCAGATTTAATGGCTAATAAAAAAGGTGTAATATTACCTTTTAAAGCTTCCATTAGGTATTTTCAAATGTTAACCAATATGGTTGACTCTTGATGCTTCAAAGGAGCAAAAAAAATATATTAAGGAAACACTTTTACTCTTAAAGGTAATAAAGTTTCAATTAATTGAGATTAATCAAATTAAATAAATGTCTTTTTACTGTCCAATAACAACAATTTACTATTAATAGAAGCAAATGATTTGCACTTGCAAATTGAATTCAATTTAAATTGTTGTCAAGTAAATTAACATTTTCAACGTTAATCCGGTTGAATTGGGTTTGTTTTGAAATGTTTTATAACCAGACTGGTTAATCACCAAATGCACAAAGAGTCTTGAGAAATGCAAGGTAAAAATGGCGATTCAAATTGTCTCGATTCACTGAACTTTTACAACTTAATCTGACAATTTAATGCCTTAGATCAATTAAGATTGAATTGATAAACTTCTGACTTGATTGAATTTGTTAGACTAAAAGTTAAATTGCTGCCAAATAAATAAAGATTTACAATTTACAATGAGATTTGTTTTTCATTGAGCATTTCTTAAATAACTTTTCCAATAATTGTTGATCATGATGACAATTTTTTCAACCTTTTTTCGCCTAATCATTCAACCTTGTGGTTACCTTTTAAAGTGATCAACAATTAAGGTGACAACTAAAGAGGTTCATTTTAAATCAATTCAACTTATTTCCAAACCCAACTCGTCTCTTTGTTTATGTATGAGTGGAGGTTGGTATTGATTTAATTTTGGGTTCCGCTAATGTTGGAGACTTGAATCATCGTTATTTAACCCTTGAGATGAGAAAGCACAATTGTGATTGCAGCCAACATCTGTTTAACATCGGCTCGTTGGTGAGGTTAGCTTAGAGTTTCATTCAAACCTTGGAAATGAAATAATATTTAGATGTAGGATGGTTTTTTGGTTGATTTGTCGATGGATTCGAGGGAACTTTGCCATTCCAATTGATTGACTTGTTGTTGAGTTGAGTTACGAAGTTGTAAAAGTGATTAAAATCAATGTTTACTCTGAATCAAGTTTATGTTGGTACTTGGTCAAACTCATTGATTAAATTGAAGGGAACACCAAGAAATAATCCGCAATCAAATACTTTACATTATTTAGGTTAAGAGCTTGTAAGCTATTTGAGCTGGCAGTTTGCTTAAGCTTGACCAATTTGTCTAATAATTAGAATTGATGAAACCAGAATCAAAAACCATTGGGTTAATTGGCCAAATTAAGTAATCTCCCAATCCGGTCACAGTAATTGCCTTTAAATCTATTGATAAGGTAATAAGATCACCGCTTTTTTCACAGCTTTTTTTATGGATTTCCTTAAAACAATAATCAGCTTGTTATAATGTGAGATCAAAATCTTTATGACGATCAATTTTTTTCATGTGAATAATCAAAATCAGCCGGAAGTATCATTGTACTGTGACTATCTTTATCTTTCTAACTACAAGAAAAAAAATGTATAAATATTGGGAAGAAAACAATTTTTTAAGCTGACTGACAAACATGAATTCATAATGATTTTGTTTTTCCTCTCGCTTTGGGTCATCGTTTTTGGCTGTGAACTTTTGGCTTGGCTCTCAGTTTGAGATGGTCATTTATTGCTTCCTCGCTAGTTATCAACAACCAACCATAAGATTACTGGATGATGAGTACCTGAAACAATATGATGGAAAATCAATAAATCATAAAAGTTAAACTGTGTTAAAGAGAAACAATTTGACAGCAAAAAGAATTGGGTAAAAAAAGTTTCTTTCAATAACTATTATCAATCAATGCGATCACTTTATTAACCATAATAACTTTCTTATTAAAATTTAATTAGCTAACTAAGTTGATTAAGTTAATGAGTCCGTTCTTCCGGAAAGAAACTTTTTTTTTTAATTTTTGTTACTATCAGTTGTTAATAATCATTATCATCATGAAAAAATATGTTCTTACCTTGCATTGATACTAAATTTCTTGTAAAAGTTAATCAGCTAAAGCAGCATTAAATGAGTTTATATTAACAATGAGGAGAAAAATGTTGACTTCATAATTGAACCTTTCAATGAACACAGATTAAATTACAATAAGGTGATGATGAAGACAATGATGATGATGGTTACGATGAAAAGAATGCGCTGTTGAATTGAACGATTACTTAATAAGGTTACAGCGAGTGAAAAGATTTTTAGTACAAAAAAGAAAAGTTGAGCTTTGATTTCCTTTCAAGCTGGATTTAACTCGATTTTTCTTAGTTGATTGAGATTTTGATTAACTTTTGAGCGGACGGAAATCCAATCTTTTTATTTTCCACAATTTTAGTAGTTTTGCCATCATTTTGATTAAACAATTCATAAAGCAACACAAGGACCAGCAAAGCAAAAACGCAAAATATTAATAAAAACAACTATTTCATAAGTTAAAATAAATATTAACGCAAGCAACGGCAATTAAATACCTACAATTGCATTAAACAATCAAAGTTGTACATAATTTATAAAAAAATATCAATAGTTGGCTTGAAAAACAATTAGAAAAAGATTTTCTAGAAAAATTGATTTCTCATTTTCAAATGAATCGAAGAATATCAACAGATGTTATCTAATGATCTTTAAGTAGATATCTGATCGTATCTGTATCGATAAATGCGAGTAAATCTTTGGCGCTCTTTTTTAGCAAACAAAATGTCCGATCTTTTCAATTGTTTTAAACGTTTTTTATTTCATGTTCAATTATTTGGATTGAAATTGATGCTGATAAATAGACATTGGGAAGGAAACAAATGATGTAGCAAAAAAGACGATGAGGAGGAGAAAGAGGAGAAAGAGTCTCAATTACGTGAGAAACCGGTCAGGTAAGAAGTGAGTAGAGTGAGTTAAAGTGAGCGGAAATGTTACCTTAAAACTTGTTGCTATTATTTTTTCAGTTGGAAGCGTTGAGAGTGCATTTGTTTATTGTCCGTTTGTTGATCAACATTACATTCAACCTTAAACCAGTAAATATTAAAACAGCCAACAGTAAACATTGATACAAAACAGCTCTGACTAACATGTTTCCATCTTGTTATCTTTCAGGTATCATAAAGGAACAGCAGAGAAAACTCCTTTTGTAATTGATGGAAATCACACAAGCAAAAATCATCAATAACAACAATTGCTGTCATCACAATCACCGTCATCATTATCCGTATCAAAGACAACAATAGGTCAAAATTAACAATTTCATCGATATACTCATAACCAATACTATTATCGTCTTAATCCACCAGTAACTTGGAAGGAATCACTTTTTCGTGATTTCACACCTAAACTCCATAACGGATTTATAATTGTGTTTTGTCTTCATTTTTATTGCAACTATTCTGTGTCTGTGTCTGTGTTTACATACTTTCGGCTCGGAATTTATTGATAAACTGTGAAAGTTTTGGCCGACAATCTTGTTTTTGCAATGAATTTTAAACGAAAAGATATCAAAAAATCATCTTATTACGTTTGGTTTCTTGGAGCCAAAGAGGCTGAAGGTCTTCGTGGAGATGAGTTTGTTTTACCTGTTTTACGTTATTTGACTGACCAAGAAGGACTCTCTGAAGTTTCAAAGGTTACGCTACAAGTAAGCAATAAAGGATTGAAAATAATACAAAATGTGCCAAAAAAATCATCTTCATCTTGTAACCCGTTACCAGCCTCAAACTTGTCATCGGCTAAATTAAGTTTATCATCCAATTCAGGGAAAACTGAACAGATAAAGCATCTAATTCCTCATAATGCAATTACATGTGTTGTTCAAGAAGATGATTTGGTTGCTTGTATTTTATTAATTTATAATCCAATCACCAAATGTCCGGTTCATGTTCATGCTTATCGATGTGATTCAATTGAAACTGCTTCATCGCTTCGTGGACAATTACAATTGTTGATTGAGAAGCCAGAAAACCAACGAAAGTTTAAAGAAATTGAATCACGTCTTGTGTCAAAAGGATTAACAGTTAATCAACAACCTCACCAGCTTCATCAGCATCTTAAGCAACAGCCCCAATCTAAACCAACAGAATCATCTGTTGAATTGAATCGGCGCTTCAATCCATTGGGTAAACGAGGTTCATCCGAGAGTCGATCAATTCGAACAGAGTCTTCAGATAGAACTGAAGATTCGTATGATTCAGGATTAATAAATGGCTCCAAGGAGAACAAATCATTGCCCATTGAACTGGCTCTGGGCAATCCAAAAGTAGCCATACTCTATGAATCTTTAGCAGCTGAATTAAAAGCCAAATTATCTAATCCCAAATCAGGACCAATATTGTTACCACCAAAGGATTATGATACAATATCTCGTAAACAGGGTAAATTAAGTGGCATTGAGGCTCGTAAGAGCACTAATATGACCATCGTCGGACCATTGGAGACACCGTCTACAACTACCAACTCATCTTCCTCGTCATCTCCTACCACTGCATCATCATCACCATTGAAGGGTATTAAAGATAAAAAGACGGGATTAATTGTCGGCTCTTCTCTATCAACCTCTTCGTCGTCCTCATCTTCCTCGTCAGTCCTTAAAAAAGCTATGGTCTTGCCTTCAGCCACATCAACCTCAAATCTTCATATTATCCGATCAGAATCAAGTTGTAAATCATCAAGTGGAATTGGTTCTGATGAGCCAGATAAATTATCATCTTCCTCAACTTCACCTTTTAATAGAGAACTGATTAAGGCAACAGCCAATTACCGTTGTGATGTTTCTTCAGACGATTCAGAGCGTAATTGGTCACCAATTGAGAGTGGACCCAGTTCATCTGGAAGTGCAGCTTCCTCTGGACGAAGATTGTTAAACTTAACAACTACAACATCAACATCAAACATGAATAATAATAGCAGTAATCATATTGTTAATAATAAGATGATGATTACAAATAATGCTAATAATAGCAACAAAAATATTCATCACCATCATAGTCATCATCACAACATCAATAATAATATTAACAATAATAATAATAGGATCAACAATAAAAAACATGAGATAGCTGAAAGATTGGAAACAAATCGATTAAATAACAGCATCAAGAGTAGCCACCATCAGCTTACATCGTCATCTTCATCTTCATCATCTTCATCATCACTATCAACAACAAATCGAGCCTCCATTCCACCTCCTGTTGTACCTAAAGCAAGTTTAATGACCAAACCAATGAAAACTGATTTAAAAAGGATTAAAAACGACCTCAGACCCGTTATTACTGGAGTAACACCTCATTCCGCATCTCCAACAATCAACTCTAGTAATAATATTAACAGCAACAATAATATTAATTATGATAATAATAAAGGAAAAGTTGATCCACCGCGTTATTATTTTCCCGATCAAATTGTATCAAATAATAGTAATGTTGGACTAATGAAAAATAAATCAAGTGATAATCATCATTCACGTCGATTGCCAACTCATAATCTTCATCATGATTATCCAAGTGATAGTGTAAAACCATCAGCTGGAGATATAATTAATATCACCAATGCATGTGCTCGATTAAAACCGACTCGTGATTTCATTAGAGTCCAACCTTTAACAAATTATCAAAGAAGTCCAATTTCATATTGAATTTTAAATGCAATTGAAGACAATTGGAGACACCAGCAATCCGACAATTGACATCTTTAAAGATCAATCTTATTGATAAAAATTTGATTTGAAACAAGAGCTCATTATCAAATTAAAACTTAATAAGCTTGTATGGAACGAAATAAAACTATTAAATCTCCCTAATACATTATCTGTATTATCGAGATTTTCAATCAACTTTTCATTTAATAAAGATTACGACTTTTCAATAACTAATTGTGTTTAACCCTTTCCATCAACCAACAATTTGTCTATTAAAATCAAATTCATTTCATATCAGACTTACTATTTATGTCATTAGACATTTATATCCTAAATATGTTTTTAAGCTAAAAATGTCAAAAAATGAGTCGCTAATAACCAATCACTTATTTATTGCATGATTCAATCCTAACTATCAGTTGAACATTTGATAAAGAAATCATCAAATGAGTCCAACGAGTAAAAGAACTTCAGATTTTTCCTTATTGACAAACAAGCGGTTGATTAAATTTATCATCTATTGTAAATTAAAAATTCATGTATTGGTTGTTCTGGAGTAGACCAGGTAGTCTCCAGAGTGAAAGTTGATAAGTTCAGTTTGTCAAGTGGGTTACATTAAGGTGTTTTTGGTGTATTTAATTTTACAAGACCTTGCAGGTATCCAATAACGAAATTACAGAAGGGATAGTCGTTTGTCCCATAATCGGACTTGACATCATCCAGAGTAACACCAAAAATTGGACCAATTCTTAGTCTTGGTAGTCCAAGAATTTCGAGACATTCCAAAGAGCCAGGGTCAAGACATGCAACCACAGTTTTGTCATCTTTTATCGATTTTCTGTAAAACGATTCAAAAACCGTTGCCAAAGAACTGGTATCAATACCTTCAAGCCTTGTATAAACTTTAATGTTATCATTGTCCCATATTATATACATGTGATCCTGGAAATTGGTAATGGCAGCTTCACCTGAAGTTTTACCATCCATGGTCATCGTTCCATCACAATGAAAGCAAGCACAAATATTATTCATTTTAAGGCAAGTTTAAGGTTTTAACACAATAGTATATTTGACAAGAAAATAGTAAAAAAAAATGATGAAATAAAGATGAGATAGTGATTAACCAAATTAAAAGAAGTTGATGAAAGCTAAAAACAAGAATTTCTTATTAACAAATGCGTTCTTGCGTTAATTTGAAAACTTAAAACCAAAGAGAGCCAATTTCAAAAATACTAGATTAATAGGTGGCGCTTTTTGAATTTTTGATCAAATTTTAAACAATCTGATTAAAGACCAAATCACTGTTATTATGATGTTGAATGTGCATAAATCAGATGAAATTTCTCAAAAATTAACAACTAAATTGATGTCAAGGAAAAATATTACAGTGAAGTTGCAATCAAGTTGAGGATTAGAAACACAACAGACCAGTTTTGTTGATATTTGGTAGTTTTTAATCCGTTGTGTTGAATCCTTCATTCACCTAGAGTCATTTTTCATCTCTCAACATCAACCTCACCTTTTTTACTTCATCATAATCATCATCATCTTGTGTCTTTTGATCAAACTTTGAGGCTAACTCTCAAAATACTGTAGTTAACCAGGTTGAACAAGGATTTTAACCAAGGCCTTAAATCAATGGTTTATATTAAACAATGATTTCCAAGCTAACAATTAGCCAAACAATAAAATAATCTTTAATATCATATCATCACCTTCATCTTTAACTATTTGTATTACCTGTTTTCATCATGTTAATCTGCAATCGTAAAAGTATTTGCCTTCAATGCCTACAGCTGATGGCGATAGTGTTGAGATGAAATGTGAGAAGCAAAAAGGTGATGTGTTTTTGTCAATCAAACTGTAAAACCTGTTAATAAAGGACAAATGTTTATTGTATTTCAAATTGGAGACACTAAATAAGCTCATTTAATTAATTAACCCTTAAATTAATTCAAATGATCTAGTTCATCAACACATATTACATGCAACAAAAAAGGCTAAACTTAACTATACATTCGTATAATACAAATAACACACAAGATAGATCACATTGGATAATTGTCTCCAAATAATCTTGATTCATCATCTTCATCATTTCATCTTTAGGTGCTTTATTACAATCAAACATGTATACCAATTTGAAAATGTTGTATCAATTTTTTTTGCTCCATTCAACCTCTTTTCATAATATCATTTTTATTACATCTTGCAATATTATGATTGTAAATATAAGAGTTTAAATCACTTCTCATCTCAATCATAATCGCCTTTAATAAAAGTAATACTCTTAAAATATTTACATTTATTTGACTTGTTCAATTAAATGATTCCTGTGACTCTACCAAAGCAATCATGAAAAAGCAACAACAAACATTACAATAATAACCCGATGAACCAAAATTTTCAGTGTTAAAAGGTTAATGGAACATCAGAATTGTTGATGATTTTTAAATCTTGTTGTATTACCAAGACGATAAGAGAGGCAACAAAAAAATAACCTTCACAGTTGAACGATAAAATTGAATCAATGTTATTCTGGTTGAATCTTCCCTAATAGTAAACCTTAATGACTCGTATTCAGCCCAAGTGAAAATGATCATTATTTTCATTCTCAGTGCTTTCCATCAAAGGTTGTCAAGTTGAAAACTAATGTCCAATTGTCAAGATTAGTTATTAAAGATAATCAGTGATATCGAATTGTTGAATAAGCCTGAGTCAGGTTGCAGAGTTGAAATTATCAATGAATTATTTTTATACCCAAATTTTGATCAAATAACCTGAAGCTTTGGCAGTTTTGCTGGGAATGCAACCAAACCGGATGATCAAAAATGGTTTGTTAATGTTGTTGATGATGTTGATGGTGATGGAGGTAAAAATAAAAGCAATCAATTTAACAATATGCGATTACTTTCAATGTTAATCAAGCCTGAATCCTGAACAACTCACTCAAACATTTGAATCTGAATAGACATTTTCAAATACAAAATACTGAAATAACATTTCGACTCTTACCGTTGCTTTGGGTGCTTTAAATGATTATTAACGCTCTAAGTTATGGTTATAATTACACTCATTTACAATTAAATTTACCAACAAAAAATGGACTCTTTTTTGTGTATTTTTAAGCAAATTACAGCAACATTTTGAAACACTATGCATAATGACTTACCAATTGAATTAAAAAATTTCAAAAAAAGCAAAGCTTCAGCAACTGTTATTGTTTAATTGTTAACTTGGCAAGGTAAAGGTAAGATGATGATGGTGATGATGATGATTAAAAGAAAGGCTTTTTGTGTTTTAAACAACAATCAAGATAAAAGTGTTGTCTAAACGGTCAATGGAAACATTGACAATGGCCTTTACCATTGTTTAGTCTATTATGATTATTGAATGGCTATTTAATGTATTAAATTGTTACCATCAATTGTTATCCTCAATTGTTACCATTAACTGTCACTATCAATTGTTAAAATGCATTATCATTGTCAACTGATGTTACATTCAAGTTACAATTGAAACAATAACAAATGCAGATTGAGATGAAAATACGTGTAAAAAGTATCCCTCAATGGATTGACTGTTCAACCGACAAGGTTGGACTTGCTGCAGTAAATGTTGCTCTTTAACCAGCCTTTTACGGTGTTTCTTTTGTTAGGCTTAGATGCTCTTTTATTTCACAATTAACAATATCAACAATTTATTAATTGTACTTTTTTCTTTCTATTTTTTTCTTTTTCTTTTATTCATTTTAATGTGTATTTTTATTAATCATTAACCAACAGTTAACTGAATCAAATTGTAATTTATTAATGAGCTTGAGTCAACTTTGAGACAAGGTATTACATTAAACGTGAGACTGAATTAAATTGTGAAAATCAAAGGCATAACCATGATTATCACGCTTCTCATTCAATTTATCAGTGAACCATGAAACCCTTAGAAAGGCCGGATTTTGGCTCAATCTTACCGTTGACCTTAACGACCAGGACTGGGTAACATACTTGACCTTATTAACATTGAGCTCCACCATAATCATCATCATAACCAATTTTATCCTCTTCTTGTTGCTGTTTTTTACTGTTGTATTTATTCATTCCTCATCATCTTTCACTTACTTTCCTGTTGTTGACCTAATTGGTCCTTATGATCATTATAATGATCATTATTAACATTATTAACATTTATGAAACAATTTTGTTCAATTTATTCCAATGAAATTCAAGCTTTCAAAAATCAAACTAAACGTGAGTCCAAGATTCACTTGTAAACCCAATTTTCAATGCTAATGCCAATCTGCATAGACTTTTGACTTGGTTGACAGTGATTTAATCACAATTAATTCTGGTTACCTTTCAAATCAGCTGAATATACTCATGTAAATTAACTACATTTTGATATCATTTCAATAGTCAGAGAAGCTGTTTTTTTTTCATTTATACTTCAGTTATTTTAAACACTAAGGTAGGAAGAAGAAATCCTTACATTGTTGCAAGATGGTTAAACCTCCACTAGATTATATAATTAATTGAGACAGCTGTATCATTTACGGTTAGATAATTTAATTTTTCATTTAATTCCGTTCAATTTCAATTAGCGCGCGTTTCAATTTCTTCCGGTATCAATTGACAGCGTCACAATCCTTTTGTCATCGGTCATTCCTTTGTTTCAATCTTAAGCTTTTTTCTTGTTTTTTTGCCAAAAATAAAGTTATTTCATCAAAATGAGACGCCAATTTATAAATTTCATCAACATTACTAACTCTTGTAACTACTGTTGCCCCATGGAATTGAAAAAGTTGTTAAAAATTGGTTTAAAATGAAATAACAAAATGAACAATTTAAATTTGCAGTTCAATAGGACTCTGCTATGGATACCTTTTATTTTGGTGTTTTTTAAATCAGTATATTTGGTTAATATTACCAGAAATAAGTTGAGTGTTAACCGGTTACTTGCTCCATCACTTGGTAAATCAAATAATCATCATTCATCTTCCAAGTTAAATTTATTTTCCAATCCAATCAACAGCAAGCCAACATTTGTTTCAACGAGACGCCAAGGTAAAGATATTTTTGATGGCTGGTGGGGTGGTCATGTTCACCCAGACAAGGATGAAGATATTTCCAAGACATTTAGCTATTTGATGCCCATACTACTCCTGATTGCTGCTGTTACCCTGACAATTCCAATAATTGCCCTGTTCTTCTTTATATTCATGTGGAAACGACCGCCATCCTTTTTATGCTCCGTTCTCGATCCTGAACTTAAAAATGGACAGTTTAACGCTCAACCAAGACTATACAAAGGTTTAATTGATCTCCTGTTGACCGTTGACAAAGCATTTGCCCAAGGCAACAATATTTATGGATAACCAGGAATCGAGTGGCAATAATTAACTCATTTTAATCATTCAACCCGTTTTTGTTACCGTTTTGTTGGCAACAAAAGTTAGCGATCCATTGTATTTGTGCTGTTTGTTTCAAATTATGATGATAAAATGATTAACATGGTAATGCTGAATGCAATACATGTATAAATATTGTTAAAGTAAAGAGTATAATTTGAATTGTTAATGAAATAAAATAATTTTACCTGAAAATTTTGATAACGCAAAGGATTGGTGTTAAAATCAACTTCTACAACAAAAGTGAGTGAAACAATCAATTGGTGTTGCCAGACATAAATTGCAAGTGAGAGTTTAATTGTAGCTATTTCAGCAATCAATAGAAGCAAAGTGATGCTAATTTCGAGTGCTGAAAATGTGAACTAAAACACGCTAAAAGTCGATTACAGCTTACTAATGACGAGTAAACCTTTTTAGTGTAGGGGCAGTTTTATGATCTAGATATTAATGTCATCTACATCTTGAACATCTAAAATTTCATAGTTCAGTTTCACCCTGAAACGATTAATCTTGAAGTGAAATTTTTCCGTCCATACATTTAATCCAAAATTCAACATCGATACCAATCAAATTCATTGCAACGTTACAACCAATTTTCAACTTTCGTTAACAATTAAAAAAGGATTGGCAAGTAACCTTTTCATGACCGATTGTTTAACAGTTTGAAGACACAATCAATTTATAAATAAATCAACAAAATTGACTCTTTTCATTTACCTTTAGGACGATAAATTATCGATAATTAAAGTGGGTTTGTAAGCAATTTATCAGTAACTTTTACTTTTTCACTCCATCCTGAATTTACTTCCATTTACAACCAATCTTCATTTTATTGTAAATTTTGAGTTCAACTTCGGTAATATATTCAATTGACTATTAAATCGAGTTGCATCGACAATAAACAAGACTAATTTTGTGGGTCATTTTCAACAAGAGGAACAATGATTGACATTAATTTAGATTTATAACTTTTTTTGACAACATTTATAATGCCACAATCAAGAGGTTGTAATTTTGAAGTTGTTTTAGGCGGAAAAAATTTGATTTTAATACAGTTTAAATTAGCGGTAATTTTATGGCTCGGGCAGTTGTCAATAAAAAGAATAATTTTTTTATTTTGAGTAAGTAATTCAGAGTCCCATTCAATCAGCCAATCATTAAAAATTTCACTTGTTACCCAAGCTTTTTGATTAGAATAGTAATGAATATTATTATCATTGGGATTGAAATTTTGTTGAGCAAATGGGCGTGGTTTTGCTGATTTCCCTACAATTAATAAATTTCTCTTGATTCCTGATTTACTTACACAAAATAAAGCAGTTAATCTTTCCTTACTTTGACTAACTCCATGAGCTTCATCATTTTTTTGCAAAAATGAACGTTTTGGTTGCGATTTCCAAAAAAAAGATGACTCATCAGCATTGAAAATATCATCATCACAATAGTCTTCCAATTTGTCAGATAAATTATTTTTCCATTGATCAACTGTTGTTGGATCTACACTT